CGTACCAGGGCCTGTCCAACGAGCAGGTCCTCAAGTTTGTCATGGACGGAGGCTACCTGGACCGGCCGGACAACTGCGCTGACAGATTGTGAGTACAAGAGCAGGGACTAAGGTTAGATAAGGGCTGAGAGATGGTTGGATTTTAATTATTTAGTTATTTTAGACTCCCTGAGACAATTTATTAACTACATTGATCGCATACTCTCATGTGAGAATTAGCTGCTCCTCTCTGTTTTGTATCATATTATATTATAATCTATTATACCATATCATTGTAAACTGAATGTCTTGCAATGGACATTTGTCACTGTTTTCTGGCATTTTATAGGCCAAATGAATAACTGATTGATGAAGAGAGAAAAATGCAGTACTAATTTGTACAACAGGAATAGCTATAGTGAACAAATTAAAATTCCCACATCAGTATCATTTAACCATGACCCCACTCCCCCTCTGCCCCCCCCCGCAGACACAACCTGATGCAGATGTGTTGGCAGTACAACCCCAAGATGCGTCCCGCCTTCCAGGAGATCATCGAGATGCTACGCGAGGACCTGCATCCGACCTTCCAGGAGGTCTCCTTCTTCTACAGTGAGGAGAACAAGCCGCCGGAGAGCGAAGACTTTGACCTAGACATGGAAAACATGGAAAGCATCCCGCTGGACCCGTCGTCCTACTCCCAAAGGGAACAGTGTTTGGACAGGGACGAGGCCTCCTCCATGGGCCTGAGGGGCAGTTACGAGGAGCACCACATCCCGTTCACACACATGAACGGGGGAAAGACCAACGGACGAATACTGGCCCTACCGCGGTCCAGCCCCTCCTAACATACTGTGCACACCCCCCACCCACCCCACCCCGCAAACATGTCAATGCGATAGAGTTAAATATATTTTTGTTTTTTGTTGTCATTTTATATAGATCACACTTTTATCACTCTCTCTTCAGAAGCCCATCAGTGCATATCTCAGGACCTTTATTTTTCTCCTCAGATGCCACAAACACACACTACAGCAAAGTCCACACACGGACGCCAGAAGACACTTTTTGTATTTAAGGATGAACCTCCCACGTCTATCTTGTTCATGATTGTAGTTTATATACTGTATATATATATTGCCAAGTTTGTGCTAGACTGGGTGGTTAATAATTCAACTGTGAAACAAACTCTTGACAAACAAGAAGGCTGCTAAAACCCCACTGTCCCTTCCCGAGTCCAGACTGTGTCCCCCCTCCCGCCCTCCTCTCTCTCTAATCCAACAAAAGCGTTCATCCCCGGGTTGCTACGTTTTGAAAGTGCCCTTCTATTTTGTCTGTGGCCTATATCAGTTGTCATGGAACTGTGTCCAAATCTTTGTACGCAAAGTGGATGACGAACTGAGAATGAAAAAAACTTTTGGGAACTCTTCGTTGGACGGTCAAAGACGGTCCATCCTCGAACAAAACTCTTGTCCACTGGAGAAGCTGGTTGAAGTGGCTTACCTCCTCACACTCTGCAGTATTCCAAGATGGCACACAGGATGAACACAGGACTTTTGTCGGGTTATATTTTTAAATTTTATTTACGTGTCTTTTCTTTTTTTTTCTTCCTTTTTTTTGAGTTTTCACATTTACAGCTGAAGGATATTTAAACCGTTTTCAAAAACATGTTGGTGAACGAGTTCCTCAAATTGACCAATAGCTGCTTCTTTGATATATTTTAGTGGGTATAGAAGATAAAAAAATATATAAATATATATATATAAATATATTATTGATGTTTTTGTACATAGCTGATATGTTGTCATTCTTGAGGTATTTCCGGTCATAGAAAATGTTTTTACATGTTAGTCTCTTATGTTTATTTTTTCTAATCCAGGAAATCATACTAATTAGCTTCTTTTTTTTGGACTCATGATCAACCAACAGCACTTGGTCTTCTTGCTATGCGATGCCCGGGATAAAGAGTGTTTGGCGTCTTCAGCTTAAGCTGTCTGCCCATCATATCAAGATCAAATAAAATAGTGCTGTAAATAATGCAGCAAGGTGCATTCATGAAGAGGCTCTGGCAGTGCTTCTGTTACTTTACATTCTCTCAATTCATGTGTGTTTCCAGACAGTGACGTGTTTCTTTGTCGTGTGTGTGTGTATGTATGTATGTATGTATGTATGTATATGTATGTATGTATATATATATATATATATATGTATATATATGTATATATGTATGTATGTATATATATATATGTATATATGTATGTATGTATGTATATATATATGTATGTATGTATATATATGTGTGTATATACATATAAAGGGAAGTGGTGTTTTTATCTCAGTGAACAGAGTAAGGAAAGGTAGTTTCCAATATGCAACAATATGTGCACACACTCACACTTTATGAAGCCAAATGCAGACATTTATATTTAAAAATGATTAGATTATATTCCTTTTTTACAGACATACTTAACATTAATTACATTAAATTCAGAATAAACTTTACTAGAACTGCAATCATATGATATTTAAACTATCAATTAAAACACAAATCCAACAAAGCTTTCATTTAAGATAAGTCTAAATACATTAAAATGCAGCCTATAAAATGTATATGTACAGCAACTTTCCTGTGTATGTCTGCTAATATATAAATCACATATGTGACTTATCACATATCTATGGAGCATTAATCCAATTGCATATTTTAAATGTTATGTGGGTAATGAAGGTATCATCTGTTAGTGGTTACAGTGCCACAGTTCAAGATCCTGTGTGTATCAGGTTTGACTCAACTGCTGCTCAACACCTCTAGTGCAACGCTGCCACCTGCTGGACAGCAATGAGAACTACAATCTATGTGAAGACGTACTGCGCAAGTCTTCTGCACAATATTAATAATATATACATTCTGATGTGAAAGCCAAATAAGCTTTCAAGGTCTTTTATCTTCATACTGTCATGTAACGGCAGTGTGGATGAGCTAATCCATCACTAAAACTACTGTATGTGTAACTGACGCTCTGAGTATCTCCCATAAAGCTGCAGGAGCTTTTAAATGGTATTAAAGGGCAGGCTCATATTTTAATACAATACTCAAATGTTCATATGTAAACTGAAAGAGTCTCCTATAATCTGTGATGAGATCCCTTCCTGATGTGACTGCTGTAAGTAACAGGGGACTTTACGTAGACTGCTGAATCTTCGTATTGTCTGTGGCTGGATTTTTGTGCCACCATCTCTTACATTAGAGCTGCATTAGAAAGAGATCTTTTTGGAACAGGTATCAACAGGAGAAACGATTGCAGACACCAATAATGCTTTCTAATGAGTCTTACGAGTATTGTTAAAAGGCATATTTGAAATAATAATATTCCTTTAACTGATCACAAACACATCCAAGTGTTTAAATGTACATTTTAGAGACTTTCTTTTTGGTTTCTGTCCAAATGTTCTGAGGGAAGAGAGGGTTGTTTAAGAGGATTTGTGACTTTGTGTTTCTAAAATCCTGGTCCACTGTTGTCCAGGTAAAGTTAAGGCCTCATTTCCACATCTCTACTCAGCTCTGTGCATCTCTGCTAACTTTATCAAAAGCCCCAGCTCCTTTCTGTTTCTGAGGATCAACCACCGCTGTTGCAAATATAATAATAGTTTTAGATGCTTCACAGCACCTGTTGCTCTCATCTCAGTCTGTCTGGGGATCACTAAACCCAACCTAAAGTACGTACCTGTCTGGTTTAATGTCTGGACAACAGGGACTTATACAACACTTCATATCGACCCAGAGATCTGACAAAAGAGAAAGTGAAGGAGGTTGAAGTCAGTCAGAGTGAACTCATTCTGAGCACAAGGCCGGTAGCCTTTTGACTGTAACACACAATCTTCCCCAGCAGATGGAGTCACACAGTTGTTTCACCTTTCTGGTCACTTCTCATCTATGTTGGCTTAAGAAAATGAAAGCTGGAAACAAAACCTTCACACCAAAAAGCTCCATTTAGTTATAGTGACTTTCTCCTTCTGAGGGTCACCAGTTGTCCTCTAATAAGTACTTCCTCTCAACCGGCCTGGATCACAACATACACCCTGAATCAGAGAAATCAAAGTGAAACAGGCAACTTTCAGTATAACAACACATAGTAATAATATAATTAACAATTTAACAGTTTCATTATTTTTCAAACAGGACTATCTCTGACTAATAGCCTACCAAATACAAACCCCTCAGGCCAGTTCAATTGGCGCAATCACACTGAGCTGCTGCCTGCATTTGTTGTTGTTGTCTAAATAAATAAAAACTTTATTTTTACCAAAATAAAAAAGCATCTCAGTTTCCACCCTGCTGAACAGTGTTTAAAAATAGATCTGGTAATTTATATCAATGCCAGAATAATAACCACAGCATTACTGCTAGCAGGGTCATACTGGTAGAGACAGGTCACGAATGCCTCATGTCTGCATTAAAGCTGCAGTAATAAAAAATAACTTTGTCATATATTCTGTAACTTTTACTATATCCTGACAGCATTACATGAGACAGATAATCTGCGAAAAAATCCGGTTCCTCTGGCTCGTTCTAGGGCTCCTAATGTGCATTTGGAAGAATCCACCGGGCCCGAACGACAACAACCAATCAGAGCACAGAAAGATTCAAGAACATACCCAGAGCGTCAAATATATACGCTTTTAGACCTAGGAATTAGAGTCAACAAATCAACCATTTTCACACCTCTAACCCTAAAGCGTGTTTATATCTTTCTCCGCTCTGATTGGTCGCTTTCGTTCGGGCCCGGTGGATTCTTCCAAATGCGCATTCGGAGCCCTAGAACGAGCCAGAAGAACCTGATTATCTGTCTCATGTAATGCTGTCAGGATATAGTGAAAGTTTTTTTAAAAAAAACAACTTAAAAAAAAAAAAAAAGTTTTTTGTGTTAAATTCGACCTCTGCAGCTTTAAATCTAAAGCAGTGTGTCGTTGAATGAGCTCGCGGAATGCGGTCGCACTGAAGGCAAACGGTTCCCACAATGCTTCGGGAGTGGAAGGAAGGAGGGCTCATCCAGAGGACGGATTTCATTTTAAAAACACCCCCTGCCTCCTAAACAACTCGGCTCCCATGTTTTTATGGTGCACTTGTTCTTCCTCCCGAGGCATCCCCTCCCCGGTCTCTTCTTTTAACTGGAAGCTGTTGAGACACACACACACACCTCCCTCCCTCCCTCCCTCCCTCCCTCCTTTCTCTCTCGCGTTCATTAAGCCTGGAAATAAACGGACGGTTGTTGGACTTGCTGCTGCTTGAGTTCACCACCGCGGGTAAGATGAAACTGTTGCTGGTCATTGTTCGTGTTTAAGCAGGGCGGCGGAGGAACCAGTTGATAATGGTTGCATACATAACGTTACTGGGTTAAAATTAGCTAAAAATAAAAATTAAAAATTAAAAAAAAGTAAGCTAAGTAACTTTATACGTCATGAAAACGGCAGTTGGCTTCCAAAGCGCCGACATCTTGCTTTTTTTTTTTTTTTATTAACATTCTAACTGACACGAACTACTTTTTTCATGTTAATTTGTGTTGCCAAACTATCGTTGTGTCTCCATATGCCAACCAGAAGCAAACGTACAGGTAGGAAGCTAATACGTTGTCATCTCTTGACTTTACACCTGTTTGTTGTACCTCCCTGAAACTCCTTAAGCACCTGTCTCTGTTGTTTTAATCCGACATTTTCAGTGGTTAACGTTATAAATCCAGGTCTGTTTCTCTCACCTGTTACAGCCCCTTGGCATTCCTCACATTCCCCTTCCGCCGGATAACGCACAAAGTTATCAAACGTACTTTATTATTATTATTGTTTTTTTTTTAATTAATGGCTTGCAAATCTCCTGCAAGTGAGATATTACAATATGAAAGAAACTTTACATTTTTATGGCAGATTTTCATTTTTAAAGCGAAATAGAGCGTCATGCCATAACGCGGAATGATATGAAAACATTCCGTTAAAATATAATTCCAAACATTCAGCCTGCGCGGAGTGATACAACCGTTAAAACTGCAGTTGAAACGTTAAAATAGGACGTTTGAGAAAGGAAAAAGTATTAAAAACTAGTTACAAGTGGTCGTTGTTTAAACATTTTTAAAGAGCTAAAATGTTTAGTTAGTTGAAGTAGTAATTACTATAAGGAGTTGAAGTGCTCAAGTAAAGATGAGCACTGCCAGTTTAAAATCATGTATGTATTGAGATTTAAAAATGTATAAACTAAAAGCAGATGACATTTTAATTTAAACTACTGAAAGCAGTATATGAGCAGTGGAGGTTGTGGCACCTAGAAGATCTGAAGAAGGTGAAGATGTGAGACTTTTAAAGGGTCAGTTGAAGTGTTGGCATTAAAAGGAATCACTAAAGGAACATTATCTTTTATTTTTAGGAATGTCTGAGCAGTGAACCTGTCCTGTTTATCTATTACTATAGTAGCTCAATTAACCTGAAGTTGTTGCATACTGTATAACATAACAGTGATACATTATACATCTACACCACCAGGACTAATGTTAATGTTCAGATTGGTAAAAACAAACCAAACACTGGAGGTATGTTTTGTAAGAAATCATATAGGTTTCAGTCCCGCCTCACAACGACAGTATTAGGAGACTGTATTTAACAGTTGACGTTTAAAGCAATACAAATGACACAAGAATGCAATGGGCACTATTTTATTGTTTGTAAAGAACATTTGTCTTAGTTGGAAGTGATCACAAGTTGTTGAACCGCCATGTGTCTACAGTAGCCTAGAAGGGGGTGAAGCGAGGAACTTGCAATCTGCAATTACACTGCAAGATGCCACTAAATCCTCCACACTGGACCTTTTTAACTATATAAATAAAAATATTACACTTAACAAGTCTCTCTGCTAACCTTAGGACTCAATCTGGTGCTGCTGACCCCCTAAGCATGAGAAAATGTAATATAATGCATTGATATTTATTTTATTATATGTATACTGAATCTCTTTCGGGTAACCAGAGGATATCATGCTACACCAATAGCAATGCCACATCTAACCATTTTACAAACCATGCTGTTATTTAGACATTTTTCTGTTCCTTACCGCCATTGGTTTCCATTTTTTCCCCATTCAATGTGGCAGCAAACTCCTAAAACTTTCTCTTTCTATAATCAATCACAGTGAACATGCATGTTCTTATGGTAAATTAACATTACGGTTGTGAGGCAGTTAAGACTGCTCAAATCAATCTGTACTTAAACTGCATTACTCAGTGATAATGCAAGAGCAAAACACAATGCAGACTCGATATTCAGTGGGATTTAAAGTTTAAAGACTGTGCAGTATGAAGGGTAAAGGCCCTGAGGCTGGCCAGGCATTACTCACTGCATTACATACACACATACGTCACTCTTCTCTCAGACTGAGAACTAAAGGTAGGATTCACCTGTTCATACTGACAGAAACACATTGGCATGCGTTTACAGCACGTTACACTAAAGATAACACAGTATCGAGAAGTTAATGAGTAAACGGTGTGTCAAGGCTGGTGGATGTGATAGGCGGCATTAAAAGTGCACGCCGGTGTAAAGGAAGGTGTGAAATGAAATAGTCGTCTGGTGTTCCTATTTTTTTGACAAATTATACCTGTGTGATGATGTGAAACACATACAAGCCTCCAGGGTTTATTAGGAACAAGAGCGACACGGATCACTGGTTTCTTTGTATCTGTCAGCTCTTATGTTCTCCTCAGGCTAATGGGTATAGTTTCACAGCTGGTAACCCTCAACGCCCCGGTTTCACAGTCAGAATATCAGCAACTCTCACTTGTTGTTGATGTGATTAGGACCCACTTCTTTCTAAGTGACACAACTTTCCACACACGCAGCATTTAGCCTTTTTCCGTCTTTCCTTTCTCTGCAGGATACTTGGCAGACTTGCTGGTCTTGTTTTTGTTTCTTGCAGGGAATGACCTGTATTTCATGCTCCTCCGTTCGCTTTCCGCCTAGTGTGGGTGAATCATTTGAGGTGTGGCTGTCACTCACAACGAGGGGCTGAGCCATACAACCACAGTATAGCTAATAACATACCATAAGGCTTAGAAATAAGTCTTTTAAAGAAAGTAATATGATACAAGCGCCTGATAAAAATCACAAAACAATCACGTATAGAAAATACTCAGCATAGAGTTTCAGCTGTTTTTATCCTGAAGAACGGACACAGAAAAGAGTAATGGGAGTATTGTGGGTCTCTTAATTTTGATTTCAGGACACAACAAGAAGCAGAGAGATCTAAACAGTATTAAGATCTGAGTTTAGACTAGTCCTGCCTGTAATTAGTTAATTGACTAGTTGATGGTTTGAGAACAGTAATGTGGATTCTTTGGCTGAATATTATAAGATACATTTTGACATAGTTACTTAACTTTCGCTATATTTTTGTGTTTAGGCGTCAACAAAAAAATAGATCTAAGAAGTGTTTGAGTTAGAGTCCAGACAGCGTAACGGAGCTTGACCTTTATATCATTATGATCATATATCATTATAAATGTCATTTTCTAGTATCGCAGGCTGCATTATGGCAGCTAATAAAATTGTTTAAATCAATCTTCAGCCAGGTGAGATTAAAAAAAATGCTTCCACCTGCAAAACAATGGTCCCTAATTACAACATACTTTTTTTCTATTAGCTGTACTTACTGTTTTTTTCTCACAAGCCATGTTATTCTCTATATAAATTAAATAAGTTAAAAAACAATCAGATAAATCTTTAAAATGACGCCCAGTCGCCCACCTTTAGCAGCACTGGGAGTTCAACCTGAATTGAAGCCCTCATGAATGTGAGCTGTTTTTAAGTAGTGTGCTGCAAACACTGATATTAAGGTTTCTACAGTGTGTGTCAAACAGGTGAGCCAGAGGCTAACAGCAGGTGAGCTCCTGTGTGTGTGTTTGTGTCATAACTCCTTTAGTCAAACAGTGATGTGTATGTTTTAGGTGTGTCTCCTGCTGCTTTTTCTTTTCTAAACACTCTCTGTTTTAACTAATAAGCTTGCATACGGTGCAGTTTGTAGCTGGAACAAAATGTGATGTTTCTTCTGCAGCTGTGGCAGTTTTCAGTGTTTAGGCCTCTTGTTCCTTTTTAAACATTTATTTTATGCATTGTTTAAGTTTATTTGTTCAGTATGATTTATATTACCACGTATTAGAAAGTGGCCTTTGTGAACAACAGTGGATCTCGCTCATTGACCCTCAAGGGCCAAAAGATGTGCACACATACAGAGAGTGTGTTTACAAGAGTGTAGTGCTGCAAATGGTTACTGTCATCGTTAGTTAATCTGCAGATTCTTTTCTAGATTAATCCAGTGATCTTTTGGTCTATAAAATGTCAGAAAATAGTGAAAAATGTTCAAGGTGATTGTTTTCTCAGTCCAAAACCGAAACCCAAAGGGAGTTTAATATGATATAAAACAGAGAAAAGCTGTAAATCTACATATTCTATACTCTATGCTCGGAGTGCAACAGTACACAAAATGTAGGGTTCTGTTTGTACCATGGTTTTGGGGTCACGGTTCGGTAGTATTTTCAGTACAGCAGGGAAACTAAAAAGGTGGAAAATTGTCTTACCGTAACAGTTAATGAACTCAAATACTGGCATATTGTCAATAAGAACAAATAACACACATTTCTGTGTCTGACCTGTTCCTAAACAACCGCAGCTTGTGCTCGTTTATACAGCCCAGGTCCAGCAGACTGATTTGGTGGTGATAAGCTGTAAACGCCATATCCTGAATATGGTCAAAACCGGGTTAAGCTATGAAAGCTGTTTCATCTTTTCCCAAATTCCACGTTTTTCAAATCTGTGTTTTTATAGTCCAGTTCCATCTGTCCTGTTCTTGTGAACGCGACATCTCAGGAACACTTCTGGGGAATTTCTACAAACGTTTCTGCTCATTTGGCTTTGAAAATTTTGAATTTATTTTAATTAATTGCATCCACATTTTGGCGAATTCCACAAATTGTACAGTTTATTCAACATTTCTTATCACATTCCACAATTCAGTGTTTCTTTCCACATCACAGAAATCATAAGGTCCTAGATAAGCCTCATAGCCGAGATACTCCTTTAAACATATAAACACACTCATAGACACAAGTGGGGTCACTGAGGGCTGCTGCTCTAAAACTGGGACACATTTTGGCCCCAAATTCAGTCAGATTGTGACACAAAAGCCTCTGCATGTCCACTGCTTTAACCCGATTTGTTTCCCTTTATGTTTTTTCCAGTGTCATAAGGAAACCGTGGAAGACAACACACAGAAAACAATAAGCAGAAGTACACATGAACTGAAGGTGAGTCATTCTCAGTCACAGACAGAGATGATTGACTTTTAAAGTCCTTTAACAATAGAAATGCCAAACACTTTCATTTCAAAGGTAGATTTGAGAGGATGTGTCAGTGATAGGATTATTATTGGGTCTATTAAATTTTCACACCTCCATCCTGCAGACACGTCTATCATGAAGCCAAGAGGAAGATAAGAGAGTGACTCAAGCAATATCTCTGTAAAGTAGAATAGGAAATGTCGATCCATGTACGTGCAACTGCAAACACTTACTGTACCTGGAACACTTTAATATACAACATTTGTAGCCGCTGTGTTTTCTTTTGTTGTTGTCTCTTTGCCTGAGAGCTGGTCTGACCTGAGCTGTGCTGTTGCAATCTGTCAAACCAGTTCCCTCTCTACAGGACTAGATTAGTTTTGCAACAACCTGTTTGGATTCAGCACCATGATATGCACTCTCCATTCACAGTCCTCTTCCTGTTGTAGGTAGCCTGCCTCTTTAAAGGCTTGTCAAAAAAATAAAGGTACATTTATCTGCATTTACTATTGAATTAAAAACTCTTAGACGTCCTGGACCTCACCTGATAGTTTGCACCATGTACTAAAAGCCCTGGGCCCTTTGCTGCATGTCATTCTCCTCTCGCCCCCCCATCCTTTCCTGTCTCTCTTCAGCTGTTCCTATCCAATAAAATAAGCAAAAAAGCCCCCAAAAATAATCAATATCTCCCATTTTGCTCTTGCTCTCTCTCAGCTCTGGGGAGAGACTTTCTCCCCCAGCCTCTTATGGCCTCCCTGCCTGCTTCCTCAGTCCAGGCATGACCGTCACCCCTAAAAAGGACAGTGCTCAGTCTGGTTCCTCCTCTTACGACACAAGCTCCAGGTTGGTGAACATGTATTTTAAGAACTCATTTCCATCATGCACCCCGTGTCTTAGGCCACATACACAGTACAACTGGCAGTGTCTTAATTTAGTTTTTCCTCATACTCTACATGACCGAGTGATTTCCAGTCAAGAGTTAGCAGCTGAAATAAAAATCTATGTTTATTGTTGGCCTGTTAGTGTGTGTTGTTTGTTTGTTTGTTTGTTTGTGCACTGAAATCACTTTTACCCATTGAGCTTTATCTCATCATCACATACCAACTAGATCTGGTCCTGTGCAGATGGATGAGGTCGAAGGTCTTCGTTTTAAGCCCACCACTGAGGACTCTGTGTCTCTGGCTTCCTCCTTGGCTGAGCCCATCAACCTAGAAGGTCAGCTGGTCGCCATCAGCAGGATGAGAAACTGCTGAAAGCTCCCTGTACCTTTGTCACAACAGCAGGATCAGGAAACTTTGTAGTTTTAATTTGGATGGCCTAGTCTTTATTCATTTTAAGTTTAATTATCTCTTATGAAATTTATGTGACACCGTACAAAGGAACCAAGGAATCTCGCACACTGTTGACCACTTTATCTCACTTTATAATGATATTTTGGTCCTCTGGTAATCTGGTTAAATTCATATAGTTAAAGTCAGTACAAGTGATCAGCAGTGTGTAAAATGTATTTCTTCCCAGTGAAGAGTTTTCATCCTATCTACCTCTGTAACACCTTATGGTGTGCAAAAAAAGCTTTTGTAATCTGAGCTTTTTTCAGTTTGGTATTGAAAGGGATTTGATAAATGTCATCTTAGGCAGGGAATTAAAAAGAATTGACAATATTAAACATAAATAAAATTCTCTAACACAAGGATATTAATACATAATGCTGTTTATTTCATCATATTTTTTCTTAATAATGGGCTTATAGAAAGGTCAATAATATGTGTAATGTGTAATTCAACAGTTTTAAATTGAAAATCCAGTTAAGCAGCTACAATACTTATATTGTCTTTGAATAGATTTATGTTTGTTCCTGTATTTTGGAACAACTAAACTTGTTCCCATATGTAAAGAAAATTATGTTGCAGAAGTAAGACATTTAAAAATCATTAAAAATAACCTGTAACCTGACCAGTAATGAATCACTGAGATACACACTCATATGACCACAAAGCACAAGAGTTTTGGGCGATAAAAGTCCTAGTGTGACTTTCTATGTGTCATCCAGATTCCCATTATACTTTGCTGCGAGGCGAGCTCGAGACTAACGCCCAGAGCCTGGAGGCGGAGTCATGGAGTGTAGCGGTGGACCAGAACTACTTGAAGGCCCTGAACAAAGAGGCTGGTAAAAGACAGGACGTCATCTATGGTAAATTTAATCCGCTGACTCTGTAAATGGATAATCTGTTAAAGAATGAGCCCCGCATCCAAAAAAAACTTATTTTCAGTAATTGCCTATCATCTCTTAAATTGTGTGTGTCTTTCTTATGTCGATCACCCATTAAAAAAGATGAATCTTTGATCACTGATGGCAGAGAACATAGTATTGCACTGTATAATTCTTTAACTCAGAGGACCTTTTAATGGTTCACATCTTTTTCTTTTTGTGTTCACTAGTTTAGAGCTAAATGCCTTGCTCAAGCACACAAGTTGTTGAGTGTCCAGATGTTATTGTTATTTTATCTCACATATGTTTTCCTACATGTTTCAGGCATTGAACCTTGAACCTCTTTCAAACATACTAATCAAGGTATCCCTCTTTATCAATTTCCTAGAGTTGATCCAGACAGAGATGCACCATGTACGCACCTTAAAAATCCTTCTCCAGGTTTACATGCACGAGTTGAGGCAGTCTTTGCTGATAGAAGAGACCAGACTGGAGCGACTCTTTAGTGGAGTGGAGCCTCTGCTCAGCCTCCACCAGCACTTCCTTGACTGCCTCAAAGTACGCCAAAATGAAAGTCAAGAGGAAGGAAGCCCAAACAACTACCAGATCAACCAACTGGGGGATATTCTCATCTCTCAGGTAGCATAGATTCATTTTAAAGCCACAGCTGGCTACATTTCCGTGCAAATCATTGTCAGTCGGCTCAAATCAACGTGTTGCAACAGAGAGGAGAGGAGAGGCATCATCGGTTCTTCTGAGAGAAAGTTTGTTTGCAAACAAACAAAGTTGTATGGAACATGTTTTCAAGAAATAGTCCTTTTTAAATGGAAGTGTCATTATTTACTCACCTTCAGGTTAAAATGGCAGTAAAGTTTGTATGTCAACATCACAGCAGGGTAGAGGTACCTTTCCATGCATGTCTTCAGCAAAACAACTGAAGGGAGAGGGATGTTCTTTAAAAGGATCATGAATTTACTTTAAACAGATCAACATTATCCAAATGTTCTTGATCCAAATGATTACATAATTCCCAATTACACGTTATGTCATCCATTTTATATCTTGCACAACTAAATCTTACGCTCACATTCACCTACAAATTGGGTGAACAGGTTCACAGTTTACTCAATGCTATGTTTACATCTCTACACAGAGGGAGGCAACAAACAGTCTGCTAGCTTAACCAGCTATTCAGTTGTCAGAAATTGAATTAAGTGACAACGTTTTCATATGTGGGCGACCTCTATTTTAAATATAAGGTGTACATACGTTGCAATCATTGCTCCCAAGTGTCATTACAACCCAACACACAACACTGACATTGTTTAATATTGTGACAACCACAAATACAGGAACTGGTTTGAGGTTTTCATCATCAATTATCTAAAATTGAGGCTATATTTAGGAATAAATAATTGTGTTTATAGTAAAGCCCTGTTTTTCCTGCTAAGCTGGACCTTGCTCATTATTTAGTATGTTCATCCACCCACCCAACCACTCTCTCTGCGTGTGCTGAGTCTACAGGTGTCCATAGGAGTAGTTGGTATGTCTGAAACGCACTATAAGAGACCGCAGACGGGTGTGTCTTTGCTCTGTAAGCACAGGAATTATGTTTTGTCACTGGGGTTTGTCACTTTCCTGGAGAAGCATTTTTGCTCCTGTGGTAATAGTGATTTTCCTTACTGAGCAGTTAGAATAACAGATAAAAGCACAGATACACCAGAGCTTTCTGTTCTAATTTATAGCCTTTGTAGCACTGCAGTTAAAAAGAGGATTTCATTTAACATTTGCTGAATTAAACATTCACACTCTGATGAAGGCTCTGTGCCGAAATGTGCAAGCCAGGTGTTTTTTTGTTGTTATGTGAGCCAAAAAAAACCAGTAAAATGATTATTTTGTCCTCGATTTGATTAGTTTGAGAGACCCTACCTTTTCATGGATTTTGATACATTGGCAGTAACTTCAATGCAACATTGTTCCTTTACTATTAAATCGGATCCTCCTTACAAATATCTTACTTGATTTATTATTTATATCTTAATATCTTTTTTCCTCCTTTGTGTTAGTTTTCAGGTGAGCTGGGAGAAGGAATGATAGTGTATTACAGTCTTTTCTGCAGTCGTCACAATGAAGCCATCAGCTTCTATAAAGAGCAGCTGCAGAACAACAAGAAACTGCAGATCCTTATGAGGGTAAGCAGTCTTCACTCATTGGTCAATGTATGTAATTAATTTTCTACGAGACACAGTAAGGCCTGTGGTTGTTTGCAGAGAGGCTCTGGAATTGGCAAAAACAAGAAATTGAATTGAATTAGGTGCATGGACCACCAGTAGCAGAATCTAATAGACGGGACTCAACAGTGACATTTCCACCAACAATGTTGAAACCAACAAAAGGAAAATAGTCTGTGCTGCTTCACCTAAGACCGTTTACAACTCGGAGGAGAAAGGCAGGAATGATGCAAGTTTTGAAAAACCTTTTCTTTTTAACGACAGAAAATAGGTCAGCTGCCCCTCGTGCGAAGGTTGGGAATCCCTGAGTGTTTTATGTTGGTGACTCAACGCATCACGAAATATCCCATCCTGGTGGAGCGGCTCATACAGAACACGGAAGGTAAACTCTCACCCCTCATCACTTACCTACAGCTCAACAAGTCATTATAGTTACACGTCTATGCTCAAGTTTTCATTGTTAAACTCATCAGTAGACCTTTAGGAAATCCAGTTGGGTTACCTAAATTATATCATTTTCCTTTCAGCTGACACAGAAGAGTACAAATCTCTGGTTCAGGGTTTGGCACTGATCAAAGACACCATCTCCCAGGTGAACGATCAGGTCAGTGAATATGAGAAAGCAGCTCGTCTGAGAGAGATAAGCCTGCGTCTGGAGCCAAAATCTCAGGGCCGGATGAAGGACGGACAGCTGTTCCGCAGGGAGGATCTGATCCAGGGAGACAGGATGCTGCTGCATGAAGGCACCGTCACATGGAAGTCCTCTGGTAGACAAAAAGGTTTGTGAAGAGTTTATTGACTCTGTGGCTGTTTGTCTTAGTCAATGACGATTAAAGTAAAGCGATATTCTTAATGTAAGGATTTGTGAATGTGTGTGGTTCCCTGCACTGCAAAGGAAATAAATCTTCTTTGAAAATACTTTTTAAAAGGCTAATCAGACTTGAAGAATCTCCCAACAACATAGTTCATTCACAGCTTCCTAGATCATCAAACAGTTCTATTTCCTTGTGCAAGAGATGATGATTAAATGACAGAATAATTTACAGCGGTATCTTTGTAAGAAGACGGAACAAGCATTTAATAACTGCATATTATTCCAACAAGGAAAAAGTACAAAGCTTGTTTTATACATTTCAAAATGACTGAATTGTATTCTGCGATACATCCACTGTATATGGACCTGCATTGTACTCTACTCATTCAGATTCTTGTCAATCTTTTGCACATAACACAAAACTTTTACATGTTTCCAGCTACTGTTTTGGATTTCCCTAATGGGGTCACCAAAGGTCAAATTGTAAACCAAAGTGTGTCTTTGTGTGTACGTACATAGATATACGTACACACTGGACTGATTTAGATTAAACTCAGTGGATTACTGCAGTGTTACAGGGCAGACATTTGTTATTTTTTTCTTGTCATTTATCGTAATAAGAGGTTCAACTTTTGTGTCAAATTGCTTTTGTGAAAACCGAAAGATTCAGAGAAACCAGTATGTCAACATATTTTTATGTCATTACTTGAGCTTCAAAGATTAACTGTCACACATGATGGAAAGGTTGCGTCATGTCTCCATCTTCTGTAGCAGCTTGAGTCAAACATCAAGCGTTTGTGTTGTTTTGATGCTGAGAAGCATTTGTGTCCCTGCAGACGTCCAAGCTGTGCTGCTGTCAGACGTACTCCTCCTCTTACAAGAGAAAGATCAGAAGCTTGTGTTTGCTGCTGTGGTGAGTTCTGCCCAAACACTGAGTGAAGTCAGTCACTACCTACATAAATATTTTATACCGTTTCCTTGTCAGACACAGCTTCTTTCCTTTAAACCATTACATCCAGATATGATCATATCTTTCATAATATAAATAATCCAGCACTGATTGTGATAAGAATAATAATAACACCTGCTATATTATTGTGGCTCATGCAGGATAACAAACCACCAGTGATCTCCCTTCAAAGGCTGATAGTTAGGGAAGTGGCTCATGACGACAAAGCCATGTTCCTTATCTGCGCGTGCACCACCAGCATGCCGGAAATGTACGAGATCCACACAGGCTCCAGGGAGGAACGCATCACATGGACGGCGATGATACGGGAAGCCGTGAACTGGTAAGCAGGGAAGACTGGGAAGAGAGCAGAGTGAGTTCTGTTGAGGAAAATCTACTCAACAGTTTTTGTTAATAGCATTGATACCTGATAGATGAGAGAGACAGAAACCATGGACCATAATTTAGGTCTATGTTAGGTCAGTTCTTCAAATAGCAATCAATAAAATCCTTTATCTTTATTAGTAGTGGTCATGTGGTTCATGGCATTTTATCTTGAAGGTGAAGTAAAGAAAAATCTTGTTTTAATAATGAAAAGGATTTTTTCTCTATGGAACATAAATAAGATGTGCATTGCATTTAACATTTCTTATTGATAATGGCACTTTATGAAAGCTCAGGAAGTCATGAGGATTGATACAATGTGAGGGGCATGGGCACATTTCACGGAAATCTTGTCCGTATTGTTTTTGTTGAGAAGGACTGAGCATGAAAACTCAATTTAAAAATAAATGAATAATGTTTTTAAAAAGTATGACCTAAAAGATAATACTGTCGATGTGATTCAGTTATCCAGATGAGGAGCTGTATCGAGAGCTGACTGCTAAACTGCAACAATTTCAAGGTAAGACAGTCGAGATGATCGGTCACTCAGTAAATCACACAGAGCATCCTCTCAGTTTGTGGTGGTTCAAGAATGTTATAGGAAAATGATTGAATCAATGTGTGTCACATTCAATGAAACACACTGCCACTAAATCGTACACACTTCTCCTTTTAAAGGCAAACTGAGTAGGATTAGTTGGTTACTGCTTGTAAACACAATTTAATTTAATTAAAATGTGGTATTGTTCTGCTTGTTGGAGCTTGTTGCATTTCTAGATTGTTTTAGAAAATGTTAGTGTGCCTACAACTTCTACTTTTTCTTTGTATGCTGTTTTCTTGTTTATGTGCACGCATATAAAGCAGGAATCACTGGAAAGGGGCAGCCATGCTCAGTCAAATTGCCTCTACATTTCCACTGCATTTACTAGTTTATTTTATGCTGTTGTTCTTTAGATATTCTAAAGATGAGGGATGACCTTATAAAGCAAAATCTGACAGAGAAACAGCAGATCTTTGCTGCTCTCTACGAGACAGTGACGGAGAAGGAAACCCCTCACAAAGGGCTGCTGCTCCGAGGAGACACCTCCGACCTCCAGCAGGGGGAGACGCTGCTTAAAGGAGCCATCGATGAGGGTGAGAGCTGAGACATCTGTTAGCCTCTGTTGTGTCAACCAGTCTTGTTTGTTAATCATTTTTTAAAGGAGTACGGTCTAGACCTGCTGTAAAGTGTCCGGAGAGGATTTCTGTTGTTCCAATTGACCGTGACCCAACAATTCCCACCATGAGCAAGCACTATCTTATATACTCTGTTTCTTATACAGCCAAGTCATGACTCAGAGCACTGATAATGTTTTTTAAGGTGGAGATTAAGGAGTTTTTTTCTTTTGTCTGCAGTGGAAAACCTGCAGAACCTGCTCTTGTTGAGGATAAAAGACCCAAACTGTCCCGTGGATGAGAGTAAGATGCAGGGCGGGCTGATCAGGAGGGCCAAGACGTTTGGAGTGGCAGATAGCAACCCTGCTGCTAGCATCGTGAAAAGTAAGCTGACATAAGGCTAACGTGGTAGTGACATGATCTCTCTTTAATGTTTCAAAAGGAGTCAGATTGAAGACAGAAGTATGCGTTTTATTTAGTATTTATTAATGTAAGCAGGATCTATTGACGTGCATTTTATGCTGGGAATCTGGGAATTTGACTGAGCTTTCTTAGGAACTCTTGCATCATACATCAGCGTCACAGAAGTATGCATATGAGTCTCTTTTGGTATATTATTGCTGTATTTTAATATTTGTTTTAATTGCATTGGTTTTCCTCACATTACTCAACTTTTTTAAAAATAAATCTGACAAATAAGCCATCCTGCTGTTTGTGCCTGTACAGTAAATATTATCAACTCTACTCCATATTGAATAAGTGAAGGTGTTTATTGACTTTGGATGTGTATGATTTCATTTCCTCTCAGCCGGAGATGCAACTGAGAGGCAAGGTGGCAGCGAGGGCAGTCCGGTGTACAGCAGTCGCCCCATTAGTGACCCTCTGCTGCAGGAAACGTACTGTGAAGGCCTGGAACAGTCTGTGAGTGACGCACATGAAGAGGATCCAAACCTTACTTCCATTCTGGTGATAAAATATAAAAAGATTTTCAATTATTTATGCTATTTTGCTTCAAGGCTGATGATGACACTCAGATGCCAAACCACAATTTAACCTTCAGTCATTACCTTGAGGGAGAGGTAAACCTTCTATTACTTATTATGTTAACTATTTTCCTCGTTTTTCCATCAGTATTCATACAAAAATGTCTGTCTCTGCTGTTCTTGTTCTCCGTAGGTGTGTGACAAAGTGATAATGCTCGCACAGAGGCTCTACAGCTTACAAGTAAGACAGTGAAATCATCTTTTTGGAAGCTTCTTACAGATGTTTCTTTTTGCTTTTGGCTATAATTGTAAAGCTAAATGTGTATTTTGAGAGAAGAATGCCTTTAATTTTCTACCCCAGTAGTAAATTGTGTGTTTGCCTGTGGTAGATTTCATATGTTTGTTATATTGTTGCAGGCAATCATCGCCCAGCAGGACAGCCAGATTGAACTGCAGAACATTTTACAGACAAAGAGCAAGCAGCCCACTCGTCATTATAGCAGCGTGCTGCTCGAGCAGGAGAAGCAGCGCAACTTGGAAAAGCACAAGGAGGAACTGGCCCATTTGCACAAGCTGCAGGCTCAGCATCGAGAGGAGCAGCAGCGCTGGGAGAAGGAGAAGGAGCGGCAGAGGATGCAGATCGAGGCTCTGGAGGCTCAGCTGCAACAGAGGGAGGACAACTGTCGAAAGCGGGAGGAGAAGCTCAGTGAGGAGAAGGCCGAGCTGGAGGAGCAGAGGGAAAGCTATCAGCAGGACCTGGAGAGGCTGAGGGAAAGCACAAAGTCAGTAGACAAGGAAAAGGAGCGTCTCGATCAGGAGAAGGAGCGTCTAGAGAAAATAAAGAAGTCCAACTATGAGGATCCTGCAAAAGTAAGAGAATAGGACAGGAATCAGATTGATTGAATGTTTATTAACATTATTGCCTTCATCTGTCCATAGTTTGTCTGTGCTCTATAATCTAGTCAGGGAACATTAAGTCAGCACAATCTATATAACAATAGTGGTTTAAAATCCTCTGAAACAAGTTAATCAGAACTAACTTGAGTCTTGATTTAATTCTTAATAGTAAAGTACATAATCAGAAAGAAGCTCTAGAGTTTGTAGTTAATCATCACAGGTAGAAATCAGAGAGTTGTAACTCTAAAATAATAAAGTTTGAGTCACGCATTGTCCTCTTTCTCCTTAGTACTGGAGTTACCAGTCGTTCAGGGGAAGCGTAGTGAACGGAGGCGGGAATCTGACCTTACACCCGAAGCTCTTGGCCGCCGCCTCAGACCCGATGGAAACTCCTCCGAAGGTTCCGCCGCGCAGGGAGAGCATCAGCCCCATGCTGCCCAAACCCGAGCTGCCCATCCAGCTGATCAGCACTACCAACCAGGTGCTCAAGCCCGCCGTGGTGCAGCAGCAGATCCCCACCAAGCTGGCTGGTCTGTCCAAGGGAAAGGAGAAAGGCACCAAGACGAAGGGGTCCCACCAGAGAACGCACAGTGCAGGTAAACAGATAATGTTGAGTTTTAGATAAAGCTGAAACCTCAATCAGCCTTCAAATTCAACTAGCTTAAAGATTTGGTTAGTGTGTCACCTTGAAATTATTTTAAACTAAGAACACTAACCCCAGTCCTGTCTTTCTACATCCAGCCTCTATAGACGTGAACCAGGTGCTGCCCATCCGAGTGACGGGGAAAGAAGGAGGCAGTCTGAGATCCAAAAGGAACGCCAGTCCTCAAAGCATCTACCAGTCAGGTGCAGTCGGTCAAAGAGAAATGTCTTCTCACTCAGTCATTAAGAGAAAGTCAGATAGTCTATCCAAACACTCACCACATCCTGTTAATATTTTATCTATAAACTTTATTTCTAATAATCTGTTGTTTATTGTCGAGACATTAACTCTTTAAAGAGTTAAAGAGAGAGACGACTTGCACTTGTCTGATGGTCAAGATGTTTAAAAGAGGGAACTAATTTACAAAACTTTAACAAAAAGTGAATATTTTTTCTGCATTAAGAAAAGTTAGTGTGACAATTATTTTTAATTGGAACTAATTATGGTATTTTAGCAAAGAGGCGATACAAGTGTTAAATGTAAAACCTCAAAACAAACAATAGCTGTAACACTCATCGCCTGCAGGTGGCACAAGGATTAAAACTCCAGCTACTTTCGATGCCTGTAGGTGGCAACATCAACACATTCTGCTATTGGTTTCCTCTCCTGTATGTGGTGCAGGTTGGCTTTTCTAGTGCTGGTTAGTGACTGAACAGCTCCCCCTTGTGGAGAAAACTCCTACTTTGATGAGGAGAGCAGTGTCTCATATTGTCAGATATCTACTGTGGCTCCATTTATTTATTCATTATTATTTACATTCTTCCTTCAGGAGTCTTCAACCCGCCAGGATCTGTCCGCAATGTGAAAATGTCTCAGTCCTTCAGCACGTACAAGAGGGGCAGCGGCGAGGATCCACCACCTGTACCACCTCCTTTTCCCAAAGATGTTCATGAAACTGGTAAAGAGAAAGTAATATTCCTTTAATCCTGAGCTACACACTGGAGTTTGGATGAGGCCTGGTCCAGACTTATTAACACTTATAAGACTGATGGAGCTGTTAAAACATTGGACATGATCTCAAGACATCCACGTGTGTCCAGAACGAAGAGGAGTGGCACGATTATGGAATTTTATTACTGGCTGTTTTTATGTAGTATTTATGGTATTGGTTGGTCAAAAAATGTAAAAAGCAACGTTTGTACATTAGGAAAGATAATATTTTAAATGAAGATGATGCGAAAGCAAAAGACTTTGCCAAAGACTTTTATGAGAAGTTTTTTTTTATTTTTAATTTTAATGAAAGCAGGTTGTCTTTAACTATTAAGCACTCATGTCTTCACTTTTAGGCTTTCTTTGTAATTTAATGAATGATGAATTCGGTACGAGGAGGTACTGTGGATTTGAAAGTTTACATCTGTTTTAGATATGAGGTGCCAAGCACGAAGGGTTTATTTCAGGTTGAATCAGATTACAATGTGTACTGTGGTCCTGCTCCTCAGCGTGTGCTGCAATCGAATCATACATTAATGGGGTTTGTGGAAGAAACTACATTTTGTAAAGTTGTTGTTTGTAAATACTATGAGCTGCTTTGTGCACTTTGGTGATTTCAGCAGGGTTGTTTCAGACAGAAAGCTGCTGGAAACATGTTTAAGAATGTAACACAATGATTGTAATTTAAATAACGTTCTGGCACAATTTAACATTTAACATTATGTTGGTGATTTTCTCTGGTAGAGACACATCGGCCACCGTCACCTTTTGTTTCCATGTAAAATTTCTTCCAAATCCCAACTAAAGGGTCGTGGAATAAAAAGATGGTTGACTTGACAATTGACTGTTTTTGTGCCTGAAAGAAAACCTGAAGTTGTTTTTAAAGATGCTGAACTGGAGGTGGCTCAAAACAAAGATAACATTCAGGTCTTTGTTTTCGATTCCACAGCTTTGTATACTTGTAGACTTGATCCAGTGTGAGACATCTAAATGTAACTCATGGTTTTACATTCTGAATAATTTTACTTTGGCTGATAGAAGTAAAAAAATCTAACTAACTTTTAAAGGGCAAGTTCACAAGTCTGTCCTAAAACAGTAGTCAGGTGCCCATATGTACCATATGTGTGTCATTCCTCCTGTTCATACCGGCCATTAAGAGATCACTTCTTAATATTCTTCCAATTTAAGTTCTTGTTCTGTGTAAAAAAATATTCCAAAGTTCATCTAATGCTAATATGAGGCTTTAGCAGTGTGACAAATCATGTGAGTATCTTCCTAAATTAGTGTCCTTTTTTTTAATTTTTATTGCCTGGTTTTGATTTCTCTCAACTGCAGTTCAGCACCAGAAAAAGAAAAACAGTACATTTTGTACAAATGATTACGGCAACAAAAGCTGAGCGTGCGTTTTAACACCACAATCCTCTTTATTTGGTAAAGCTGACATCACTCTGGCTGCTCTCACTGGGTGTTTATTAAACCTCCTGCCTGCTCATCATTAATGAGGCATCAGGGCAATCAGTGCCAGATGTGAAAGCCCGAAACAATTTTTAAATATTGTCTCATTTTGTGCTTACAAGTTATTCTCTTTCTAGGCTCTGTGAGACTAATACAACCAGCTACTCTCTTACACTGCTGTCAGAAAGTGAGCTAACAGCAGCTTCAGTACAAACACTCAGATTCAGGTGGAAGCTGAATTTCCAGCAGGGCTCCCAGTAATAAATGTAGACACACACACTCGTGTTGCTGTGTGGCGCTCTGTGCCGACCCATCCACCAAACAGGATGTTGATCAGATACTAATCCAGTACAAACAGCCCTTCACTCTGAGTGACTGAGCTGAAGCGACAAAGAGGCTCTTTGTTGGACTGCTGTTCATTTCTGCAGAGCCCCGAACAGCAGTGGACCTTATTCACAGCTGGAGGGCCACAATGAAAACACACGTTCAGTCTCAGAAACCCCCGCGTATCCAAGAACTAACACCGGCAGAAAACCTGAACGAAGCTGCTGTTACTAAATCTGTAATATTGTTCCAACAGGAAAAAACAAACAGTTCAAATATCAGATACAATGTTTCTTTATTATACGTATTCCTCAACAGAGGCATTAAAAACCACTTGGTGACAACAAACTATACTGGTGAATGAATAATCTCCTGGAAATCAGCGAGGGCACACATCCAGACAACTAAACTTGCTCTCATTTGACCTTTTGACCTCAACTTCTACACAGAAATGTTGGATAATAGGCATCATAAATGAATGAGAATCAGAAATATCTCTTAATATGTATTCTGTTTAGACAATGAAGTGACTTAGAAAAACTAAATGAATGAATATTGGATATATTGATACCTCGGTTTCCGTTGCTTTAAACCTTTTTTTTTTTTTATGGATTATACATAAACATATACAGACATGAACCAACAACTTCCGTCGGCACATGAATTCAAAAATATTGTGCAAATGCGTCATACAAACTAATCTATGAACATTGGTAACCCATCACACGCTCCTCCGCTCACACATTAAACTGCAGCACGTCATCATTTAAAGTACAGTACAGTAGTTTGTTTTTCTTTATAAAGAAACTTTTACACATTCTGCTTGTACCTCCCGACACGGACACATTTAAGGCCGAAAAACAAATTCTTAAGACAATATGATTAACTACTGGGGAGCAAATCTGTGGCGGTCGCACCACCGACAATGTTCACAAAGTCTGCACTATAGATTATACACTGCTTTTATATAAAAGGGCAAAAAAAAAATCTAAATCATAGCATGCAAAACCAAAATATACCAAAAGTAAGATGAGAAAACAACAAATGCTTCAGTTTAAAAAGAAAAAGGAATCTAATGGCTTTGGCTCAGTCAACAACCATGATAGCACCACATTTTAAAGGGTGTGAAACTCTTCACTGCTGTACTTTATATTCTGTGTTTATGATGTAATGGAGGCTTTGTTATGTGGTTGGTTGTGTATTTGTGTGCTGAAGAGTCTCCGTATGCTTCAAAGGAAGTGCTTTATTGAACTGTAACAGCGTCTCAAACCCACCTTCCCAACATTGGACTAAAACCAACAATGAATAGTGCAACAACTTAAACCTTACCTCCATTTGAGCATTGTATCTCTATGACAACAGGCCGTTTAAACTCTTCACATGCGGCTGTTTGGAACAGCTATAAACACATTTGGTCTTCAGACGACATTTCATGTACGAACAAGTTCATTTAAAAGCACATTCAGACCTTTTAAGGCCCCGTCACACCAGAAAGTGGCACAGCAAAATATTTGGTTCTAGACGTTTGGTGACATTGTGATCACCAACGACGACTGTAACTCCCCCCTGGTATTTCTTAGGCTTGTACACAATTTAATTTAATTTGATTTACTGAAGGAGGACAGAAAGCTCTCAATTCATAAGGTTGTTTGCTAACAGTGCAGGGTTGCAACTAGCATTTATAGATAAATCTGCCGATTGTCCAACTGCCAATACTTGATCGTTTTGTCTCAAAAATGTCAGAAAATAATGAAAATATCCCTTTTTAATTTTGATTATTTGATAAAGAAACGATAAAGACATTCAGTTTACCTTCATGTTTGACAAAAAAAGCCTCAAATCGTCACAACTGAGAACCTGAAACCTGCAAATCTTTTTGTTACAACAGGACCAGAGTGCAGGATTTAGTGGCAGCTAGCGGTGAGATTGCAGATTGCAACCACCTTCACTCACCCCTCCCTTCCCAAACCTGTAGGAGAACATGTGACAGGTCCTTTCTAGAGCCAGTCTTTGATTTGTCTATTCTTAGTTTCAGGCGATGATACACTAATGAAAATATAATTAATGGTTTGTGCCAATAGATCCCCCGAAATCCTAAACACTGGTCCTTTTATATATAAAAAAAAAAGATTAGATGCAGATGAATTCTCATCAGAGGAGGTTAAATAAAACTGTATGGAGCAACACCACTAATAGGATATGATAGCGGGGACTTTAACTCACCCTGACCGTTAACCGCAGAGATTCCATTGAAATTATTTGATATTTGCTGTTAAATGTCGCCGTTTTAACCGCTGGTGTGACCGGGCCTTCAGGCTTTAATGGGAGTATCTGTTGTTCAGCAGCTTGTGTGGCTTCCAGATGTCTCTTTTCATTCCCTTTTTAGAGGTGGTACAGACTGCATGTTGTCTGTATGTAGAAGAAGGTGTTGCTGCCGCTGCTGTGCGGGTTTTTTTTAATACTCGGATGTGTTTTGTCAGTTTTAAATGCCTCAAATTCACGTGTCCAATCCCGGTGCCCCGCTGAGCCAGCCATTCAGAAAACAGATCTCCTGCTCTTCCCTTCGCACCAAGTGCAAATAAATGTCCGTACTTAAAATGTCCATTGACTGAGACACCAAAAAAAAACCTCAACAACGAATAAAACATGAAGTGAAATGGTAAATGCCGTACTAGACGTCCTGTCAGTCAGATTTGTTTCCCTCTTCGTCTTTCTTGGCTAGCGGCGTTTCCTGAGGCGAGTGCCGGGGTGAGTCTTCGCTCTGACTGGTGGCTTCTGTGGTTTGAGGCTCCGGTTTAGTCGAGGACCCCTCTGTCTGCGGCGCTGCAGTTTGTGTACAGTTGATCGGTGCGAGCGCTATGGCAGGCTGCAGGGGACAAAAACAAGTGTCTATATAAGACGGCTGGATTGTGTCGAGAGGAGAACAAAACTGAATGATGACAACAGAGGACAGAATAGATAAGACAAACAAAACCAAAGAATATACAGTCATTCCTCTGTCCACAGGTAGATTTGAGGGTAAATGAACTGTTAAACACAGTTAAAGGAGCCTTAATGCTGTCAGAGGTATTCCTGTACATACAAAGTCCCAGATATGCGTAAAGAAAAGGGAAGCATATTAAAGAAAGTCCCACTGAACCACACAGGTAACACATGCCAACCAATAATATTAAAGATACAGGAGTTAATCTACATCTCTATGAGCACCACCAGTAACAGCTTCACTACTAGTCTAGTTGTGTGCAAACAAACATCTACTCTAAAGGGGAAAAACAACAATAAAAGAAACCTTAAGTAAGATCGGGATGTTTTAATGGAGTAAAGTAACAAGCCCAGATTGAATACCTGCAGTGACATTCACAGACAGCTGAGCCCTCAGCAGCAGACTACACCCACAGTTAAATAAAGGGCAAGGAGCAGCGATGGAAGGGAAGGAGGGGGACAGTAAAACAGAAAGAGGCAGTTGGAACGGATGGAATTATTTAAAGGGGTTACTCAACTTAAAGTTATACTTTACTCTGCATTGTTATTTAACTAGATGTTTTTGTGTTTTTTTTTCTTTTTTTTTTTTTTTTAAGTCTTTTTGTTCTTCGGCGGTAGGCAGTCATATCAAACTGGTATTCACCACAAATCCACTTCCAGTCCAGAACTGGGGCAACTCCCTGCGCCACAGTGCTACAGTGAGGCTGGTGAGCAGAGTGCAAGGCACCAGGTAGAGCAAGGCCGGCTGACCCATCTGCATCACGGCCAGGGCCACAAAGGTGATCAGCAGGCCGATGCCGTATGCTGAGAGAGAGAGAGACACAGACAGACAGACAGACACAAGGTCAATAGTTTCAAAGTCCAGTCATGTTCAGCCAACACTTAAAATAATATATAGTCAGTCTAAAACCTCATTCAGCCGGGGTTTATTTCTCCAGGGGATGTCGGGGGATTTTAACAGTATCTGCACTGGTCAGTGTTGTTAATCCCGTACACGTGTGTGTGTGTGTGTGTGCGTGTAACTCGCTGATCCTCAATTTAAATCCTGTCTGGACTGACTTATTATATAAATTGGATCTTAGTGGAGTTGTCCTTCTACTCTATTCATTTTTTCATCAGCTCAGTGTGAAATAAGAAGTCAAATCTGATAGATTCCAACATAAAGGCCAATTTAGGAAACAATATTACTGTCAGTTCATTTGTAACTAAATCAGCTACTTAAATCGGTTGCACCACGGTTACTTGAGGTATAACCAGTTTCATTTTATAACTAGTTTCAGTGGCCAATCAAAGACAGAGTTTCATCGTCATGGTAAAATATATCAATAAATTAGGTCTCTAATCGATCACTGTGTTGCTGTTTCACCATCAGTGAGTATAACTCTGTGACATTTTATGTCTCCCTGCATGTGTAACTATTTAGTTGTTAAGTTGTAACTTATCTCAGTGGTACAACCACTTTTATTTTAGTAGTGTGTAAATCATAACTTTATAAAAATGTACGATATAACGAGGCTAAGTTTGATCCAATGGTTGGATCTTACATACAGCGGGTGCCACAAGACCCGGTTGTTGTAATGTCGACTACAGGTTGGTACCGGTACTCTCTATTGACCGGTCCTGCAGAATGTCTGTTTATTACAGACCGAACTCTGTAACATTTTATTCCCCACCTCCACCTGTAATGTTAATCTCTCCCGTTATTATAACTCTGCAGCAACATTATCACCATTACAACCCTCACAAGCTCCATGTACGTACCGATTGTACAGGCCACAAAGTAGATCCTGGAGGATTGAGTTAAAATGTCAAACCTGTGACAGTACGCCACCAAGAGACCTGGAAAAAACAACAAAGAGGCTTTCAGATTAATCAGATCAATTAAAAAGAGATGTGACTGTGTTCAGCCAAGTTTCTCTCAATTAAATGTTGCATTAAAAATACATTATTTTGCAGTTATTCATTTGTGAGAACTAAATCTTGTTATGTGCAATTATATAGTGATAAATATGCATCCATGAAACGTGGGTGTTGAGTAGTTCTGTGTTTACATAGCTGACAACCACATCAGTGTTTTCTGCTCTAAATGGACTGACTGTGGTCACTGTCGGTTAAATAACTGTCTGATTGTGACCACACAACGATGAGCTTCCAGCAGTTTGAATTCCTCGTGGTATGATGACACAGTTAATTACCTGGTACTAAGATATCACCAAAACCCAGGAGGGAGAAGGGCCGGTCACACAGAGCCAGGGGAGAAGAGTTTAACCTTGGCACTTTGAGCACCATGGGAAGCTGGAGGAAACACAAACATCAGTGTTACCATCAACCACTTCTCCTCTGTGCTGAGAGGAGTTTGAAAACCGGCTCACCTTTTCATGTGTGGAGGAGTCAGAGGGACCAGCCGCTACCTCCACCATTATACTTTCCCCACTCTGTGGAGAGAAGATCACGGGCAACGTAAGCATGACGCACAGTAAACAGACAGCAGACGTCTGAACAGCCGTAAGTAACAGTGCTGACAAACCTTTGTTAAGAAGGGTGTAATAAATACGAAGAAAACATCATAGACAAAAAGGACTGACAGTAGTAAGGTGCAAGCCTGCAGAGAAGAGACAACAAACATTTATTATTTAGTAAAACATAATTAAAACCTTTAAAAATGTTCCACATTGTTGTAGTTTATGAGTGTTCTGACCCACCTTAAATGTGGGGAGTCTGACTGTTTTGAGCATGTAGAGACAGAAGGCGATCCCCAGGGCGTCCTGTAACACCCACGCCCACCTGGAGGACACATAACAAGACTGTGAGTCAGCCCACACCGTCGTCATATAATGTACCTCCAACATGTTCTCACACTCAGACAGGAAAATGCTACCATTATGTCACCAGACACACAACAACATGTGCTCTGAAACCAATATAATAATAATGGTAATGCTGTTGTCTCTATATGTTTGTGCTTTTCAATATTTTTAAAAATATTTTGTTCCTTTGTATTATAATTAAAGCACAGTTGCTTGGATAAAACAGACAAATATTCTGTACCTGAAACCAGAAGGGTGTTTAGAAAGGAGGTTCAGAAAAGAGTAGCTTATTGTGAAAAGACTTGAATTAACTATTAAAAACTTAATAAAGCCAATAAAGTTCAAGAACTTTGAAAGTCATGTGTGTGAATTTTCTTTGTTTGATGTGAGCTAAAAATAAAGATGTGCACGATAAGACATTTAAATAGCTTTGAACGAGTGACAGAACAGCTTCCATATTGTTTAAAAGCCTCCAGATTTGCTGTCTGACTTCGTTTCTTTAATTTAAACAAATTGTAAAAACTGTTTCTTACTACAAGGCTACAGCCATGGTGACTGGAATACTGCTGCAGATACTTTAGACTGAAAAAGATTAGAAGAGTTTAGACTTTAAGCAGACAATAAGTCCACGTCAGATGTAATCAATTTGACATGTAAACAGACTCCGCAGTAAACAGGAACCTTCAGAGAAGAACTTCTCTGTCAGATTGATTGTAACACGAGTTCAGCCTGAAAACTAACCTGACTGAGACCAGGCAAGTCTGCAGGGTTTCCATGGTAACTTAGGTTAAACATATTTATGGATTTAAACATCCATTATAATAGAATTTCCTGGTTTAGCTGGTAATCTAAACAACAACATCCTGAAAGAACATCTGTGGTTGAACGCAGCTGCTGGCTGGTTTCCTCTGTACATGCTGACTGTAAGTCTGTGTGAGCATTCGTAGTGGAGTGAATCTGACACACTGTTCTCTTCGCACTTACTGGTCTTCATTGCGAAACACCATCCAGGTGATGCTGACACCAATGCAGAGCGCCGACAGCAGCAACATGCGGATCTGCGGCCGTTTGTGCAAGTACGGCAAGTTGTTCTCCGGGACCCTGTGGTCAAAACACGATCCACACATCAGTAAATGTAACCACGACATCTCAGATCAACAGTGAGCAGGCGGTTTTCAGGCTGCACCCAGGACAAAACTTATGCAACTGTACGGAGATTCAGGAAACAATGTGACATGTGTTGAGATAGCATCTTGTCTCACCTGCACTTGCAGAACGGGAGTCTCCTGACAAAAGGCCACAGACAGCTGTGGAGGCCGACAGAGGAGGCCACACAGAAGATGGCTATGACCCAAATGGCTGAACAGAGAGGAAACAGCAGGCAGGCAGGAGATTAGAGCAGTTTATTACATGATATCCACTCATATGCTGTTGAGGAAATGCTGTTTTTTTGGTGTTTAACAAAGTTAGTCCTTAAATATCTGAATAGTTGTATCAGTTTCACCACTGTGTCCAGCATTTAATGTGCTGGGTAAGTGTGCAGCAGCCGGTCGGTCGTTCAGCAGCAGCCAGGTTTCTTTTTTTAATCAATTTATCAGTGAAATGTTATCTGAGCCATTAAGCTCTTCTCACAGCACAGCCACACTCAAGAGGTTCACACATTCAGATCTGTAAACTGCATCTACAGTCTTATAAAGCTGGACGCTGAGCAGCTCTGCTAGAGGAAATTAGGATAAAGGCTCTGCTGTAGCTTGAGTGGCTTGGAGCTAAATGGAGGAATTATTATCCAAGATTTGCTCAGATGGGCTTCTAACCAGCAATCTTCTGATTCCAAATCCTTCTTCTCAGCGAATTAAACCCACACTGTTGGCAGTGATGGCATGTGATAGTGATTCGGTTTATCCGGTTTAAAAATGAGAAGACAAATGACAGCCTGGTAAGTGTGCACTTATAAAATGAGGTGTTGAAAGGCTTTTGTTCTGATGCCTCAGTCAAGATAAGAAAAGGAGTCTGGGAGAAAGGCTAGAAAGTAAAACCATGAGTTGAGATTATTTGTCAGCACACAAGAAAAACATGGCCGGTCATCTTCACATTCTGTTTCCCAAGCAAATGCATACTGAGCCATGCCAGACCACAATGAGAGAGGGAAAAATTATAGACTGGCTCTGAGAGTCAAACCATCCCCCCACACAGCAATAAATACTGGGCACAGAAAACTGAAACCACTATTAATCTACTTGTCACATTAAAGTGGAGCTTTTTTTTTTTTAACAAAACGTGAACAAGTATCTTATATCAAGAGCAGCATACTGAGGGTTATATTACGTGTGTTTGGATCAGGGATGTGTGAGTGTGTCTGTCGTACCCAGGCGGTCATAGAAAAAGTAGAGTAGCACCAGCATACTGCAGCACATCACCACGAACACACAGATCATGATCGGGGTGACGTCAACCGTCTCCTCGTCCTGCTTCTCCGCACCGTCGTCCCGCTTGTGCTTCATGTAGCGCCTGCGGGAGGAGAAACGAACATTCAGAGTGGCATGCTGACTTAAGGAGGCTCGTTCACAACTTTAGAGACCAAGGATCCGTATCTGTGAACACTCTGCTTATGCCAGCTTCTTCAGTAAAGTAGTCAGCAGTTAGCCTGCCTCTTGGGTTTTGTCTTTAACTTATTTTATTCAACAGCATTTGGAGACTTGCCAAACGCAGCCAGGATGATCATCCTACCATCCACAGTCAATATTTACCATCATTTGGCTGGCTTGCACTCGCTTCCTTCCCGAGTTCAAAACACACACTCATATTCCAAAATGGGTTTTTTTTGCCTGCGGTCCTGTGCGTCAGAGACCCCATCTGACTGTGCCCTCAGTCACCTTGGCAACTCCGTCAGGAAGGACGGACCAGGATTGGCTTAAGCTGGTGAGTCAGTCATAAGGCCTCAAATAAACAACAGTGCCCTTTAGTGGAGTTGCAGTGGTACAATACAGGCTGCTTGGTTTGAAAAGAAGAGACCAATACACAGGCTCCACTAACAGAAACGACTGAGTTCTTCTTTCCCAAGAAAACGGTGACTAATTTTCCCTGAGGACGACTCCCCTGATAAATTAACTTTGATTTAAATTTAGCAGTCGGGGCTTAAAAGCCTGGCATGAAGAGGCAGAAGGAAACTTTGTGTCCTGTAATAATGTAATGTAGTGGAAAGTACAAAGTTGGGTAAATATACACTGCATCATCATTAACAATCAACTACCGCTTTTATCCCACAAAAGACTTTAGTAGATGTGGTTTACAAAAAGCATCCGAACGCAGTTAATACTGCTGGACTGAAGTACATGTGGAAAATGGAAAAGTAGAGTTTTTGACTAGATATCACTCCCAGCAACATTTATTGGTAAATCACCATGTGACGTTTCAGGAATTTGGTTTATTTGTATTTATCTTTATATGTAAATCACTTTGATCTGCATGTTTTGTATAAAAGGTGCCATGTACCTGTCCAAAGAGGTCACCTGACAGGTCATGTGATTACAAAATGGTGAAACACAAAACAAGAAGAAGTACATAAAATAGTGACGTACAATTTGTATGAACAATATGTTCCAAACCACCTAAATGCACCATAACAGAATAATAAATAAACCATCATACCTGTACGGCATATTGAGAGGATCAAAATATACTCTGTACCACATTAGTAAAACAAACAATACATATTAAAAATGCACAATAAAGTTTATAAATATAAATGTTCATGGGAGCATTATCTAGTGTGTAAACTCTACATTTTTAATATTATATATTATATTATTATAACCCATAAAGGGGGGTGTTCTCTAGTCTGAAATTAAACAGCTGTAATGAATTTACCCCTCAGTATATCCCTGCCTGTAATTTTAACACTCACACACAACTAAGAATTCAATATCATGGAGTGATAACCCACATTGACTATCAGTTTCCAACTCTATCCTTCACTGTGTTCACTTACTTCTTGCTGTCTCTGCTGCCGGCCCAGTAACCTCCAATGGCAACTGTTCCTACTGCCATCAAAAAGATGATCACCATGTTGTAGTCCAGCACCGGTTCATTGGGTGCATACATGGCAACCTGTCTTCCTTTACCAAAGGTCTGCAGGAGAAACAGCATTAAGTTAAAACGGTACATAAGAAAACACATTTCTCCCTCTCATCAAACACACATTATTTCACATTTGGTAAAGATGGCGAGTGGCCGGCCTCTCACCTTGCTTATGTCGAGCATATCAGAGTAGCTGAGCAGTGCCACAGGAATGTCGATCTCCTCATACTGAGTCTTGTTTCCTGCAGGTGGTGTCTGCAAGTAAAGAAAGAAAACAAGAGAAACATTCTGTTTAATGAAGTGCCAAAAGTAATTAAACCTCACGATGAAAACACACAACAGCCTTTAGACGTTTATAGTTCTGAGCCGGGTTACCAGTCTGTCCTTGCTGACAATGAGCAGGCCCTTGGCGCCGTTGAGCTGGGCTAGTCGGACTTTCTCGTAGAAAGTGCAGTTGCCTCTCATCACCATGGGGATGCGATTTGGGAAGCCTCCCTCCGGGACTTCAGAGAGCGAGCACAGGACCGATGTTGTCAGGTCATAGATCTGAAGACGTGACTTCAAGATAAAAGGTTTGCAGTGTTAACCAGAGCTGGAAGGAAATTCTATTACAGATAAACACTTAAAAATGTTCTTTATTTATTAATAGACTGGATATAATTGTTCTTTCCAAATGCTTCATAAATCAGTTAAATGAGCTGGATAATTGCTGTTGCTGCAAACAGACTGGAGTCAATAGAGATCCACTGATAATGGATGTATGAAACTATTTCTGAATTTTAAAAAGACTTTGTTTTTTTGTCCTAATGATACAATTATTTCCAAAAATGAAGTCCCATTTATTAATGACCTAGAAACTGTGATTCACTCTTTTATTTCCTCCAGGATGAATTACTGCAACTAATTATATTCCTGTCCTAACATCCTGTCTCAGGCACAGTTTATTGATCCCCAAGCGTGAGTGACTGTGAAACATTTTACAGGGTCTTTATTATTATTATTATTATTGCTTACAGACTCGGTTACACCTCTCGTTGCTCGTCGGTGACTTACTGCCTTATTGAGGTCCTGAGGTAGACGAGCCCACTGCGAGTTGAAGAATATGCAGTAATCCTTTCCTTTGCTCTTGCCCTTGTCACTGAAATGGGCCATGCCATACTCTCCCACCACCTGTCAACATAATAACAATGTCTGTGTCACTCCACCTGTCCATGAAATGTGAGTAACATTTGACTTTTGAATCATGGACTTGAACATTACTGCCAGCTGCACATGAACTGTTGTTACTGTTTCACCTGAAGTCCTCCAACAAGGTGAAGGCAGAAAAAGTAGTCTGCATTTATTTATGGATGGATTAAAAACACCAATCCAAAGGAGAAGCACTTATTTCCAACATCGTCCTGAGATATACAAATATGTGAATCTTAAAAAACAAAATTACATCAGTGCAAATAGCAAGACAAAATATTAAACATCCACATAAATACAACGATAAATACAAATTTAATTGATAACCTGTCACCTTACTCCACAAATAAGCCTTTAATTGACATCTATAAGTTCTTACATGGTATATTTATGACTGCACAGTGATGATAATGTACATATGAGCAGTCCCACACTTCTGAATTCAACAGTTTGAGGAAATACATTTAACAATCATTGTTGGCATGGATCCATTACACTGATTTATCAATGTGTCCTGACAAATATATCCACTTAAATCACTTAAATAAATGCATATTTCTAAACTACAAACCCAGGCACAAGAGTGGGAAACTAATAATGGGCCTTTTAAATACAACTTCTCTCTATTTAATTTATTTTAATAATAATATTAGCCTCTATATGTACACTGAATATTAGGAAATATAGTGTAGTTTGAGCTGCTGTTGCATTGTAAGGTTAAGTCTACACAACCTAGAGTAAAATACAACAAATACCTTTCATGGTTAAATAAAAATAAAGCTCAATAACAGCCTCTAAAGTTACCATTAGGTTGAATCAACACCTCTTTAAGTCTCTTTCCACTGAACAGAAAATAAACAACCACGGCTCAGGAGGAGTTAGGTTTCAAAGAGTAGGTTGGTTTCAGTATTTTAGGGAACCACATTGAGATCAGACGAACATATTATTTAACCTGAAGCCTAAAATCTGAGTTATCACTGATAGTTCATCAATATTATCGATCCGGTGCCTCCTAACAGTCCGTCACAACCCTCGGTAGTGTGTCAGTGAATCAGCAGTAATCCCTCCTCGGTTAATAACACATTAAAAGGGTGAGAGAGGGAGAGAGGAGTGAGGAGAGGAGAGAGGAGAGAGGAGAGAGGAGTGAGGGCCCCGCGGGTTGATCTCCTGCAAGCTAACAGTCCTAGCATCCAAGCTAATAATCCGGTTGGAGGAAAAAACAAAAACAAACGGGCTGCTTTTTAATCGGCCACGTGTCGCTCCGGGAAGTGAACGCACCACATGAGCAGTTTACGGAGAGAGTACACTCGGTCTGTCTCACCTTTTGGATGAGAAAAACGACCCCGATCAGTGTTTCAGGGACCCTCATGATGCTAGCTTGTTGTTGTTTCCCCCATCGACCAGCCAACCGCTCGGCGCGAGCCCCTTCGCACGAGCCCCCACCAGCTGTTCTGACAAGCCACGCCCCCACTCGGCTGTGCGAGCTCTCTGATTGGCTGCCACCGCCGAAGAGCGAGGGAACTCGTCTGTGATTGGTTAGAGTCGAAGTCAGTCAGGCGGATAAGAGATTAAAGTTTTATTGTAAGTATGGTATTTTATATGTGGTTTAAATGTGTCTTGTTTAATGTGAAAGACACATTCAATTATAAAGTATAAATAAATGACAAATAAATAAATGTGGGTGATAAAAAAATGTCTATTTCTGTATTTGACTGCTCAGGATTGTTGAGCTTTTATAGAGTTCAAGGTTTAAAACATAAGTTAATATATAATTTATGCACAGCTGATTGTATTTGATTTTTTTTTTTATGTCTGACAGGCCGTCACTCTGACCAACCACTAACTGTCCTGTACAATAACCCTAGGACTCTTAATATCCACTGAACCTGGAAACCATTTATTACTTATTTTCCCATTGTTTAAAATTCAGTGTCTCTTTTAAAAGAGCTGTGCATACTGTATGTACTGTATTTACTGTAGACTCTGTCATAGCCACCTACCTCATGTACATAAAGAAACCTGCACATAAAATATTTATTTCAGCATCCTCTGCTCTCTGCACCATTGTCTACACGTTTGTTTATAGATATGTATAAGTGCACATATAAGTCTGTGTCTTTTTCTTTGAACTTGTTCTGTTGATTTATGCTGTTTGTCGGTGTTTGTACATTAAAAGCAACATTAAAAGTGATTCTGATGTTTGAAATGATAAATATAGATCCTACAAGTACCAATAACCTGAACTGTTGAAGCAAAGTGTCTAATTTCTGTATGTTTTCTGTATGTATTATGTATTTTCCTTCTCAGTAACACTAAAGACTGTAAGTATTACATTTAGATGTGTAACTACAGTCAAGGATGAGCCACCATTAGACATGTCTATATGACTGTATGAACCTTTACTGAACTTTTCTACTTTTAATGACTCCTTCCCTTATCTTATGTCTTAATACATTTTCACTATGATATATTTATGTGTTTTTGTGCCTCGTTGGCCAAGAAGAGGAGGAAGATTGCCAAAACATGAGACATCTAACACACCAAGTGAAGATTGAATATGTTCGAGGCCATAAGAGAGTTCCTCCCTTCTGCACTACAAAAATGTGTTTATCTCTGTGCTTCTTGGTCAGACCTGTAAAACACACACAGTGTGTGTCAGCTTTGTCCTCTCAGCTGAAATAGATTCACTCTGTTTACTCTTTTATTATCCTGCTTTATTAAATATACAAAAGACAACTGTTTGTTGTATTATTATATATTTGTTCATCTCTAAATGAGGGAAAATTCAATTTCCACCACATGAACAACACTAATAAATATTAAATAATACAATTTGAATATTATGTGCTATAATCTTTTCTGTGTATATATGATTCTTTATTTTATGTCATTTATTAATTTATAAATTAATTTTAATTCATTGAGGATTTTGGTTCTTCTCTGTTCTTTAATGCAGAAAAAAGTTTGACATGTGTTAGATAACATTTTATCAAAGCTCCACAATTATTTTGCACATTAGCTACAGTTTACCATCCCTAACCTTTTATTTTCAATGTAATTATAGTTCACAGGACAGCCTCTATATATGTATATGTGTTGTTGTGGTTTTAGTACTTACTATCCTATGCTCATAGATTAGAAAACGCTGTCATGTTATAAGAACTCGTGTAACTCAATGGACCTCTTACTAAATTTGATTTCTTATTGATTGCAGTGTAAATAGTAGCCTGATTATTTGACAGTACACTTGATTGAGAATTGAACTGGCATAACATTAAACACTGATAAATATTGTGTATTGTATAATAATATGATTATCCAGTTATTCATATTCAAGTTTAGTCTGGACAGGCTGCTGCATATTATTGTAATTTCTGTTTGTGTGTTTTAAATGGGATCATTTAATTTGTACATTAAGACATTCAAAAGTTGTTCAGTTGGCCTGCCAACGATAAACTCACCTGTGATTGATGTAACTAAGTACATTTACTCAAGTACTGTACTACAGTACTGCAACCTTATACATCATTACATCTAAGCTAAATAAACCAAACTAAACATTTCCTGATCGGGGCAGCTGTTTTCCTGAGCTCATGAAAAGTTGAATATCCAGAGAAACGTGGTCCTCACAAACATATGGTGATTATCTTACAGAATAATGTGAATTAAACTACCCAACAGCATATAAAATAGTTAAAATTAGCTCAACATTAAACATCTACAGCAGTGAAATATAGGCCTAACACATTAATGCTGCAGTAATATAAATCTAAACACATCCTATATGATATTAAACACTGACCCTATTTTAACTGCACAATTATAGTATTAACACTTTAAGTATCTTAATGATGTGAACTCTTCTTCCACCACTGAAACTAACACATCCAAACACAACTGGCCATGTTAATTATTATTCTTGTACATTATTAGTCGGTTATTCTCTTCACTGATGGCACGCAGCGTTATTTGAATGACCCCAGACCCTCTTTAATCTCTGCATGCTCGATCTTGTTATCCATTGACGTAATGCAGCGGGTTCATTCACTCAGCATGATGTCACTCCATATGTTCTTCCTCCTGCCGGATGTTCGACTGCGTCAATGGACACATCACCGGAACTTAAGCGACTCCTGCTTTCAGAATAAAAAGGGCACATTTTTACTTCATGTGTTTACACTCTTTATACTTAAAAATTAAAACATTGCACGTCAATAGTGTTTTTTTCCTGCATGGTGAGTGGAACTTGAACTTATTGAACTAAATGCATTATACTGACATTTGGTCAGAGTGACAGGATTTTAAGTGTATATAAAGAAATATGGTATTTCTGTAATTTTTTTAAAAGTTGAAACGACAAATATGCTTTAAACTTGGTGCATAAACATAATTAAAGATATAATAAAAACACTGTGGAGTTCATTTTAGGTCCATATCCAGGATTTGGAAGTAATGAGTCCAAATTTACCCAGGCAGTGCAACCCCAACACAGTTATCTTTTTTCACATTTTATATATTAATTTAACCGTGAAAATATATATTTTGTAGAAGATAATTAATTAAATTGACTCTAAAAAAAGATCCCTGTTCAAATAAGCTTTAGAAAACAAAAATGTGATTTGTGTGTAATTGAAATTTGAATCATTTTCTCATGAAAAAAGTAAACAGATTCCCAGAAACAACAGTCTTGGTGCTTTCAGTGGTCGATGGTGTTTTTGTTTTGTTACACTGTCAAACATACTTTAAGTCTGGAGGTATGTTTACTCTACTCTAAGTATGAAAGTACTGAAAGTATGTTTAGGTTTGCATGGTTTTCTGTCAGTGTTATTTTATAAATATTAGTCAACAGAATTGAACATTTATTGGCTTTAAGATAACCGACTGAGCCGAGGGATTATTTTGTTCATGTACACCATTATTCAATAATTCTGTGCTCTGGTGACAATATAAATGCAAATACTCTGTGTATCATACAGACGAGTTCTTATTGTTTTGCTTTTTTAAAATCAAAATAAATAAAAGGGAATAGTAAAAAACAAAAACAACAACAACACAACTTCAGTGGTGTGCCACAATGTTTGGTCAGACTTTTATTGTGAAGCCGAGAACCGGAAGCTCTGTGCTCCACTGTGGCTAGCTTGAGCACAGTTCAGTTCAGTTCAGTGGGAATTCACTCTCAGCTCCTCCGGACGGGAATGCAGCTCTCATAGCCAACATATACTGTAAGTGTACGTTATAACAACTCCCTCACGTTGTGTTGGATTGAATACAAACATTTATTCAGCGTTATTAATCGTATGTCGACCGGTGTTTATACTCTTACGTTAACCTGAGCTGGTTAACCAGCTAAGCTAGCTCCGCTCCCCGGTCGCCGGGATTTCTTCCTTTATTTCTCCTCCTGTAAGTTTAAAAGCTGTATCACCTGGTGTGTTTGAGGCAATTCCTGTTGTTTTTAATTAATTATTACAGATAGAAGTCTCTGCTGTAACACGAATGAGTCTCTATTCAGCATCTTTTACAGCTCTGTGTGTTTTAAGCTACAATCAGAAGTAGTTAAGTGTTAACTGTGTTTTTATATATATATATATACACACACACACACCAGTCACAGTAAAACAAGGTTAAATCACGAGGGGAAGATACTTGTTAGTGTGTCTAAATCCCTTTAATAGAGTCGGAGGTGGTCCAGGGCAGGAGATGATGTCAGTAGGACTGGTATGCAGAGGTCTGACATCAGCCAGAAAGTCTCTGAAAACTAAAGCTGTGTTGACTCAGGCCAAATAAGGAGGAAAGAAACAGGTACTCACAGCTCAGTTGCCTTGTGGGTGTAAAAAAAAAACCCCTGTAATTGTGGCTTTTTATGATGTTTCTACTAACGTGGCTTTGTTTTGGTTCCACACCAATCTGTGCCAGTATTTGTTGTTGTTTATGTTTGTCTCTATTTGTTTTTTTTTTCTCTGCAGTGAATCCTAAGGCATTGTTCCCGTCATCATCATTCCAGTCAGCGCACCATGGCTGGCTTCAGGCAAGAGGATGTTGAGTTGCATTATGAGATGGGAGAGGAGCTGGGCAGGTATTTATTGTCTCCGACTGTAGTCCGTGCAGCTGAAGACACTGTGTATACTTGAATGTGTGTCGGGTGTTTCAGTCGCTGAAGAACGGCTCTAAATACGAGTCTGAATGCACCTAAAACACAGAATTTATGCTTTAGGATGTGTTCATTTCTGGCATGTTTGAAGGCCAGCAGAGAGATTCATGTGTCCACCACATATGTAGTGTCGTATCAATTAAAAAATGGGATTTGAAAACAGTGTAGTTAGTTGGTAGTATGTGCACAGCATGTTGAGACTCAGATAAAGTTAGTTAAGAGGTTTTTCTTTTCAAACTCTATGTCTTTTACCAGTGTTTGTAGTTTCTCTCAAGTGTTTGAGATGCATTTTGATTTCAGGTTTGAGCTCCGAACCATCTAAAACATTAGATCTGTTGAAGGCCAGAATATTTAAGTGTGTGTCAGCAGAATATTAAACATCCTGTTCAGAGTGTGTTTGATAGTTTGTGAACGAGTCATCACTATTTTAATAGTTCAAACTCAACTTTCTTTACCTGAGCTGGGTTTTTTTTTTTCTGCAGTAATGCAGCAAAGGTATGACATCACTGCCTCTCAATGTGCCTTTCCACCTCTGCTGTGCTGTATCAGGGCTGTGTGTGTGTGTGTGTGTGTGTGTGTGTGTGTGTGTGTGTGTGTGTGTGTGTGTGTGTGTGTGTGTGCTGAGATAGGAAGGTATGCTGAGATTTAATAGGAGAGTAATCAATTCTCTGCACAGTCATAAAGTATTACTGCATTATGAAATGTTCCTCCTCACCTGCACATTGGTCCTTTTTGTTGTTGTAAGTAATGTTATTTATTTATTTTCTTTTTCGAAACCAGACTCTAGATTACAATAGATTATCTTTGTTTACAATAGTTAGGACATGTACTATTTCACCATCACATGTCAGTTTTCCAGCGTATCTACCTGCTACTTTAGAAACAAACATCAATCATTTCTATTCCAGTAATTAAGATCCTTGAAAATCTCTCTTTCATTTATTTCTTCAAGGCCTTAAAGTTTCAAAACAAGTGAAAAGGGAATAGACTCTAATATCTAGAAAAGTCTTCAAACAAGTTTATTTCTATTGGAAACGGGATGAAATGCTCTTACTGGAAGATTCTTTCACTTGTATTAAGAAAAATAGTTTTTTATAATTCGATTATGGACAGAAATGACTTGATAAGGTGTTTTATTTTGTTAAATGAGCATTTTCCAATTCCAGTTTTTCCTTGTATGTAGAAAAAATGATATACCTGAGGAAGTTTGTGTAGACTTTTTTACTGCTGAACAAACATGTACTTTCATGTTTATTCAGCAGTAAGCGAGACAGTGTGCGGCCATCTCCGTCAAATTGCTTTGTTTCTTGTAAAATAAAGGATATTTTTGCCTCTTCAGGTTTCTTAAAATCCTTCAAATGGAACAATTTAAGAAAGAAAAAACATCCTGTTTGGTTGAACTTTATGTCCACATTGAGGCTATAATCTGTGATGAAGGGTCACAAGTAAAGGTTGCTTCATTTTTGGGGGCAAACAAGTTGGGACGCAAAGTTTTTCTATAAAATCTTAATTACTACAGGTTATTATAGCTCAAACTGATTTGTTTCCTGTGTATTCTGACCGGCAGCCAAGAATTCAATCATTATAGCAACATGAAGCTAGATTTTCCTCCTCTCCTCCCTGCAGTGGACAGTTCGCCATCGTTCGTAAGTGCAAGGAGAAGAACAGCAGTGTCGAGTACGCTGCCAAGTTCATCAAGAAGCGGCGGCTGTCGTCCAGCCGGCGGGGGGTGAGCCGCGAGGAGATTGAGCGCGAGGTCAACATCCTGCGGGAGATCCAGCACAGCAACATCATCACCCTGCACGACATCTTCGAAAACAAGACCGACGTGATCCTGATCCTGGAGCTGGTGTCCGGAGGAGAGCTGTTCGACTTTCTGGCTGAGAAGGAGTCTCTGACGGAGGAGGAGGCCACCCAGTTCCTCAAGCAGATCCTGGACGGCGTTCAGTATCTACACTCCAAACGCATCGCTCACTTTGACCTCAAGGTCAGCAGTCTGTGTGCTTGAGAGCGGATTGTTTGTGAGACTGTGGGCCAGCAGTCGCAGTTGACACGTTAGTGAGAAGTTCTGTGCAAGAAGTTTAGGTCGTACTTTAAATATCTAGAGAGGTTTTTACAAAGAAAGACAGGACGGTATATCTACAGTTGTGCAGTTTGCTGTCAGTTGATCAAGTCCAGGACACTGACGCCAAGATAGAAAAGTGGCTCATGTTTTCTTTGTGTAATGCTGCTGTTGATTAATGATTTCTCTGATAAGGCCGTACACCCCGTCCCTCAAGAGGCTTTTCCTTCTGCCAGGCTGTCACTGTGAATAAGAGTTTGTTCTTAATATCTTGCCTGGTTCAATAAAATAAATAAAGGAAGTACAGTCAGAATTTCATTAGCTAGATGGATGGATGGACTTTATTGATCCTAAGTAGGGAAATTCTTTTTTTACAGCAGCAAGTTGTCAGAAATATATATATTAAAAGAAAATAATCACAACAAATCACTATAAATATGCAATACAATGTGCAGAATTCTTTAAAATATTATATAAGATATTATGAAATAGAAATATTAAGTATAAATCTAGGATAAAATACTCAATACTTGACAAAGTGTACAACAGTGAGGTAGAGACGGAGTATGACAGTTTGAACAGAGACGGACAGAGGAGATGGTACAGAAAGAAACTATAAATGCGACAGTTAAAAAACGTTGAATCGAGTTCACATGTGAACTGTATCCGAACCTCATTCTCTCGTATTGTTTTTATGTTTCAGCCTGAGAATATCATGCTGCTGGACAAGAATGTCCCCAACCCCAGGATCAAGCTGATTGATTTTGGGATTGCTCATCAGATTAAAGCTGGAAATGAGTTCAAGAACATTTTTGGAACACCAGAGTTTGTTGGTGAGCTCGTGATTCTCCTTCCTGAATTTCACAGAGTAAAAAAAAAAGTGTTTTTGTGCTTGTGTGCGCCCACACTGGAAACTCAGTTAAACCTAAGTGGATGATAGTGCGTTCAGACCTCTACATCTGGTTTTAATTAAAGCATTCATTCCTCTGTTTACAGCGCCTGAAATAGTCAACTACGAGCCTCTTGGACTGGAGGCAGACATGTGGTAAGATGTCAACATGTTTTTTTTTTCTCCTTTTAAAACTGTTTACTGACCCGTTTCGAGCACTTTCATTCATGTTCTGATCTCTTCTCTTTGCAGGAGCATCGGAGTAATCACATACATTCTGTGAGTAATGTTTCACATCGCGACAACCTGTTGACATTTGTAGCAACATAAATCACTTCCCTCCATGTGATCCGTGTGTTTTATAAAGCGAACTCTGTGTGCCTGCAGGTTGAGCGGCGCTTCACCGTTTCTGGGCGAGACGAAGCAGGAGACTCTGACCAACATCTCAGCTGTCAACTATGACTTTGACGAGGAGTATTTCAGCAACACCAGCGAGCTGGCCAAGGACTTCATACGCCGCCTGCTGGTCAAGGATCCCAAGTATGAACTTTTCCAGATTTATTAGGGTTTCTTTTTGAAGATCAACAAAAAAGAGCACAGAGATAAACATAGATATACATAATAGATAAACAGTTAAAAATAAGTTTTTGCTCATTTACTTACGGATGATTTCTTTTATTTTGCAGGAAGAGAATGACAATCGATGACAGTCTTGAACACCCCTGGATTAAGGTGAGTGTTTTGTTTAGCGTTTATATCTGCTGATGTAGTAACAGTCAACACTGAGGCAAAGTGCTCAGCTGCTGAGCTTCTACTCATATTAAGAAACTTTAAGAATTATTTAATCTTCTGAAACTGCTGAGAAATGAATCCAAGACTAGATTATTGTAATTTGTTATACGTTATAGCTCGTCGAGACATGGTTCAAAATGCTGCAGCCCACCTTCTAACAAAGACAAAGTGCAGACAGCACACTGCTCCACTGTTGTCAACTCTCCACTGGCTGCATGTGGAGTTTAAAACTCAGTGTAACTCTACACGGTGAAGCCTCTAAGTACATTTCTGAATTGTTGTGCTCATATAAAGTCCTCTTTCTGATAGATCATCCAATTCAAATTTTAAAACCACCTCTCCAGACTCACTTAAATTCTCTTGTTCATGTTCGTTTTGCTTTTTTTTACTTACTCAAGCTCATCCACATTTGTTCTTTTCTTTTTATTATTTATTCATCAAATAAGAACAAGAAATTGCATTACAGGCGCACCAAAAATATGTTTGAGGTCCATCCATTACACAGTTAATTTAACAAATCCTTATTAAAAATGTTCGTTTATGTTAAGAAAATAGCAGATTTATCAATAATAGATTTTTTTGATATCTCAAATATCACTATTGTTAACTTACCTTTACATTTTTCCGTCTCCAGGTGATTAAGAGGCGAAATGTCCGCCAGGAGGAGAGAGACCACAAGACTGAGCGCAGGCGCCTGAAGACCACTCGTCTGAAGGAGTACACCATCAAGTCACACTCCAGCATGCCGCCCAACAACACTTACGTCAACTTCGAGCGCTTCTCCCAGGTCCTTGAGGAGATTGCGGCGGCAGAGGAAGGCCTGAAGGATCTGGAGCGCAATCAGCGCTCGTGCCGGGAGGACGTGGCGGCGCTGCTGTCCATATATGAGGAGAAGGAGGGTTGGTACAAGGAGGAGAACCAGAGCATCTCCAGCGACCTGAGCCACATCCGCCAAGAGCTGCAGCGCACTCAAGCCCAGCGCAAGAAGAGCCAGGAGGAAACCCGGCTAACCATGCACGCCGCCAGCATCCTCAAGCGCAAGTTCGGGCGTCTGGAAAACCGCTACGACGTCCTGGCTGAGCAGGTGGCCTCTGAGGTCCGCTGGGTGGAGGAGCTGGTCAAGTCCATATCTGCAGAGAAGGACGGCCTGGGCTCCGGCAGCATGCCCTGAGCCATGAGCAAACGTCCAGCAATGACACTTTCATCCTCAAGTATCCTCCTGCCCGTCTTCTCTGCGTGTGTCCGACACAGTGGAGCTGGAGTGGGTCAGTCGTCATCATAAGCTAAGCTGCTGCTGCCCATCAGGAAAAATGTTCCACCATTTTTTAAGGTCATGCTTGAGAGAACCAGCAAGAAGCAGAGAGGCAATATGTTGAACCCATTCCTCCGTAAAAAAAAAAAAAAAAAAGGCTCATTCCTGTGTTTTCTACATTTATTTATAATTTTTAGAGATTTTACGTACTATTATTTGACTGCCATACGTCGTAGTTAACACCATTATTTGATATTTTGTCTTCTTTTTGCAGCTGTCAGTTTTTGCGAATGGAAAAACAACTTGATTTATTTTCCTTAATTTTTCTTAATTACATCTGAATTGTGTTTGAAAGCCGTAGACGTCTGCTCATTCACTCTCAGGTTATTGGCCAGTTGAACAGCTTGTAGGTTGTCAGGTTTGCTCAGAGTTCAGGGATATTTATTTATCCGGTTACACTTCAGATTCAATTGCAGCTGACATTTTAAAAACTTCTCTCATATGTTGGGACAGAGTGTTGACTATTAAAGATGCAATAAACATGAACTCTCAGCATAAAGAACGGAAAGATTCAGGGTAACGCTTTATTTTACAGGTGATTTATTGAACATTTCCTGGAAAGAACAAAGCAGTTCGGTTCTAATTTTAGGGAGAATAAAGCTGGAGTTTAGTTAGTTGTATTGAGTTTATTATTAACTTTACATGAATGAAATAGCTCAGTTTAAACCCTAGTAAATATTTATTCATCATTAAGTCATTATTGGAAACTTTACTGTTCATAAAAGCTGAATTTTATGTTTGCTTGTAGACATGTTGTGCGTAAAAAGTCTTAAGGCTTGTGCTAGCATTCAAGAGTTATATATATATATATATATATATATATATATATATATATATATATAAAGAGTACCAGTTGATCACTCTCCAGTTCTACCTATAATTAGTACCACGTTACACGGTTCTTTTCAGGAAACGCCGGAGGAGTTCAATCTGAATTCACAGACCTGTGAGATAAAGCGTTACCAGATTCAGAATGTATAAACTCATCTTTACAGTGCCTGTAAACTGATCGACCTTATTGCCTCCGCTGAACGCTCATCTGCTCATCGAGTTAACGACATTTCTATCACATTGATACTGCTCGATGTCTTAACAACTTTTGCACATTAGCCTTGTAAACCAAAAATACTGTGCATGTTAGACTTTCTCTATATACTGTAACCGCTGTTAATGTTTTCATCCTGACGTCCCCGCACACTTGAAACATTCCATCGATAACGTTTCACATCCAGGCAGCACATTCCCCCTCTATAGCGTAGACAGTGTGTGATATAGTCTGTAGTGTTTTTCAGTAGAGAAATTTACTCATTTGCACTTAAATGATTATAGCAGTGTTCCCAAATCTATTTTAATCCGTCTCTTTAGAAAGAGCTGTACAAAAAAAATATGAACAGAGCTTGTTTCAAATAAACAAAGTTATCACTGTTACTGTATTCACGTGTTGTTATTGTGTGAATGATCTTTTATTCTATCTGTATCGTTTGTCTTTAACTTTTGTGGTGCAGAAAACGCCTCGTAAAAGAGATTTGACAGATACAGTTACTTTACTTATTAAGATTTTAAATATAAAACATTTGCTGAGTTCAATGATGATATGTTGTAAATTAAGCCACCCGAAAGTATATAAAAGAATTTAAATTAATAGTAAAATGCTGCTTAGACATTCATGTATCAATAATAATATTTATATTTTATATTTAAAGTACATTTAGCTACTAATAATTAAGTAATCTTACTGAAGTAGCATTTTTCAGTGCAGTACTCGAGTATTTTTATAGAGTGGTATTGCTACTTGTACTTCAGTATATCTCAATATTTCCTTCACTCCTGTTATTTTATATATAATGTTTTCATTTAATTCACAGATTTATTTATTAAACAAGGGACCCACAGATGTGGTAATATGTAGATGTAAAGAACTGTTTTACTGTATGTGAGATTGGTGAACCATTCACTCAGATTATGTTATGAACAAAATATAATATTGATTCTGTCTCAGTATTTGGTCCAAAAATTTAAATCAAGTTAAGGTGCAACTAAGAAAGAGAAAGCGTTGGATTTGGAATTGAAAATTGTTCACATTTTTATAAACACATGGTACCATCAGCTTCCTGAGTTTTCATTAAATACTTCAGTATACTTCCATCAGTGTAATCACTCCTCCTCACCCGGCATTCAGACTTCTGGCTTAGCAACAAATGTCACATCCACACTCAGTTTGCCCTAAATTCTGATTGGATCTCTTTCTGCTGGACTGTTTACAACAGTCAGATTAAAGTGGGTACATCCAATGCAACTGTATGAGAGATGCCCTCTGGTGGTGGCTCACTAATAATACATGAGATTTGTTTTAACCAACCAAGAAACACAATTATTTTATATAATTTGAACGAAACAACAAAAGGAAATCAAGTGACAACCTGATATTCTGGTTGATTTTCTGCTTTTGCTTTCAAAGCTGCGTAAAAAAAACATTTGAGTAACGCTGTGAAGATCAAAGCAGAGGAATATAAAAGAGTGAATGCATGGCTAGGTAGTAAGGGACATTGTTTTTGGGCCCCTATTAAATACATTTATTAAATACAACTTAATGGAATATACATTAGAGCAAAATAAGAAACCTCTTTAAGCCCGTTTTGACCTCGACCCTGCAGGAAAACACTGTTGTTGTTGAGTATGTGAGCGAGGGACAGAAAGATAGTTTTATTTTTTATTTATATATTATTAAGATAAAACTTTATCTGCTGTAGTTATTTGACTCTTGTCATCAAACTACCTGTAAAATATTTATGATAAAGCTGTCCTTACTGAATCACTTACAAGTAACCAAAATAAAACTCAGCTACTAAAAATGTTCTTTAAAGAGTTTATCACACACTCACATTTCTTGCTATAAAAACATATCACACAACAGTGCAGAATATTTGAATGCTTTTATTTGTATATTAATTATGGCGATAATAAATACTTCATAAATAACAACCTTGTCATCAGTTTGGTTCCTTTAGTCAACACAACTGTTTGCTGATGATAATCAAATGTAATCTGTGAGACAGTAGGCAATAATCTGCTTTTGTAAACTTTGAGATCGAACAGCATCCTTTAACTTCTCATGTGTAATAATTTAAATGTAAAGTTGTTGTTTTTTTCTTTGTTTACAAATGATACAAAGGACTTTTTAAAACCATTCTGAAACAAATGGATAACCGGAGCTACGATCACTACAGTGGAATGACGAGAGGAGACAGAAAGAGCTGCTCGTCTGTGTGTTAACATCAACCGGCGACGGTAATGTGGACTTCGCTCTGTGTGACAGACCAACAGCTGGAACAGCTGGAGGCATCGCACAGGGAAAATCCTTGGCAGTGGTCTCAGGAAAAACTGCAGTCTGCGCATTCATGATCCGCTCAGTGTTTTAACTGTCTTTGTGGAAGTCCAAGCGCAGGTAACTTAAAGACGGACAGTGCTTCCTTGTTAAACCGCCCTTCTTTTTGTCTTCATCCAGATCCAGATTGGTGGAGTAGTGCGGGGTATAGTCTTCTAAATCCCCTCTGATGTGCATCATTCAGTAGTGTTGTTTTCTCTCCCCGGGATGGCGAAGGCATGGCATAGTTGTCCAATTTTCACGAGTGGAAAGGAATCAGGAATACTTCACTCAAAATGCATAATTATGTAGTTGCCTCACGTGTCTCTGTCGGCCAATATTGATGCAGAATCTGCACCTCTTCTGTGGCAAATGTTTATTTCACAATGATCCTTACTCCCTGAAGTCAAGCAGCAGAAGTTAAAGCTGCAGGAGGAAACTTTTATAAGAAATATTTGCTGAAACTTACACTATATCCTGACAGTAGTACATGAGACGGATAATCTGAGAGATAATCCAGAGTCTGCTCGAGGTTTCCTTCCCTCTGTCGCCAGGTTCTTGCTCATGGTGGGAACTGTTGGTAATTTTCTAAATAGAAATAAACAATTTTATAAGCAGTACAGTCTTTATGGTTTCAGATTATCTGTCTCATGTACTGCTGTCAGGATACAGTGAAAGTTACAGCAAATATGACAGAAAGTACATTTTTTATAAAAGCTTCTTACTGCAGTTTTAAGAGAATACAACTGGGTGAGCTGAATATGCGAGTAGTAGTCTTAAAGTCACTGTTTATAACACAGGGCGTTTATCCTAAGTATACCCACTCCTCCAGGCACTACTACACCACCGATCCAGATCAACACAAATCCATTCTTTCAGGGTGTTAACTCTTTATGCGTCTTTCAGAGAGTTAATGTGGGCACAGAGTTTCAGTGCGGGTCCCAGTTTAAGGTTCATGGTGCTGACCAGGTGGTCCTCTGTTAGGAGCAGCAGAGCCTGTCCATCTATCTCCTGGGAGCGAAACTCCTCAGCTACATCCTGACCACCTGGAGAAAAGAGACAACAGAGAAATAAAGTGTGTCCTCTGTTCATTCCGATGTATTTTGTTAGCTGATATTTGGAGAATTACTTACTATGATATTTATATCTATATGTGACTCCTCAAAACCCACTTCTAGAGCCAAACCTCCTTCTTGTTTGTTTTCTCATCTTTAATTTATAATATTCATCTTGTTTTATCGTCCATATGTTTGTATTTACATGCTCCCTGTGTATATATGATTATGCATGTACATATTTCTATGTGAATATTCATATATATATATATATATACCCATATGTGTGTGTAGGCATGTTTATATTTGTATTTATACAACAATTACAACACATTTATTCTTGTCAAAACCAGGGGCGCGCTCCAGCCTTTATGTGACAATTTCATCAAAAGCTACCTTTGAACATCTGGCGGCATTAATTTGATGCATGAGGTGATTTTATGTCCTTGAAGGCAGCAGCAGTGGAGCGCTTGCAAGATACATGAAGGAAAAGCTGCTTATTTAGCTTTTAGCAGCGAGCGCCACCAGTTCTAAACCTCCTATGATTCTCATGAGTGGATGGAGTGAGAAATCAGGAATACTTCACTCAAAAATTGCATAATTAGGTAGTGTTCTCACTCGTCTGTGGGCACTGATTACAAAATCTGCACCTCTTTAGTGCCTAATGTTGATTTCATAATGATCCTCCCTGCCTGAAGTCAAGCAGCAGACTTTAACTGACAGCTAAATATGCATGAGTAGTCTTACATGTCAGTGTTTATAACTCAGGACGTTCATCCTTTCCTGAAAAGGCCACTTAAAAAAAGAGTTTGAGGCATAAATTAGGAGTATACCCCACTTCTCCAGGCACCACTTCAACACTGAGCACCACCACGAATTAACAGGAGAATCTGTTTCCTACCTACATGAACGCCATTGTGTCTTAATTATTTTAGAAGTCAAAGGCGATGAGTTTTGTTTGTTTGGCTGCTTTTGAGCACCAGGAAATTGTATTTATGTTGGTTGTCATGCTAAAAAATAATCAATGTATATATTTTAAAGAGCTGTTTAAATTAAATTACTAGTTTTATATATTTTGGGAAATCTCTAATTTCTATTCTAAAATCAAACACATCAAAGAGCGTAAAAAGGACTGAAAACTGATTGAATGCTAAATAAACTCTGGGATGTGCAAAATAAAATGTAGAAGACTACTTTAACATGGCAAATTGGCTGTATTTCCTCTTCAGACTCTGCTTGATCTGCTACAGAGGAACTTTTTGCACATCTAGTCTGACTTATTGATACATTTATAACCTAAAAGGAACTTTTAAAAAGATTATTTTTGCCTTTGATTGACAGAAAATAGCTGAGAGTTAGGAGAGGAAATGTGGGGGGAGAGAGAGGGATCCTCAGCTTCACCCCCGAGCCACCACGATGCCCTGTTTCACAACTTTTAAACGTCCTATCTGCCCTGGTCTGACGTACATTCCTACCCTAATTCAGTGGGAACAGGTGTGATAGAGTCACAGCCGTACCTGGCAGGGAGCTGATAAAAGAAAACACTTGTTCTACGTTCCACTGAGACGGACAGCCGACGTCTTCCTCTCCGTCAGAAACACTGATTGTTTCTGTTGTCCTCAGCTCCTGCTCTCTCTCCTGCTCTCGCTCCCTCTCTCGCTGTCTCTCAGCCTGTTTACGGAGCCTGGTTGTCATGGGAACGGGAGGTTCGTCTTCCTCGTCGTCCTCCTGCTCTTCCTCCTCTCTCAGAGAGATTTGCCGGGTCTCCTCTGAGCGAAACGAGCCCCGAGCCTGCGGAGCATAATCAGATAAATATTGTATTTACTGACAGTCAAGATCCACCATGGTTTTTCAAAATAAAGGTTTAATTTAAAGGAATTACTGCATTACAGGGTTTACTTTAGTGTCGCATGATGGGCTATTAAAGTCCCAATGTGTGGGATTTAATGGCATCTAGTGGAGTAGTTGCATCCATTTCCAAGCGCGAGGGAGAAACTACGGTGGCCACAAATGCGCAAAAAACTAAAATTTAGAGCCAGTGTTTGGTTTGTCCCTTCTGGGCTACTGTGGAAACATCTCGGTTCTACATGGCAGACTCCACAGAAGGCGACCTGCTCCATCTGTAGATAAAAACGTCTCATTCTAAGGTGACGAAAACACAATTCTTTTATTCAGGTGATTATAAACTAATGATAACATACCTATGAATATTATATTTAATTTCTGCCAATAGATCCTAATAAATGTTTCACACTGGACCTTTACTAACTGTGGAAATATATATTATAATTTACACGAGCCTTCAGAAGCACATTTTAGTTAAACCTAAATATATTTTTACTGAATTTATATATTTAATGTTACATTTTTGACTCCACAGAATCTTATTTGTTATCTTATCTGGACAAAATAATTTTAAGGAGGATGCAAATTTCTTCAAATAACTTTTAATGACTCACGTTTTCCCATTATACAAAATATTATTCAACTTTTATAACTTTAACCATTTTAACTTTCTTTCCATCTGTTTACTTCTTTATTGATTTACAGTTGATTTTATTTCGTTCTCTTTGTATATTGTCATACATTGTTTTCGTCATTGTCTACGAAGTTGTTTTTAAGTTTGACTAGTGGTTTCCAACGGCGGGGTTGGGACCCCAATAAGGGACTGAAAGACAAATCTGATGATTACCAGGATACAGAAAAGCAGAAACAAACATTTCTAACAAACAAGGTCCTGTTGGTTTTTTCAGACTTTTCCCTTTTCCATTTTTTTCCCTCGTGGGTTTCTGGAAATAGTTTTTATCTCTTCAGGCCACTCGAAAATGACTCAAAAAAACAAGGAAAAACACGGCACTCATTAAAAGAAGACATCCTGTTTTTTAAAAACAATTCTAAAAAATGCGTTCTCAAGTCAGGAGTCTGCCTTTCAGAGCTTTACTCCAGCTTGTACCGGAGGATCAGTGATCCCTCCAGTACTCCGGGTCAGTTGTATTAACTGACCTGTCTCACAAAATGTTCTCTGGAGGCTCCGTTGACTCTGCTGGGGGGTCGTCCTCTCCTGCCCATCGGCCTGTGACCCCAGCGACCAGCTCTCAGCATGGTGATGCGCTTGGTGCAGCTCACACTGAACCTTAACAGACACAGGCTCAAAACATTCAGTCAGATTCACACAGTTCATACAGTCGACTGCAGTCGTGATGTCTTGAAACACAAAATCTCTTTGAGATTTTATTTTTGCTGTAATGAGTGCAGACAGTTAGACAGCCATTGGATAAAATGTTCATCTGTCTCTCTTTGAAGCCTGGGAGTGATTATACACTTCCGACCTTTTTCTTGTAACCCAAATGTAGCTCAATGGATCCCAGATGTCAGATGACGTGTCTCACCACCAGCCAGACAACATTTTCAGTTTCAGTTTACTTGTCTTACACAGGAAAAGATGCTCTTTTGCAGCAAAACTCTACTTTTTCTTTCATGAGGTTCCAACTAATGGCTTGTTGACCTCAGCACAGCTCCAATGTACATTATTCCACAGTGAAGTGCCTCATTCAAGGGCACTTTCAGTTGCTGAGGGATGGGAATGTGACTATTTCCACATAATTGCTCAGACAGTGTAATTAGGCAACAAACGTACATTGAAACAAAGCTGAAATACCCAGTTAAGCATCAGAGTTGTTCTTTAAAATAATGTTGATCCAACATCAGTCGTTGTTTTGAACTGTAAGTGTGGAGTCATTCTGCATTTTTCTTAATCCCATTAAAATACTTTCTGGCTTCCTCTACCCTGTCTGTGTTCATACTTTATCTGCATGGACATAAATCTTTAAACATGTATCACAAATCTGTAGTTTTATATTTTTTAAAAGGCTCAGTCATTTCCTAAAACAGCAGGACACTGTAGGTTTTTAGCAAGGGACTATTTTCAGAGGTGGATTAATACACATTCAGTGCTCTAGTAAGTATTTCTGTTTGTTTGTGGGATCGACTTTAATGAACTCAACTGTGTGTTAATTTAACGTAATGATGGATCATGTCACCCAGTGCGACAGTGAGGCTCATTTATATGTTTTTTTAGTCATTTTTTGGCAAAAACTCAGCTCAGATTGAGGATGAGCTACATCAGGCTTTAACTACACAAACAATACTTGTTATTTCAATGAATCAGTTGTTGGTTTTGGTCTTTTCGTGGGATTTGTTAACAATAAAACAAAATATAACATTGCCAGCCCTAAAACTGAAACAGAACAGCCAGTCTGGCTACTTACCAATAGAATAGTGTGTCTATCTTTGCTCCTTGAATACTGATACTGTTGGTTTTAATCAGCTAACACCAACTCAGCATCTATTCAAGTATCATTTTACTGTATCTATAATTGCAGTTTAGCACCAGACTGACATTATTTCAGAGAACCAGACTGATGTTACTAGTTACAGATTAACTGAACTGTTAGTGTGATATCTGAGGACCAGAAACGTGATTTATTTACCTTCTGACACACGTCATGGAGCAGAAACGTTTGGAGCGCAGAAACGTGTGAGCGTAACCTTTGCTCCCACAGAACTCACACTGCAGCACACCTGCCACGCTCTCCCCGAGCTCTGCAACTTCACAGGACCAGCTGTTAGTCACACATGTACACACACACACACACACACACACACACACACACACACACACACACACACACACACACACACACACACACACACACACAAACACACACACACACTCCACCTCACCATCTGCTGTAGGGCCGTCGTTTTCCATCTCAGAGTCTGTTGAATCCGATAGGTCAGCATCCAGCGGACTGTCCTCTGCTGCTTCGTCCCCGTTGGTTTGTATCTCCTGGGATTCAGGAAGTGAAGCCTGCTGGTCCGCTAACATCGACGTGGGGACCACCTGCATGAAGAGGGTCAGTTAGAAAAGTACTATCACACACACTGACATGGAAAGACGTGAGTCCAGTGTTGATACGGACAGGGTGTCATTTTTCTTTGGATTAGAGTGATTTGGGCGGAGGGGAGGCCCGTTCCAACCAACCCTGTGTTGAGGATTAACAAAGAAGTAGTAACTCTTCAAGGATAAGGCTGGAGATATTAAGTAAGTATTACCTGTGTAGCCAAAGCCGGATATATCTTATTCTTATGTGCTATAGAGCTTCATTGTTGTTCGAGAACTATTAAAAACACATAACTGAACGACACTGTTGCACTGGGTGACATGTTTCTACATCATAACGAACCTGGACACTAGTTTATTTTCAGTCAATCCCAAACATGAGCACTGGAAGTAAAATATTAAAATATGGCATAATGAAAACAAGTAGTTCATAATAATGAACTTTCTCCTTTTTTACTGGGATTGACATGTGTACACTGGAAATTATGGCAGGAAAAAAGGTTTTGCCTTGTTTTTTTAAATCAGTTTTATCAATGAAAAAGTGTAAAATGTTGTTAATAATTATTTAATAGGCTATACATTGTCCTGGCCATTCAAATTAATACAAAAACCATGACTCTCATGCATTTAGCATATATTTATATAGCTGTAGATAGTATATCAGTGGGAGCAACAAGAATACCAGTTCTTTAAATAACTCGCTGTATAAGCTATAGTTTAGAGAATATTATAGATCCAAGACCAAACTGACAAAAAGGGCGAGACTGAGAAAATAAGGCACAATTACAAATCCATCTGCTACTTCAACACCACAGACAGTGGCATGGATTTATCAATATGCTGCACAGTTAGACTGCTGATGTTTCAGAGCCATGGTCGGGAACTCAGGGACATCTGACTTCCACAACATTATGATGTTTCTGACCTTTGCTTGAGGAAATGTTCTCTTTTTCTAGCATGTGAAATAACTTTTCTCTGACTCACTCTCCAACTGTTTTATTTATTTTTTTAATCTTCCCTGTGTGTGTCTTTCACTCTCTGACTGGAGTCGTAATGTTTATCTGAATGCAGAAGCAGAGTGCTGTAAAGGCTGGAAAAGCTGCGTCGCTTAAAATAGAAAATGAAATAATTCTTAATAATTTATTGGCTACAGGTCTGGGTCGGGATAGGATGGTGTCGTGGTTCGCCTGTTAGTGACCTTGGTATTAAGAGATGGCAGGTTAACAAGGGGGATGACATCCACCCTCATCCCTCATCCCGGTCCTGCTGCTATAAAAACCCACTAGAGCCCCACAACAGTCCCCAACAAATGCACTATTTACTCCTGTTTGACTTTAACGTTTGCTAAGACTACAGTGCCCAGCTGAGCCTTTATTAAATGTAAACATACATTCTGTATATTTTATTTCATTCTTCTGGGTTTCTCCTCCACATCTGTGGGCGATGATTGAGTGAGTATAATAAGAAGGCCTTACTTTTTGAATTATACATTTACAGGTGTGTTAGATAGTTGCGAAACCAAACAACAAAACATACGACACAACGTCAGTTTAAAGGGTTTCAGGATGAGTTCAAATTACCGGGAACGGTTCCAGGCCCTCTCGGATTACGAAGCCCTCTACGAGGTGTGTGAGGACGTGGGTTGTGAGTATCCTTTCGGGGCTCCCGGGGACACTGGCTGGGGAGGAGGGAGGCTGGCTGGGGCCTCTTACTGCAGCTGGAAGGATGGGGGGAGGAAGAGGAGGAGATGGAGGAGGAGGGTTGCTGCTGTTGGTGCTGCTGCTGGTGGTAAACTGGGGCGGCTCTTCCACCACCGGTGACTGGATCACAGAGCGGCTGGATATGATGGAGGATGAACCCATCACTGCTGAACAATAAGAGGTATAAAGAAGAACTGAGGGGTGTTTACTAAAGCAAGATTACCTGTTAAACCAGACTTATTCCAGTGATTTCATAAAGGATGTTTAAAACAGTGTTTTAATCCATTTGACACACACTTCCTCTTTACTGCTGCACTGTGAACACGACTTCATGTATCTGCACAGTATTTTAAGACAACATTGACCCATCGCTCTACCATCATAGTAAGAAATATTGTACAATTCCTTCTCTCCTTAAATGTCACCAAATTAGATTAATGGAAAAGAAATCAATTTATTAAAAATACAGAAAGGAGCAGTTGGCAGCCAGTCTGAAGATATTTAAACAGTATTTCAACCTTATGGAGGCTAAAAAACAAGTATCATAATCCAACTAATAGAGAAGTTAAGGTAAAAAAAAAAAAAGCAAATTATCTTAATCTCTTGTTGTTTTATTGCTATGAAATAAATTGTAGGTCCAATTTGATATTTAAAAAGGTGTGTTAAACCCACTAACACACTATTAATAAACCTACACGTTAGTTTTCAGAAGTCATTTTCAGCTCCAAATGGATCCTGGTTCAGATTTTTAGGTTCATTCAAGTTCTGCTTTTCTGAGAATGTTTATCCTTTTAGAAATTTTTATTATATTCTTTGCTTTTCTATTTTATTCTTTCATTATCATGTTTTACCTGCACCATTCTGCTTAGGAGGCACACTGAGAGATGTAGGGGTCCTGTCTCTCTGTGGACGAGGAGAACATTCATCTTTCCTCTCCTCCGAGCTCAATCCATTCACTTTGCATGTTTGCCCCGACTGAAATTCAACAACCACAACAAACCCTCGGTTAGAATAACCCACGCTGACAACGGGCAAAGCTTGTGAAGCTCAACCACAGCACAAGGCGACTCACCGATGGACCTTCACTGCGTCTGACCGGATGCATTTTCAGATCAACAGCCACCGTCTGAGGAGGAGGGAGGTTCTGGTAGGGCATCTGGACCAGAGCCTCCGCTACGGGCAGCTCCCGCTCTGTCAGCAGCACCCGTCCTGACTGGACGGCCAGAGCCTGGACTGAGTGCAGGGAGAGCCTCTGGAGTGAGGCTGGGGGGTTCTGGGGCAGCCTGGGGAGGACGAGAGGTGGAGGAGGAGGCGGAGGCTGGTTCTGCACTTGTGGGAATGAGGTCCGACGCTGCGGAGCGGCCACCAGAGGAGGCGGCTGAGGCTGGACGGCGGCAGCTGGGATTGAGGTCTGACCTGATGTTCCAAACATGCTGGTGACAGACGGAGAAGAAGAAGAAAAAGAGGAGGAGGAAGAAGGGGCTCGGGTGTCATTATTGGGTTGTGACTGGGTGCTGGGAGTGGTCAGTCTTTTAATTGAAAGAGGAAGAGGGTTGGAGTTGGTTTCTTGAGGTGCTACTCTGAGGGCGATGGGCTGCAGCTGTCTGTGGTTCGGAGCTCCACTCGCTTGCTGGAGGAGGAGCTGGTGCTGCCCAACCCGCTGGCCCGGTGGACAGGACAGCTGCTGCTTGACCAGAGCGTGGGTCTGCACAGGAGAGTACGCTGCAAGGAGAGCGATGCATAGATAGACGTGAAGATCAAATACATAAAACAAGTGACTCTAAAAACTAAAAACACATTCACATTAAACTCCCATTCATGTGTTATTGTTTTTAGCTAATTTTGTCCCTAAAACTAGATCTATATTTGTTTAAAACTATTCATGAAACAATTAATGTTGTGAGAAGTAGCATCACCTACAACACTGGTTCCCAACCTGGGGGTCCTGATCCCCACTAGGGGTCGCCAAAGCTTCACAAGGGGTTGTGAGCCCTTCTTAATTTAAAGACATAAATGTACAGTATAGGCCTATATCTCAGTATTTCATGCATCTCTGTGAAGAAAACTAAAGTAATTTGTTATTTTAAAAGGTAATATTATTATTTAAGATATAAAGGTAAAATAATCTCACAGGATATAAACTATATTCACATATTTCCGTCTTTGATAAAAAGTCTCATCCTGAATTAGAAAAGTTAAAACAACCAAAGAGCTGACAGAACAATGAGAAGAAAACACAGAATTAGTCAAAAAGAAAGTGTATTAAGTATGTATGATTATTAAAAATAAAAAAATAAATGATATAGACACATAATTGTGTAAAAGCTCATCTCTGATTCAATATTCACAGAAATAATCAACTTAAAATGTATCCAAATCACTCGTTTTACACAAACTTCCTGTCACTATTGCAGTGTTCACTATTTGGGTTAATTGTACATTTTATCCGTTGTTCTGTACTGTTATTGTTATGCATTGAATTTAATATGAAATATACTTAAAATACGTCACTTAGTCAGGGGTTGTCAGTTTACTCAGTGAAAGAAAAAGGTTGTGAACCACTGACCTAGAACACACTTTTTGTCAAAAACTCTGTAAAGTTAACTAAATCTGTCATTGTTTAACTGAAACATGATCAGTTTCTGTAAATATGAAGCAGCTGTTGGAGCAAACATATCTAAAGAAAACACCTACCATCCACAATGTGTCACAAATGATCTATTCCACCTTTATTGGGTTATTTGCACTTTACCTGAATGAGGCTTAAAAACTTTGTTTTCTTCCCCCACACCTTCCCAGCTGTTGTTGTTTATGGGTGTTAGATTGATTGGCTGTTGTTCTTTGTGAGTATATAATTACACACTTTGTTATAGAAAATGCCTCACAAAGGTCAGTTGACTGAAACGTAGCTGTTTCATAAGTTTACCATAAGTGCAGACAGCATGTGGGAGTAGATTTTGGCTCAACTGTGACTCACCACTTAAGCCGGAAACAGATGTGCTTTCTAGTAAACTTTCCTTTAAACCTCAGAAGTTGAACACTTTAGCTCACCCGGGGTTACAATCTGAGGTCCTGAGGCCAGCCGGGTGACATCAGCTGGTCCGGTTTCTGTTGAGGTGTCAGTCAGCTGGTTGGTCTTGAGCGCGCAGACCGACGTCTTGGATAAAGAGGCGGCCGGATTCTGGGCTTGTGACTGAGCGGATGGCTTTAAAATCACACTGTGGGCTGTAGCCAGAGCTCCGGGTAAGTGGGCGCGAAGAGCTAAATTCTGCACCTGAATATACACAAAAAGAAAGTCACTTACACACAGTTTATAAAAGCTAAGGGATGTGGGGATGGCAGCCCTTCACTGCCACATGCAACTTCATTAATAGTTCTTTTAAGATTCAACAAAATCCCAAGCTGCATTATACTTCTCACTATCTTTTGCAACATGGCTCATGCTCAAGGTGTGTAACAACCTGAAGTCTATAATATTACACCTTTGTGGCATGCATTGGGGTTTGATTTTCTGATTCTGTTTCCTGGCAGAGTTTAGTACCTGAGAGGAGGTAGGTAAAGAGGAGCAGGAGGTGACAGCAGGGAGGTCTGATTGAACTGTAGCCACCGTGGCTGCAGGGGTTAGAATAAGCTAACAGAAGAAAAGCATAAAGCAGGGAGAGACAGGTGGCTAGTTGGTTAAAAATAAAGAATTAGCATTTTGTCAGAAAGAAAAAGCACAAGAAAACGCATTCAGTAAGAAATAGAAAATAGGGCAAAAAAACGAGTCATGCAGTTTTTAAAGTACCAGCTTCAGATATGTGAAAAGGTTTGTACCATCTGAGTGCGAAGGTACATCTGAGCTTGGTTACAGTTAGCCGGCCTGTTTCCCAGGAGCATGGCCTGCTGGGAAATGGTAGTTGCAGCACCGGTGGACGTTTGGGTTCGGCCAATCAGCTGGGCTGTCACTGGAGACGCTGGTAAAGTAATCTGGATTCAGGGCAGCGTGATGAAGGACGATAGAAAAAAAAAGAAGGATGCTGAGGTTAATATTTGTGCTCAGGTCGGGTTGATGAGAGTAACACAGATACTTACTGAGTTTGGGGAAACACCAGCAGGCTGATGAACCAGATTGCCCGTGGATGAAGAAGGTGACTGCCTCTGACAGACTGAAGCCTGGAAAGCATTTGGAGAGAGATCTCACACCCTGTAGTTTATGTTAACACGACTCTTAATGCACTGACACGTGACGGAAACCAGCTGACCTGCTGAATGGTGGCCAGACTCTGCAGATGGGGGCTGTGCTGGTGCTGCTGCAGGGCTGCCGTCTGCAGCATGAGGTGCTGCTGCTGGGCTGCGTACATCTGATGCAGGTACTGGGCCGCCATGCTCTGAGGTCTGTGGATGGCGTGCTGGATCACCTATTGCATCAGATGATGGACACATTAAGAGCTTTATAAAAGGAATATTAGTTCATTATCTGCAGCACAATTATTTTTATTAGTCTTTTGAATTTTATTCAATCTGACAAATTTGAATATTTATGAATTTAGAAGATTTAGTTTTGATTATTTTATGTTTTTTGATATTCCTAAAATAATGAAGATTTGTTTTGTAAAAAACACTTTTATTCTGAAGGCCACGGGTTTGAGATATTTTAAGCCTTATAAGAGAACCACATTGTTGATTTCATGTTAGTGCTATCAGCTATTCTACATGAATAGCTCACTTTAAATAACAAAATATACTATATATTCATTTATGCGCCCTTTTTCCTGAACGCTCACAGCAGTACAGTGGACTGTCTATTTCCTGTCCTGTCTATCCTTTGGTCTCCAAAATTACAATATTCTGTAAAGGCACCTGGAGTTATACGGTACTATCTATCACCTGGCTGTCTGTCAGGTTAAACAATGCTTGCAGAGGTCCCAGGTACAGTCTATTACCTGGATTCCTCTCAAACGGAACAATGAATTCAGCAGTCCCAGGTACTGCCCATTACCATAACGACTGCCTCCCTGTCAAACTAAACAATGCATGCAGAGGTCCCAGGTGCTGTCTATTATCTGGACCTCCTGTCAGTCAAGTCAAACAATATATGCAGAAGTCCCAGGTGCTGTCTATTACCTGGACCGCTTGTTTGACAAGTTAAACAATGCCTGCAGAGGTCCCAGGTACAGTCTATGACCTGAATTCCTCTCAAATGGAACAATTAATTCAGCAGTCCCAGGTATTGGCTATTACCATAACCACCTCCCAGTCAAATTGAACAATGCATGCAGAGGTCCCAGGTACCGTCTATTACCTGGACAATCTGACAGTCAACAATATATGCAGAGGTCCCAGGTCCCGTCTATTACCTGGACAATAATCAAAAATGTATGCAGAGGTCCCAGGTACCGTCTATTACCTGGACAATCTGACAGTCAACAATATATGCAGAGGTCCCAGGTACCGTCTATTACCTGGACAATCTGACAGTCAACAATATATGCAGAGGTCCCAGATCCCGTCTATTACCTGGACCGCCTGTCTGTCGGGTGAGAGGATGCTGAGGGAAGTAGAGGGCGCCTGGGTGCACGTGGTGCTGCTGGGGCTGACTGTTGCCATGGTGACGGCAGCTGATGAGGTGGGGGTGGTGGCGGCTCCGGTCCTATTAGCGTCTGCCTGCCTCTCTCCTGGGCTCTGCCTCTCCATCTCCCGGGTCGCACACACGGACTCAGTAATGGGGAAACTGTGGCGGTAAAACAGACATTAGGATAATTAACAAGAGGGAGTTAAATTAAACACTTCCAACTTCAGATAAATCAGGATAATGGACCTGCTCTTTTGTTGTTCAGCGGTTTTCTAAACTGTTTTAGTCGAGAGAAGAGAGCTTTTAAATACTGTAATAGTTTTTAATTTAATATAAAACACCCATTGTTCGTGCTGCAGATGGTTAAACTACATGTTTACAATTTAATACAGGATTCAGCAGCTGTTTCCTTTTTACAGAATATCTATAGACTGCATCAACAAAATATACTTCATCGCACTTAGAGGAACCTTTATTCGAGGAGGTTTCACTATATATTTGCTATATTTTAATTCAGCCATGATTGAAAGATTGGATATTGTTGTAAAATATGAATTCATCTGACTGCAGCGTGAAATCGGCCCATTTCCATCCGGGTTAAAGGCGGTTTTTTCAATGATGTCTTTTATTCGTTTTTGATACAAAAAGGAAAAATACTTTCACATTTCAGTTAGGTTTGGTTTTAACTTGGTATATCTTTATATATGAGGGGAATTCATCCAAAAATAAGCAATAAAATGAATATATGTGACATAAATAGGCTAAAACATTTACAGATAATCTATCCAGTGCAGCACTGAAGTAGCCTACCATCTATTTGTTTGTTTGTTTTTAGCCAAAAGTAAATAAAAAAAAACATTTAAACAAACTAAACTTTGTGGTTTTCAGAGAATCTTAAACTTTTTGTTTGACCTTGGTCATTTCCACATCTGAATAATCAAACAGCTCCATACACAAGTTAGACAAAAGGAGATTATTATTGAATGCAACCTATAAAAAAAAACAACTGTTATGACCTAATATAAAAAAGGTAAATCATCCACATTATTGATTTATTTTCAAAATGGTTGTAGGAGAGAAACAAACAAACAAAGGTGCTACAATGCTGCTTGGTTTGTTTTCCTCTCAGCTGCTTATAATTAATATGATATTAATGTAATAATCCCAAAGAGCTACCCAGAATAAGATATATATATAATTCCCCATATTCCATAAGGATGAACACTGACGCTCTACAGCAGCTTGAATATATTGATTTGCTTTTTGCTGCAGAGTCGGTTCTGTCCAATTAAACACCGGCGGGATAATCTCGATAAACCTCCTGAACGATCACAAATGAGTCTTAGCTTAAATGCACTGTCCATAATTTAGATTAAACCTTACAGGATAATACAGTCAACACACACACATCTGGATGTTCATTCCCTGTCGGTCTGCCTCCCGTCGCTCACACAGCGCTTTATGCATGCACAATCATTCACCTCTTGTCGGCGTTACCTGCCTGGTATTGATAGACATGGGCCATCAGGAGCTGACCATACCCCGGCACATTGTCCCAGTCATGAAGCCTACTGATGCGTCAGTACTGTCTAAAATGGAGATGAAAAAAAAACAAAAAACGGTAGGCCTACATATAGCAGGCAATAACAACAAAAAAAAAAAGCCTTGACACAGCACCGCTCGCAGTGCGGGAGGACCTTCCACAGCCGGGGAGTCACCGCATGGAGAGTCCCGCAGAGGTTTAAAATCAGCTTTTATTCGCCTTTTTTTTGTGCCTGATGTCGAGTGAAAAGCTTTAAAATCCGCTCAAAAAAAAGGGAAGATATATGGATTTGAACTCATCGAGGTTAAATGAAAGGTAAATGTGCTGATATCACATAAATTAACTATCATCCCTCTCTGGGTTTGTGTCTTAGTTTAGTTTGTTAATTTCAGCATATTCAGCCTAAATAAATTAAGAAAAACAATTGTTTATATGTGATATGTGCAGGTTCTTGCTCTTCAGACATCATAAGAAATTGCAATATTATTATATAATATTATTAAGTAAAACATATAAACAGAAAAAAAAGACAACATAGAACATCAGTAGGCCTATGTATAGTGATACAGTCATACGTTATATAAAGATGACTTACTTTAGGAAAGGCAAATTAACTGCAAGAATACTCAGTTTGTTAATGTTGTTAAAATATATGACAGAAGATTGGACTGTGAGTCAATTTTCTGATTTAATTTTAGAATATGTTCACAAACATTGATGCACATTAACACATCATAGGCTGAATGAAATATTATTTAATTTTCTAAACAGATGTAAGAAAGAAAGGAAGAAAATAAAGTTTCTCATTCCAGTGTCTCTTTCTGTCTCCTTGTCTCTGAATCAGACAAAAAAAAACGAAGGAAAAATATTATATTTCTGCAGCAAAACACTACTTTTGTGACAAGTTTCGAGACCCGTGGGGAGTTTTCATCCGAGAGATGAAGAACAACACTTCACTTCACTTCACTTCTCAGGTGCGAAGGATGCTCCTTTCACGTTGTATTCAAGTGCTGTCGGATATATCTAAGAGCCAGTTAAATCTGTGTCAACCACCAGGCTGAAATGTTTGAACCACATAATTTATATAATATGCAAATATATTGTTTTGAACACACCAGATATGTTTAGTAGCTAAAGGAGGCGTAGCAATAACAGACAGTAGCAGAGATAGATTATTTTTATTTTATGTTTTTGTATATTTGTTTTGGTTTCTTTAGCCTGATGTTGCATTAAATAGGCCTAAACAAATACAATTAATGCTAATATGTAGTAGTACATGTTATTTTTGGTAGGATTAGCTATGTAAACAATTATTATAGTGTGTAGGTTAATTTGTTTACCTTATTTATTTTCTTTGAGCCTATTAATCACATGCCCCTTTCATATTTTCTTCTAAAAGTATCTAATACAATTCTAAAAATAAGCTTTTTGCTTTTGTTACTGATCAATTATGTTGTTATTTCCAAATCAAAGCACTTGAATGCGCGACATGTCCTAAGTGTTTCTACGATGTCCGAGCTCAAATGTGTGAGCTTGAACGCATCATTTACCTACACAGAATGCTTCAGTTGGTACGGTCGGACTGCTAAGCAACGGATATATTTAATTTCTTCGAGATGTAAAGCACGTTATATTACTTTGTTATACCTCGTGGATTTAAAATATGTATACAACAGTACATTCTGAATGTTTTAGGTGTAATATTTGTTTAACGGCACTATACATGTCTGTACGTCGGTTTGCGCCACCCCCAAACATTCCGACAATGGACTCGCCCGTCGTTAGGCCTTTGCAGTAGGGAGTTGTTTTGGCGGAGCCCGCAAGTTTTTCGTTACTTTACATCTTATTTTTGTTTCTCTAAAGAAAGGCGAATTCACCGTTTTTATCGCCGCTTGCCTCGTCGTTCACTCGGTGTGTCGACGGACCGTAGAAACGAAGTGTTTGTTTTTTTTGGGGGGGGGGGCGGTAGTCCACAACCAGGGAGCCGAAGAAGGAAGGAAGACCTCGGTGAGTCGGGCTGACTACGGCGGAGCTTATGATGCCGACGTTGCGGGACAGCACCATGTCCCACCCCGGCGAGAATTCCCACCAAGTCCGGGTGAAAGCGTATTATAAAGGGTAAGCAATCCCCGTGTCTCCCGGCGTGCCGTGGATCTCGTTAACCCGCCAACTAGCAGCAGTTTTTAGACTTGTAAAGGAGGCTAACCAGGGGGAGGGCTAACGGTAGCTAACCGCCGGCTAACGGCTGTGCTAATGTCGGGCACCAGGTCGAGCTGTGAACTCTGACACAGGTGAAACTGTCCACACGTGTTTGTCCGTGTGGAGACAGACTCTCCGGCTCATTGGAGAAATGTGCCTGCAAGACGGCGAAGTTGTCAAGTGGTTTAAATTAAAGTTAAGTTGTTAACTCAGGTTTGGAAGAGGTGGCTAACAGTTGCTAGCAGTGTCTTGTCTGTCATCTGATGGATGTATTGATTACCAGGCTGACATACACTGACTGATATTCATCTCCTTATTGGCAGTTTTGGTAAGTTAACATGGCTTTTTAAAGATTGTGTTATTTAGGGATGGGCGGTATGATAACAGGAGTCACATGGCCCATCTTTATTGATATCGATACTATCACTGTAATCTGTTGAGATTGTGGGACGTTTTGTTGTTTATGTTCATCAGATTGGACTCAATGACTGTGTGAACTCAAGCTTTCAGAAATACTGCTGTAGAGTTGTAAATGTGTGTGTTTGTCCACTCTTATTCCTCTGTAACTAATAATTGTTTTCATTATCAACAGTCCAAAACCCAAATATGTACAATTTGCAATAATATATAACACAGAAAGGCAAATCATTACATTTGAGAAGCAGGAACTAGAAAATATTTAACATTTTTGCTGTATTTAAAGTCTGATTAATGATTAATATATCATCAACATTGCTGCCCTGAGGCCCAGTATGGGGAAAACAAGGTTTCACAAGATAAACATTAGATTATAAACACATATATAGTACTATCCAGCTCTGATATTGCCATATATATATATATATATATCAGTGTAGGGAGATGCCAGTGTGCCCTGGCAGAGGCAGTTCAGCTGTTTTTAGTTTCACACTTGGATGTGATGATGGAAATCATGGGTCACTCGGTGGATTCGAGGACACTCCCTTCCTCACTGTCTCTGTTTGATGGAGTCAGAGATTGGAGCCCGGCCAAGACTTGAAAAACGTGAAGGGCAAGTCACCGCACTCGGTCTCGTTGTATTACTGACGGGCTCTGTGACACACCTCAGGAACACTGTAATGTGTGTTGATCATTAGGTGTCATCTCGCAGAACAAAACATCTGAAGTATTCGTGAGGTTGCTGCTCAGGAATCTCAGATATGTTGCCCAAAGAGGGAACATCGTTGGTTGGCTATCAGGATGCATTAAGCCAGTATGTCAAAAGAAAGCGTTGTAATTGTTTGCCTGCAGAAGTAAGAGTGGGAGATTGAAGAGTTGGAAATGCACCAGATCAATATTTTAAATCAGCAACTCTTTTGATAACTGATAATCTGATAGTAGAACTGATAGTAAACACAATAGTTTAAAAAAGAAGATATATATATATATTATTTGTTTTGGGCTTTTGGTAAAACAAAACATTTAAAAGAAGATTTAAAGATGTTTTCACTTTTCTTTTTATTCTTTCAGTTGGATAATTCAGAAGAAAATAAATGGCAGATGACTCAATAATGAAAACAATTGTTAATTTCAGTCGCAGTAATGTTTCCCACTGTGAGTCTGCAGCTTTTCCTTTCCATCCAAACATTACAGTAGCTAATTTCATTGAGTAGTTCCCTTTCTACAAAGTGGTAATCGATGGCAGAGAGAGTGTTTAGATTCTTTGTCCATCCTTTTTAAACCTGAAAAACACCAAATTAAACCCGCCTCTCTCACTGGCCGTACTACTGTGGTAGTGACTCGGCTTCTCTATTTTCAGTGCAGTGTCCTTTTTGAGTCAATTTTTTCCCTATTTGCATGTCTGTTGTCTGCCAGCAGCAGCAGACTGGTGTCGGCCTGTAGCAGCCTCAGCCTGTCACTGGCTCGTCTTCATTTTGCTCTCATTCACGCTCATTGTCAATAGAGACGGCTGCAAATGCACTGACCACATGACTAGAGACTGACAGTGATGCTGATACTGTACAATGGTCGTAGCAAATAAAAGTGTAGAGTGGCACGGCTGCCACTAAACTATATTATCAGTTAATGTCCTGATTATTTTTTCTCAATCAATCATTGTGTTTATAAAATGTCAGAAAACATTGTATTACACTCCAGTTGAACTTCTGTAAAGTATTTAAAATGATGATATTTATGCTCCTGTAAGCATACATTACAGTTATTAAAGAAACGTAATGCTTGTCAGTTTAATAGCCCTCCGTTAAGAACTACTTGCATCACAGCTTGCCCACGGTGCCTCGTTATATATTATTTTATAGTCTTTTTGTGTGTATTTCAAGTGTCTTAATGGGCCCCAGGGGAGTGTTTTTGACAGCTGACAAACAAAAGAGCAAACTGGTAAAGCTTTATATAGACAATACAGTTAATTAAAAATTGCCTACATCAACCTTGATATGACGTCCGATAGAGCCGATGACTAATGTAATTGATCAAGATATTGCATTGTGACGTGATACAGTAATTAATCCTGCTCTGAGAATATCAGCAAACAACACGACTAAGAGTTCATCTTCTGTGTTTGTTGATGACTAAGTTAAGTTTCTAACCAAATATTTTTCTAGTTGGAGGAATCTGTTTGTGTCTTCTGACACTTTCCTTTCTGTGTTTACCAGTCAGCTTACCTTTGTGCTGTGTGGCAATACTGTCTACAGCCTATTTCTGAAGACATTACTAACATGCATCTCAAAGTTATAACCTACAAAAATGTTTATGCTCTAGCAGGTCTTCTTGGGGGAAAAAAACAACGTTTCTGTATGTCGCTGCCAGTGTGTCACCATATCAGTCCAGAAAAAAAACAACATTGTTTTGCAGAGTTGCCAACACCAACTAAGGGCTTCTTACTTGCCAGATCAACTTCAGGATTCCTGTGTAAGGCATGTTGTTTGGCAGGAAACTGGGATTACACTGGCTCGACGGTGCAGCTCAGTTATTTTACTCTTTTGAAAGGAGTTGCTCTTCTTATTCAAAGACTCCACAGTCTGCATCAGTGCTTCAAGGCTTGGCTTTGTTTAAAACACGGGAAGCGTTCCTTGTCCTGCCATTTACTTTTTCCTCTGAAAGCCCCTTCAAGCACTGAACCACAAAGTCATACACCCCTCACCCACCCATCCACTAACGCACATCTTCACTCCTGATTGTATCAGATTCTCAGCAGCTTCTAACATGGGAAGAATCCTCTGTGTTGCAGCGTCTACTCAGCCCGCACATTGTGTGTAATTCAGCTCAAGTGTTTGCATACACGTGTCTGTCTGTCGTTACGTCTGACCTTGTCTCAGACTCAGCAGGAGTGCGTTTCGTTTGCTGCGAGGAGCGAGGCTCCCTCCTGTTTAGCACCACAGGTGGGCTGTGTTGCCTGGAGACCAAAGCATCTTGCAGTCTGTTTCATTCACCCTGACCCTACTGGGTGAGCAGTGGGAGGATTCAGGTGTTTGTAGTTGATTGTGGTGTCTGTAGGAGCCTATTTTGGTAACTTCGGCATGTGCATTTCTGTATTTGCCTCAGTGTGTGTTCGTGTTGCTTAGTTATGTGCTAGCATGTGATTCTGGATATACGAGCGTGTGCACACGGGTTGTGTAAAGGTGTTGTAGGGGGCATACCCATGCGTGGCAGCGGTGACAGAGAGATGGATGGTCCGAGGTGTTCATGGAAGCCTAGAGAGGCACCCAGACCCTTCTTCCTGCTTGAGCGCTCACCAGTGACGAATGGCTTCATACTGGGCAGATGGGGCTGCTGAGTTCTACTCACGGCAGTTCAGACGCCAGGGGCACAGGCCAGCACTCCCCCCCTTCCTCCTCCTCCTCCTCCTCCTCCTCCTCCTCCTCCTCCTTCTTTAATTTAGCTGTACTGTAGCACGGTACAGAGCAGAGGAATGCCAGGTCTGTGTGGAATGCCATTTTCACTAGTGATGAGCTCCCAGTTGCTCACTCCAAAATCCTTCTGCCTTAGTCACCCTGAGGAATCCCACAGCCTCGGTTTCCTTTGTTCTAACACAAGCTTCCTTTTTGAACATAGTTTTTGGTTCCTTTTTAAATAAATGTATTGGCTCATGTTGTGTTAAGTTAAATTAAAGAAAGCAGAAAAGCCATGAAAAAGCTGCCTGAAATATTGTCACTTTAAACTAAGTTGAGTTCAGTCATTATTAGGGCTGCAACAAACAATTCTTCAATTAATCTGTTTGGGCTGTACAATTAAAACAGTTAAAAGTGAAAAAGTCCAAGATAGTATGTTTCGTATTGATTGTTTTGACAGCAAAAATCTAAAAGCTGAAGGTATTCAGTTTAATATCATAGAAGTTTAAAGAAATATAACATTTGAATTAGCTTGATTGATTATCAGAATTGTAATGATATTGTAAATGGTTTTAAAAAGAGAGAGAAAACCAGCAAATTATAGCTGCAAATAACTTATTATAGTCAAATACTATTATTTTATTGTCAATCTACCAGTTATTATTTCTCAATCAATGAATTCATTAGTCATAAAATAAATAGCTTACACTGCCTATCACATATTCAAAGATATTCAGACGACTGTAACAAAGAACAGCAGCGTCCCTTCTTCCAACGTATGTTTTAGCACTTTGCAGCCGTGGTCACTTTCCTTTTTACCTGCTGTAGCCATTAGCTGAGCTTGTATCTGTGTCACAGAGGATGTTGTTCAGTGCACCTGAGACATGGCTAAAGTTTAACCACAGTGTAGACACACGGTGTTTAATGAACACCAATAGCTCAGGTCCGGTTACACATGACACAGTTAAAGTCACCTACTGCCATTAATACACTTCCTGGATCGTTTACAGCCGCAGTGTGGGAACCTTAGTGTAGTGGTTACGTGTGTGTGTGTGTGTGTTCGTGCACTCTCTATCTTTCTGATGTTATCAGGGCTTTAGGAGGAAGTAGAGCTGCCATGCTGGTCCTAGAGGAGAAATCAGACTGTAGGAATGTAGTTGCCAGTCTTTTCCACCCCCTACTAATTATTAACACCAGCAGGATGGAGGAAGAGGGTGAGAAAAGGGAGGGAGGGAGCAGGAGCTGCAGCCTTACGTCAGTTTATTCTTGCTCAGAATGCTTTATTCATTCTTGATGTGTGGTTTCAAGACAGTTTAATGCCTGCTGTGCGGAAGCAGCACCATCTCGAGCCGCACTGTTTACATGCTCAATGTGAAGCTTGAATATCAGCCAATAAATCATAGTTTAGGTCTATTTGTGTGTGTTTGCTCCTGGCGAGGACTGACCCCACCGTGACCTTACACACTCTATGCTGTCCTTGGTCTTGTACAGTAGATGTCCTTGAAAGTGTGCGTTGTTTACTCGGTGTTGGGATTTTATCATCCTGCTGTAAAGCTCTCAAGTTGATGAAAAACGGGTAGTAAAGGGGGTAAGAGATCCTTGTCCTTGTGGGTCACTCCTTGGCTGCCGAGATAGCTTTTTATCCATTACCCCGTCTTTACTTCCCTTTTACTCCACCTCTTTACCATACCTACCCCCTTGTTTTAGCTCATTCTGTCTCCACACTAGTTCCTGATCCCCACACACATGTAGACGCCTGAGCTCAGACCCCTGTCGCCTGCAGACCTGTAAAAGCTAACGTGTGTACCACCTCCATCCCCCCCATCTTTGGGTTGTAAACACCGCCGAGGCTGCCCAGAGGGCTCGGAGCTGGCGACATCAATCCTAACGCCGCCGTGAAATCATGAGGGACAGATGATCCCACCTAGAAGGATAGATGATCTCGGTCACCCACCACCACGCTTCCTTATCCCGTGTCTCTCCATAATGTTTGAGTGCATGTGTGTTTGTGTGAACCGTAGAGGCAGAGAGTGATGTACTTGTTGATTAAGAGGAGTAAGCCAAGTGTTCAGGAGGGGAATTTCTATGACCACTTCCAGGAATTAATGGAGTGCAGTGGTGGACAGTTTAACCAAGCGGTCACAACACAACACCATCGCCTGTGAATCATCCTGCTTTAGTTTGTGGCTCTCTCCCTCACTATTTTGTGGTCTTTTCTCTCTCTTGTTTTCGCTCTCTTTCTCACACCCACAATCATGCTGTACAGATGAACACGCACATACACGAATGTGACAGACTGCAAGACTGTGACTCACACACACAGCAGCGTTTGGGGGGGGGCACACTTTCTCACTTCTTCCTACTTCCGTCAAAAGTCTGGCGTTCTCTAGAGTTTTCCTTTTTTTTTGAGTTTATAATCGAAAAGGAGGGAGTGGGAGTGATTTAACTTAATGTCTACTAAAGTTTACGATTAGTGCTGAAACAATCAGTGCATTAATCAGTCAGTTATAAAACAAACGTACTGAATGTTCTTCGGTTCCAGCTTCTTAAATGTGAGGATTTTGTGCTTTTCTATTATCTTTAGCAGTTTGGAAAGAAAACGTATTTAATGTGGAATCACGTCAAGTAAATACTCATACATATTTGTCCTCTCTGCAGGGACATCATGATCACTCATTTTGAGCCGTCCATCTCATACGAGGGTCTGTACGGGGAGGTGAAGGACATGTGCTCCATGGACAATGACCAACTTTTCACCATGAAGTGGATCGACGAGGAAGGTACGTCCCCCTTAACCTCTTTACTCTTTTACCGTTTCCCTTTCATCTGTGCTTCAAGAGGAGGCATAAAAGATCAGCCATAGATGCTGGAGTTTGTTTCAAAATTCACCTTACAGGAGAAATGTATTTACAAACAAATATTAAGTCATGGCATCATCAAGTAGATTAAACATATTTTGAGGCCATCGGCTACATTTGGCAGTATTTGGCAGTGCCATGTGTGAATGTGAATGAGCGCTCACATAAGCACACACTGCCTTGTCACTAGACTGTAAGACTTGTCAGTCAAGAAAAGACGCCCCCAAAACCCATCTCCACTACCACCCGGTTCCTTGTTATTGTCTGTCAGTTAGTCAGGCAGCAGTAATAGTGTCATAGGAAAGATGGAGCCGTCACATCGCTCGGCTCAGGATAAGGTCAGCCTGCCCAAACTCATTAGACTCAGATCAGCTCGCACTGGTAGCCACCCACATACAATCACTGGAGTCATTAGCGTGTCTGAGAAAGAAAAGCTCCTTGATGGTCATAATGAAGTACTCTGCGCAGTGGTAGCTGTCTCTCCTTCTGCCCCATCCAGGGAAACCACACAATGTGAACTCACATCATTATCACAATGGTTAGAAAATGTAATAATACTATTGTAACCCTGGTTTGAAGGATACGAAATACCAGCAACAGGTCTGTGTTTCTTCTCATCTGCCATTGAATCAAACACTTAAAGTTCTAAAAAATGAATTCTACACTTCCTCTATCTTATCTCCATGTGTTATAGAATGTTTAGTCATTATTAATAAGGCAAACAACAACTTTTAATGAACATTTAAACCGTATGCACCAAAGGCAGACTAACAGTGATAGATCCAAAGTAGAGCCAACCAATTAGAGCTGACGTAATTAATGGATCAGTCAGCCAACAGAAAATTAAACTGGAGCTATTTTGGTGACCACTTACTTGTTTCACACATTTTTCTGAACAAAAAATGCAAAACTTAAAACCCTAATTTCAGGTTCTAACTTTTCCTGCTTTTCTTTGTCTTTTGTGATCATAGATTGAATGTCTTATCACACGTATATTTCACAATTTTATAGACCCAAATGATTAATAGAGAAAATATTTGACAGGTTAATCATTAATGAAAATAATTGTTTGTTGCCGCCCCACTTATGATACATTGACCTATCACGCATCCAATTTTGGGATGTATAGTTGCCAATATGTCGCTGGAAATATCAGACAGAGCAGTCACATAATGTGTCTCTATATCTCTATATCTCTTATATTTAATATAATATTTAACAACCCTGATTAGACGACGTACAAGTAAACCATGTAATACTTCCATTAAGGATTTTTTTCTGCCGTCAGGAATATGTATAGAAAATCAACACAGTCAAAATGATTTTCTCTGTTTTGTTTGTAATTTGTTTTTCTCCTCTTCGTCTATGAAAGCAGTAATTATTGGATGATTGACAGATGATTCGGATCTCGGTCTATTTCTGCAGCAAAGATGTTGAGGAAGAAAAATATATAATGACACAAAGTCGAGCCAATATGCCGTGTTGGATGTGCAGAAACATGTTTTTTTTTCCCAAGGCGCATATATGTTCTCACAATCCACAGATGCTAAAGGAAAAATATTGAATAGGGGAAAAAAGATTGGTTAGGTATGTCTCCGATTATCAATTGAATTCATCATCAGGTGATCGATAATTTGTAGCCATCCCTAATACAGCAATGCCTGTAACTGTCAAATGTTCAGGCCTGAATATTTATGATATATAACAAATTTAAGGGATTTCTATCAAAAATGTGTAAATGAATGAGTCAGTCTTTATAATTATCCGATTTTTAATGCTCTCAAATATAGGTTAGAATTTCTAAACTCAACATGTACAGCCAGCAACAGTCAGGTGCTGGTAGGTTGTAAGACTATGCAGTTGAAAATTAACCACCAAAACCCTGGAGTGACTCTACAGTGTTTTCATTATGAGCGAACAGCCTGTAGCTTCTTCAGGTTCACTCAGTAAAAAGTCAGATATTGGTATTGGTAGCAACCTCATTGATCCTGTATCGGTTGGGCTATACCCCAAACCAAACCACACCAGGAAAAACTGCAAAGTTAAGGAGACACATTAATCTATGAAAAGGAAAAAGCTTACAGACTTTACTGACATGAGGACCATTTTAATGTAAATAATTCTTCTCTGCTCCTGTTTGTATTTTCTCTCTAACATACACAGAAGTGGATGCACTCACAAACTTAATGTCACCTCCTTTTAAAAACAAACCTTTGAGTAAAACCAGACCAAGTAGGGCGCCACACACGTTACCTTTTGACGTGATGATTGTCGCAGTCCACCCACGACCTCTATGTCTGTTATCTAGTTTTATTATCTGTACGCTGTGTGTCATAGTTTCTGTTCTGGAGCTATTAATAAAAGCAGAGGTTTGTAGTTGTGATTAGATAGGTAGGGCGCCGAGAATAGAGTCGATGACCTCAGAGTCACTTCACGCTGCCTCACCACGTGTGTCATGCCAAAGCCTGACTCAATCTGATAATGATAAGAAAATAATTAGATCTACGTCTGAGTGGTATTTTAATTATTGGCTCATATTGATCACTGTACAAATAGGCATGTACAATTAAAGCTGAATCAAAAACAGAAATGGCAACATCGCCTGCCACAATTTCCAATGTTCTTGCTCACACCCACACACTTTTTAAAAAAAAAATGTTTACATAAAGTTCATATATTGAAATTCATATCACGCCTGCCTTGGGTTTTTTTTAGTTTATGTTTAAATATCATGCTGCCCTACTGTATAACTCAACTTTTACACTCACAACCTTTTGCCATGGGAACTGGAAATACAGTATATGCAACATTTAATTGTCTCTGCTTTGTTATTGATTGTCTTTGTTGTTCTGTGCTTTTAAAAGTAACCTGGCTGTTGCTGATTTTGTGCAATTACCTAAACTCTTAAATGTCACGCAAATGAGAAACCAGGCTCTCATTATCAGGGTTTTTTGTTGCAGAAAAGTGAGAGAATATATTGTCCTAAAACTTTGCACCAATACAAGCAGAAAAGGGTTTGGATTGTTAGCTGTTCTGACAAAAGTATGATTTAAAAACAAGATAAAACAAAAAGAAACTGTAGCAGCAGTGTAAAGGGATAGCAGTGTGTCCTTGTATGAAGAGCTGCAAATGTTTTATTTTCAATTAATCTGTGAATTATTTTCTTGATTTATGGTTTTGTCTGCAATATGTCAGAAAAGAGTGAAAAATCTTCAGGTGTCTTGAAACCTGAAGATATTTAGTTTCCTATCATGTACAACAAACAAAAGCATCCTATCATAATGTCTTTGTAGATGAAACTAGCAAATGTTCAGCATTGTTTGCTTAAAATGTGACTGTGAAACCATTATATGATTATCAAAATAGTAAATTAACATATTATCAATCATCTAACTGTTACAGTAAATAGTTAAAGTCATAAACAAAGTCTGACTAAAACTGAAATAAATAAGTCTGTATCCATGTCTGAACTGTGTGTCCTATCTCACTAGTATGGTTCAAATGTGACAGCAAGTAAATGGAGGTTTTACAGAAACAAGTTTAGTGCAGAAGATGTAGAAAGAAAAAGATTCTCTGATTGCCGTCCGTCACCTGGTGTGTATTTATATGTGCTGAATGACATCTGGTATCTCTTCTGCTGTTAGGTGACCCCTGCACCGTCTCATCTCAGCTGGAGTTGGAAGAAGCTCTGCGTCTCTACGAGCTCAACAAAGACTCAGAGCTCATTATCCACGGTGAGCCTCACTGCTCTTCACACAGCAGCATTTATAACATAACATATATACAGTTTCAGGATTTAACTCACAGGATGTTCACGTGTCCTGTATCCAGTAAGATGTTGAATCACAACCAGGTACTGGGTCAAAAAGAGGTCCAGATAAGAAGCCGGGTTATCTTTTGACTTTCTGCTCTACGACTGGTCCACTCACCTCTCGGTTATAACCAGTCGAGTTGGCAGCATTAACTGCATCTTCTGTTTCTGGTCATTGAGCTGAAGCATAGCGGACTTCAGGCCCACGATCACCACTGACAAACGGTGCCAGGAAGCACAACAAGGCCTGGATTTTTTGGCAAGAACAAAACTTGATTGTTAAGTAATTAACTGCCTGACAGTACAAGTAATTAGACTCTGCTGCTAACATTAAAAGCAAAATGCTTTAATGTAATTCAAACCATCCCCTTACAAAGTCAAATACAATTCATCTTCTACATTGTTTTAGTGAAAAGTCTATTCCTTGGGGCAGGGGGAATTGTTTTACTAGAATTCACAGTAATATATTTTACAGTTTACTATTGATAACAGAGTTATTTACACACATTTTTCAGATTATCATTATAAAAAAATATACGCCTGCTTCACTCCTGTGTTAACAAACGATATTAATGTCAACAAGTCTTGAACAGTACCCACACAGGACCGAGAAAATATGAATAATTTACATTATTTTTAGGTGTTTATGTATGTAATTTTGTAAGAATCACGTTGGATCTTACGGCTGCCTCAAGACATGAGTTTTTGATTGACATAGAGAGAAATATACACAACATCTCAATCTTGGAAACACAATTTAATGCTTAAATATAAGCAATTGGCAAACAAAGGCTCCCTGGGGTCGGCACCACGAAGCAAGTTCAACTCAGTCTTCCTCTCTTTTAGTTACCTGCCTACACCGAGGCCAACATTAGTGATCCAGGATAAGTGTTATCACAAAGCTGGTTATGAACTTTATCCATTTGCTCTGGGTTATAGTTTTGGGTCCAGCTATGAGCACGCTCATGTGAAAGAGACGGAGTTGCCAATTACAAGCAGCATCACCATCATCATAACCATGAGTGAAGTGCATAATTGGATAAATATAATTAAGAGGAAAGTGATTCTTGCAGGATCACAGGAATCGGTTGTAGTGACAGATAATCACAGAATTAGAACAGAACAAGAAGCTGAAGAAACACTAGAAATAATGATCTAATATCCGATGTAGGGCTGTAGTATTATTATTATTATTATTATTATTATTATTATTATTATATGTATGCCTTTATGTGATCCACATAAAAAAGATAAAGTAGAAGCATGGAAGAAAGATCTGACTTACATATTGAAGAAACCTGGAAACCCTTTGTTTTATTCCTCGAAAGTGCAATCGTTTGGAGGTACACTAGCATAAGGAAACCCTATACTTTATTATAACTGATACATGTAAGCATCACCTGTGTGTTAAGAATGGCAATGAGAGTACTAAAGTTTACACCTTTTTTCTAATGTTATATTTAAATTAATCCTTTTTTAAATTTATTTTTGTATTAATTATTTTATTTAAGGGTCTGGGAATGTGGGCTGGGAGGTGGGAGACATTGTTTGTTCTTGTCATTTATACTAATAAACAGCGTTTACAAAAAAAAGATAAAAGTAATGTAAAACCGTGTCTGCTACCAAACCAGAGAGGAGAGGGAAAGTAGTTAATGCCTGATAAGGTCTATCTGACTGACATGATGCATTAATAATCATAGGAGCTAATTAATTGAACTATTTCCAATTATCCTCACAAAGTCACCTCATGTCCTGCTGAGCTACAATGATGGAATAATAGTGTAAAAGCATCCACACCGTCAGGAATCCCCTCTGGGAGTTGAAGAATGTTTGTGCAATTAAAATGCAGCTATAATGGTCATTATGTATTCAGTGCCGTAAACGATCCCTCCATTTGTTAGAAGTGTTTTGAACCTGCAAAACGATTCTACTAATCTATATATATATATATATATATATATATATATAGATATATTTATTACTTGTGACTATTGTAAAGCCAACACTGATGTGATCTGATTGATCTGATCCTCTGAAGTTAACCTGCATAGGCCACCGTGATCTAACCCGGTTAAAAATGAGCTTCACAGTACTAGAAAACCCAGAGTTTACCCAGAGTTTACCCAGAGTTTACCCAGAGTTAGGCCCAGAGTTAGGCCCAGAGTTAGGCCCAGAGATAGCTGACTAACCCTCTAATCTCGCTCTGTGGAACAGACCCCAGTTCATTCTGGGAATAAATATTAATATAAGTGTAGGAAACCTGATGAAACCAGTCCAATGGTAATGTGAAACAGTTTGGTTTACTTGGAGCCTGGAACTGTTTATTTGTCTGAAAATGGTTTTAATTGGATGTTTTCTGGCATTATGTAAGGCCACAAAAATGTAAATTACATATTTAGATTTCACCACCAATCTAAACATTTCTGTATCTGATAATGAGCCTATGTTTTGCTGTCTTCCCTTTTTAAATTCTCTCTGTGCATTTACATTTCTGATAAAAGCTGCACACAGACGGCTGCATACTGTCCACAACAAAAAAGCATCAAAACATATGGTTCATGCTGCACTGACCTATTAAAACAGCATTACTTCCGCTGTTGACGTCTGTCTATGGGCCCTTGAGCTAGTTCATGTCCTCGTCTAAGCTTAGCATTCTTGACAAACAGTTGTACAACTTCATGAATCTAGAGGTCAGAGCCAAACTCAGACGCAGGGTGCAGGGTGCAGAGTGAGCGGCGGTGGCGGTGGTGGGGGAAGAGGGGTTGCATATGCTGAGTGATTTGATTGACAGGCTCTGTGTGTATAAGCACGTAACCTGGGGGTTGCAGGGAAAGGGGCTGTGTGGTTAATGTAAAGCTTTCATCAAATCAAAGGTGAGGGGTCAAGAGTACAGTGGATGCCAGCGTGACGGCAGAGGATGATCGGAGGAGGAGAGGATGTGATGGTGCCGCAGGGGGGTCGCCAGGTCCGCTTGTTAACGAGCTTGTCAGCTGTAGCCCACGCCTCGCCTCTGACTCACACTGCCCCCAGTCTAGCTCGATGTCTCTCTCTCTCACTCGCACACATACATGTACACACAAATAATCTGTGTCGTCTTCTTCTTAAAGATTGTGTATTTCCCTACTTTACTGTTCGTTGCACACACACACAGAGACACACACACACACGCATATATATATATAGACGCTTGCACCATCATAAAAACATTATGAGTGAATTTCATCATGAATTGCTCGAGGCGACAGGTTTGCTGTAGGAAGTCTTAACTGCCTTCACAGGTTTGCTGTAGGAAGTCTTAACTGCTTTCATGATGAGAGGAAGTGAAAAACATACAAACACCCTCACATTCATACTATCAGACTCACCTCTCTTAGATTAAATGCACTTTCTAAACGTAGCTTTTTTTTTTACCTTTCTTCGCAGTGTTTCCATGTGTGCCAGAGAAACCCGGCATGCCCTGTCCGGGAGAAGACAGTGAGTTTAATCTTTATCTTCTTTAAGTTTACCTAGTGTGTCAATCGGTGTCCCAAAGAAATTTAATTTCCATTTTAAATTTAAGGCCCTTCAGCAAATTATTTTACCCAGGAGAATTTGTGAATGTGTAAAAAAACTATTTGTAGTTCTTGGAAAAAAGTTAATTGTGTCTAAATTAAATGTTTGCACAATCTATATCGACGGTCATCTGACTACAGATTCACAGATTAGGGCTGTCGCAGTATTAAATACTAAGTCAAACACAGGGAATGGCAAGCTGCCACCACAACTGCATGTGACTTCACGTCATCACATCGTGTTCAGTATTTGTTTTTGGAGATGGTAGAGCATCCCAGAGCAGTACAAGCAAGTACTGAGATGAAACATTATTTAGTTGTAGTATTTTACAAAAAGGACATTAATACCGCAGTGTTGAGGAACCCTAAATCACTGCAACAGCCTCATTGTCGATTAAATAGATTGTGATATTATTATATTATACTAAAAAAATTGAGGATCAAAATGGTTCAATTCTCTACACTAATACACACCGTTCATTACACACAGGTAAAGCAGAACTTAGCCCTCCTTTCCCTCTTTTCACAGAGTCAATATATCGGCGTGGAGCCCGGCGCTGGAGGAAGCTTTACTATGCCAGTGGTCACGCCTTCCAGGCCAAGCGCTTTAACCGGGTGAGACATGACAAATAATTTTGTTTAGTAGTATTTTGCACTTCACTCATGTGCTCTCATAGCTTTAAATGTTTCTCTGCTATATGTTTAATACTGTGTATGTCATATGTTGTACATTATCATTGCTGAATTATTGTACTGGGGAAAATATCTGCTGTGTAAAACAAGTAAAGCCTGAACACAATGCACATTTTAAAGCTTAGTTACTGTATATTTACTTAAAGGACATGTCCACTGCCTGTAAGTAAGTTGTCTTTGTATTGATCGATTGACGGTGGTGATACAGAACGATGGCTGTGGCGGGATTTGATTCCAGACCAGCAGTCCTACATGGTTCAGAACCCATCACGACCCATCATAGAATACAATGTGTGCATGTTTGTGATGATGATTTCTCTCCGTCTGCCCTTCTGAGCAGCGAGCCCACTGTGCCATCTGTGCAGACCGTATCTGGGGTCTGGGAAGACAAGGCTACAAATGCATCAACTGCAAACTGCTGGTGCACAAGAAGTGCCATAAACTGGTCACAGTGGAGTGTGGCAGACCAATGATCCAGGTGACAAATACTCATTAGCTTGATGGCGTGAAGTCGATCGTTACCATCCCTGACTAATACATATAGTTTTTAAGATTTTATTCTGTTTCTGTGCTGATTTTACTTAATGGAGAATGTTATTGTCTAGGAACCAGTGATGCCCGGAGCTCCATCGAGTCCATTAGATCCAACTGAGCAGCCAGGTAACTAACACACACACACACACACACACACACACACACACACACACACACACACACACACACACTCATGGGTACACACACACTTCTAAAAGTGTTTACAAATGGTAATCGGAAGTCAGAAGCTCCTTCCTTGAACAAAAAATAAAATAGTTTTGGTTTAGAAGGACATAAAATAGATAAAAATCACATAAGAGACTAACCATGTTTCAGGCTTTTGTTCATTTCTGCATTTCTATAACATCAGTGCAAGTTTTATTTATTCCCTGATCCAATTCTCACACTTCTGATATGTTTGCCAGGACTTAAATTTCCTTTAGGTTTTGACTTCTATTCTTAAAAAGATAAGGCTGCTGATATTTCTTTATTTTTGTTATTGTCAACAAATTCCATAAAAAGACCAAAACCAGTCCCAATGCTCTCTGACTTTCTTAGCTTTTTTGTTGCACTAACCTCCAAGCCACAGCATCCTTCATTTGGAAGATGTAAATCTATAAAAACAGGTTATAATTAAAATTTTTTGTATAGGTTTTTTAAAAAAAAGTCTAAAGCAGAAGCATAGCCAAGTGGTTCAGCATACACGAATGACTGCAACGTACCAGGGTCGATTCCAGACCGGGACTTTTGTTGCATGTCATACCCGTCTTGTTGGCATTAGTATAGCAGCGGCCACCCAGACTACAATTTGGTCAGCTGCATTTGGGGTTTACCTACAGCACCAGACTTAAGTCCAGTCAGGTGGTTGAGAGGCTGACGGGTATGAGAGAGCTTAAGATGGTTGTTGCTATTGTTAGTGAGGCAGTTGAAACTCCCTCTGCTATAAATACTCACAGGCCACCTGCAAAGTTGTGAGGTGCAATCATGGAAACACTGGGATGCAGAGAGCTTTGTTTAAGCTTGTTTTGATGATCTATGTTGAACACGATGACCTAAATGATCATCGGCAATATGAGAAGACACATTTCTTCTCCATGTGTATGTACATAGTTTATACTTATTCTTGTTTTGTTGTATTGTTAAACACAGACAAAAAGGTATTTTCTTTTCTAACCAAGCAGAGAGAAATTACTCTGGTACTGTGAGGCTGTGAACAAAGCGTGTGACTGTCTCTCACCTAATTTTTCTCCTTATTTTCTCATCTCTCCTATTTTTTTCCCCCTCTCCTGCCTCCCCCTCTCCTTCTGTCGGTCTGTCACTTTCTCCTCTCTCTTTCTCACAGGCCCGCAGAATAAAGACTCCAGAGAAAGCTTGCCTTACGATGGAGAGGAGAAAGAGGTGAGAGAGAAATCTTTTCAAACACTGCTGATGTGTGACTCATAGTCTGTCAATCTGTCATGTTGTAGATGGATGTGTGTATGTGTATGTGTATTTAGAGAGAAAAAACAGCGTTGTGTGAGAAGGAGAAAGAACAAGATCACCTGTAATTGGAAGCAGATTTTTGTCTGCTTATATTTTCTATCGTGTACATTCAGGTGATTCTTCTTCCACCTGCTGTGCATGTGTGATATAGAGAGCATGCAGACGTAGGCACCCTTGCAATGCTGTGGGTATTGATTTCCTTTGGTGGAGCTAATAAAGTAACCTTTTATCACAGCTCTTAACACCAGAGGCTGATTAATGGCCAGGGATGTAGTTTGGGGTTGGAGCGGGGGTAGTTGGACTGAGTGGGAGAGCTGAAGATAGAAAAAGAATGGATCGAATTGGACACAGATAGACGGAGATAAAAGAGGGCAAGCCAAATGATCTTATCTGTGGTTCCATGTCTGACTCTGGGGACGGGGGTTGTCACGTGAAGGGAGGTTAGATGGATAGGTAGCGGAATTGGTTCACTGCACAATAGATTACAGGAGAGAAGAGAGAGAAAGATAGGTGAGGAAATGGTGAAGATGGTAGTCAGTAATACCAAGAAGTTGGACAGCGAGTGTTTAATCCAGTGGAGGCAGCATGATTATATTTATACAAAAAGTCATTACTAAGATTAACTGTAAAACTGTGGTGCTGGTTTAAACTTCATTTATAAATCACCCAAAGGAAATCACCATCTCGCACAAGCCAAATCACCAGCTCTATCAGCGGTTGCATGACTAACTGTCTCAGAGTTGACTTTGTGTTTATCACATTATGTTGTTTGTATGGTCTTATGTTTGTCCTCTCACTCTGTGCTAACTACCCCCCAGGCGCGGAGCAGTAGAGACACGGGGAAATCGCCTTCCAGCCTGGGCCTGGCAGACTTCGATCTGCTGAGGGTGATCGGTAGAGGCAGCTACGCCAAGGTGCTGTTGGTGCAGCTGAAGAAGACAGAGCGCATCTACGCTATGAAGGTGGTGAAGAAGGAGCTGGTCAATGACGATGAGGTAAACGACGCTCTGATGCGTCAGAGTCAAAATTTTGGCATTGTGACAAATTGTAGGTGAGCCTTTCCTTGGGCTCTGACACAGAGTTATTGGGCTCTGGGTGATGTAGTTACTTTTTATGGAGTTATAATTAAGGATGGGTCACGATAGTCGGCCCCATTTTGGGTAAAATACCTGAATTCAATAAGCTCCGCGGCCACAAATCCCTAATCAAATCTCTCATTCGTGATCCTAGATTGTCTCTTTTGCCTCTTTCTGACACTACAGGCGTCTGCAAAGAAACAAAAACTGGTGAGGTATACAAACACGTGCTAACAAGACTGACTGACAGCAAAGTCAACAAAATAACAGTGAAATGTAATATTTGCAGGAGGTTACTCACAACACACCCATCTTTATGTATTTAAAATATGTGGTGAAATCCCCACAGCCTTATCAGCACAGTAGAATCTCCAGGTTTAAGTATGAAACTGAGGAAATTAAAATTAAATTAATTCCCCACTAAGCAAACTACCCCAAAAAGATTTGATAAGAGATTCTAAAGGATTCAGATTCGATAAGTGAATTTGGAGCTGGAAGTTTATAATGCTTTCACACCCTATCCCTAGTTATAATGTATTAACTCCATAAAAAGAAACCAAACTGTGAATGAGCACTTTTTTTAGCATTAATTGGCTCAAGATCAAAGACAGAAATCACCCGTCTTCTCCAGTGAGGTTTTTCACAATGACAAAACTGTCATCTGAAGCTGCTGCTAGTTTAGATGAATGTAAAAGGAACACGAGTGTGTTTATATAGCGGCAAGTAACAATTCTTTTTATAAATGATTATTCAGTTGATTAATTTCTCAATTCTTTAATTGTTTAACTATAATACATAAAAGTAAAAGTGCCCATCTCTGTTTCCCAAAGCCCAATGGGAAATATCGTGTATCTGTTCACAGTCTTTAATTTACAATGAGAACAGAGAAAAGCAGTAAATTCTTACATTGCAGAGGCCGGAAGCAGAGAATGATTGGTATTTTTTCTTTAAAGACAACTTAAAAAATTAATCAATTATCAAAATATTTGTTAATGTTGATCAACTTATCAATTAATCAACTAATCCATTCAGCTTAAGATGTTCTGGTATAATCTTACTTATGTTAATAGTTAATAGTGAAACAAGTGACCTAATACATTACAACCTGTAATTTAGTTGGACTACAGTGGCTGCAAAACTCACAAAAGGCCGGCGTTCTGGGCTACTGTAGAAACATGGTGGACAGTTCTTAGTTTCAGGTTATTTTACACTAATGAAACATGCCTATGAATATTATATTCCATTTCTTTTCTTTAGCAGAGGCTCCTAAATGTTACACACGGGACCTTTTTGTCCAGGTGTATATCTGCTTAAGAAGGAAAATTGTCCCTTTTTAAGTCTGTGAGACAAAAAGGAAGAGGGTTAGTTAATAGTGAAGTCACCAGTCTTCTGTCGCTGTCATGTATAATTAATACAATTAAACACAATCAATAGGAGGTGTTATTCATAGCACAATGGATGTTTGTCTCATGCGATTGAACATCCATCTTGTGTATCTTCTGTCTGAAACACTTTGAGTTATGTTGACAGACCTCTTCCAAGCCATCAGACTCTTCTAAGAAGGTGTAGATAAACCATCATGTCATCAAAAATTGATCTCGATGTACACATGTAGCAGCACAGCCAGAGGCGATGGGAGTAGTTAGCCTTGATTAGACGCACTTAGCGTGATTGACAAATTGACAAGTGCCCTTCGATCAATGGTGAAGTGTTGTGCTGTCCCTGCCCTGCCAGCGTGAGCAGCATCCGTGTCCAGACATATTATCATCCGGCCATCAATAGAGACCTGCTTCAGCTTCTACTGGCTCAGCCCTTTTCTCCTTCCGCTGCCCACCTTGCACAAGAGTGAGCCCCCATCTGTAGACGATGGTCGATCAACCCCCATGCTTATTCAGCTTTTATAAGTTCAAGGGTACTGTGTGAAAATGTTCTCTGATGATACTTTTTGTGTGTGTGCTTTTTTCTCTTCCAGGACATCGATTGGGTTCAAACAGAAAAGCACGTGTTTGAGCAGGCGTCTAATCATCCCTTCCTGGTCGGCCTACACTCCTGTTTTCAGACAGAAAGCAGGTAAAAGTCTCTCACAGAAGTCTGCAGGAATTTGGAAAAATAACCACATTTTTATTTATTTTTAAGTCAATTAAGCATAGGTTGCATAGGGTTTGTCAGCAAAACATTAAGAAATGGTACATATGTGTGTTTAAAAAAGCTTGTTTCCTCTCCTACTGCTGCTGTGGTTAAGGTATGGTTAAGTTTAAGGTAAAGAGAACACTTCCTGAAGGTCAGGGAAAGAGTGTGGGCGTGTTTGAAATTATGGGAGATCACGGTAAAAGTGGTTTCAAAAGTGGTAACCTTAAAGATTACCTTCCCTTAAAAACGGGGCAGAAACAATATAAAAATAAATAATAATGTTTTGGTTAGTGTTTTCCAGCGTTCACCAGATCTGGTTTGGTTGAAATAAAGCCTTAATTCACAGAGTTAGAGGAGAAAATAGCTGCTAGACGGGCTACAATGGCTGCCATGTGTCTTTAGTTAATCCTTGTGGACAAATGCGCCGGTCAAAGTACGTCCAATAAAGTGTTTGTTTTTGCTACTGACAGGCTCAGATTGTTATTGTCTGACAACATTATGAGAAGGATTCCTACAGAGATATACATTTAGTATATCCACAAACAGCAGTAATATCGCTCGCCACCAGACTGCGTAGTTAAAGTGTGTGTGTGTGTGTGTGTGTGTGTGTGTGTGTGTGTGTGTGTGTGTGTGTGTGTGTGTGTGTGTGTGTGTGTGTGTGTGTGTGTGTGTGTGTGTGTGTGTGTGTGTGTGTGTGTGTGTGTTGTGTGTTATAGGTATGGTTTTTGTTTTTAAAACTATAGATACAATTAGTAAAATTAGGAAATAAATGTAATGTAAAATGTGTTTTCCTTTAAAAGGCATTATTGAATTATTTCTTCATGTCTAAATCTCTTAACATTTTCTTCTTTTTACAGACTCTTCTTTGTTATTGAATATGTGAACGGTGGAGATCTCATGTTCCACATGCAGAGACAAAGAAAACTCCCAGAAGAACACGCCAGGTAGAGTCTATCCCCTGTCTCATTACAACGAACAGGATTGTTGTCATGTATTTGTAGTCTTTTTGTAGTGTCTTACACCTGAACCTCTTTGTTTTTTAGATTCTACTCAGCAGAGATCAGTCTGGCGCTCAACTACCTCCACGAGCGGGGAATCATCTACAGAGATCTGAAACTGGACAACGTGCTGCTGGACTCTGAGGGACACATCAAACTTACAGACTATGGCATGTGCAAGGTGCGGTTTTATGTTTTACTTGGTATTAAAGCTCGATACCACAATGCACTTTGGATAAAAGCACCTGCAAGGCTGCATACGTGTCGGTTTACAGCCCTTTGAGATGATCTCACAGCTGATGATCTTTTTGTTTTTGCAGGAGGGTTTGAGACCAGGCGATACAACGAGCACTTTCTGTGGTACCCCCAATTACATCGCCCCCGAAATACTCAGAGGAGAGGATTACGGTGAGAATTTCAACACGCCAGCACTTAGCAGAAATGCTATCCATTTCTTTGCTATGATACAGTATATGAGGCATTATGCAGTAATATCTGGGATGCTGCTTTCAGTCATGATGATGGATGCTACTGTGCTGCAGTACCTGGGTTATCTGTACTACTTACAAGACCTCTAAATTAATAAACATACTATAAAAGCAAAAGATGAGAAAAATAATATGAAAGGTTCAAGTATCTCTGGGGGGGATGGGAGCACTGCAGCATGAAAAATAAATAGAAAGGGAGTAACAAGAGCTAAAATTGAGCAAATATACTACAAAAAGCAATAAAAAGCTAAATAAATAGTGAATATATTTGAAAAATCAACAAAATAATCCGTATTTAGTGAAATCCTCTGATGCTATGTATTTAACTTATTATTTAACTGACTATTTAGATTGTATTGGTTGAAAAACAACAAACAAAAACAACCATCAGGACCATTTCAGACCAAATCAGGCGCTACAGCAGGAACAATCCTCCTCCCGTTCACTTTCATTGCAGTTGGTGGTGGGGGCAAGATTCGACGTTTGTGTCCAAAGCAAAACCAAGAAGCTTCCTTTTTGGTTTGTGTCCATTTGTTTGAGCGAGAGAGAGAGAGAGAATCAGCTGTGGTTGAGCTCTAAAGACAGTGAATGAGAAAGAGAAAGAGCAACAGCACCGTTTCTACAATACCTCCTTTAGTCTGTATACAGGCTTAAGAACAAGGGTTAGGTGTTAATGAAATCAGTACTCTCCAGATCTATGAACACAATACAATTAAACTAGAAAAGACACAGATGTAAATAAAAGAAATGAATGAATTCCCTTTAGCCTCTCCACTTTCAGGGTTCTGGTATTGTTGTGGTTTACGGGGGCGCTTTAATAGAACAAAGCTATCGTTAATGTTATTAGCAACACCTGTGGTTTCCCTGCACTGACGACTCAAAATGTTGAACAGTGTATTGTTCCAGCATCAAAATCCACCTACATACATGAACATTATCCACTGTAATAATTAGACCCGCCATTGTACCCTGTATAATCCATTTTACTGCTTAATAGAAAATAGGAACAAGCAATGTTGGGTTTTTTTTTTTTTAATGATGACTAATGCTGAAGACAAACAGTTTATCTGATAAATAACATAATTAAGCCTAATTTAATTACACATGTGCTACTGGTTTTGCATGGACCCTGCTTGCACAGTCAGCTATAATGAAGCTGGTTTATTTAGCAAACAACAATAAAAATAAAAGTTAACAAACCTTGTGTGAATAAAAGGCGAGGAGTGTGCAAGAAACTATAAAAAGGGGAATTATTTGGTCAGTAAAACTTCAGTAAGACGCTAACAAATCTCTCACCAAACCTTTATAACCTTTTTTTAACCTTAAATTACATTCAGATGTTGAAATGTAAACTTAATAAGATTCAAAAGGAAACAGATTTGATGATGAAATGCTCTCAAACATCACCAGTATGTGCTCTTTTGTAGTGTTGAGATCTTAAACGATGTGGAGCAAAAACAAGAGATAATTCTGTTTTGTAAATGCTGTTTTAAAACACCTCTGTGTGTTTATTTCAATATAACTAAGCCCTGATGGTTTGCACACTTTGTATAGAGTTTTAGGTCGAGGGGTCAAAGCATGCAAAAACACTGGTATGGTGTTTTCATGGTGGGAGTGGTTGCTATAGTAACTCTAAAATACTGGTGTGCTTTGTGGAATTGTGAGCAGTCAGTCATTTAAAGTATAAGAGCTAATAAGAATCATGTTTAACTGTCTAAAAACATTACATTAATATTGTCCTCAGGGTTCAGTGTGGACTGGTGGGCGCTGGGCGTGCTGATGTTTGAGATGATGGCGGGCCGGTCGCCCTTCGACATCGTCGGGAGCTCTGACAACCCAGACCAGAACACAGAAGACTACCTCTTCCAAGGTAACACACACACACACACACACACACACACACACACACACACACACACACACACACACACACACACACACACACACACACACACAGCCGAGGTTCATAACCAGAGAGAGAAAAAACAGCTCAGTGGAAGCATGTCACACCTTTGTATTGACACCTTTCTAGTGGCGACGTCCCCGCTACCAGGCATATGCCATCTGTTACAGGGAAATGTGTGAATGCATGTGTGGTTTTGTCGTCGTTATTTCTTTTGTAAATACCGTTTCAAAATGTGTCAATGTTTTCTTATAACTGCCAGGGGAGTGTTGGATAGTTGGGAATAAAAATGTTACCACTTGACAGACAGTCATATTTCAAAGACAGTTTTATTTTTTATCAGAAGCCATTGACACTTAAATTGAAAGGCTTCTGTATGTATGTTCAACGTGAGTTTACCCAATAGGATTTGAACTCATAAGTGCAGCAGTGTCACTCCCATCCTCTGTCATTTTAACCTTAAGGGACCGTCTGTCTCACCCTCCCTTTTTCCTCTCACCTCCTCGCAGTAATATTGGAAAAGCAGATCAGGATCCCGCGCTCGCTGTCAGTCAAAGCCGCCAGCGTCCTCAAGGGATTCCTCAACAAGGTAAGAAGGGGTCAGAAGGGCTTGGATCAATCTTAAACAGTGTGAGCTCCTGCTGGCCCCTGAGAATGACATTATCATGGCCTTAGTCAGAGTCAACTACCATCTCTCACTGTCGTCTCAATGTGGCTCTCACACCTATCCATAATACACCCCCCTCCCTTCGCCAAAATCTACTCCTCTTTTACACCTTTCTATCTTTTCTTGCTTTCTCCACCTTTCTTTCCTGTCCTCTGACTTTTTCTCTCGCCTCATCCACCGTCATCTCCTACTGTCTCTCACCTTCCTTTCTCCCCTCACTCCCACAGGATCCCAAGGAGCGTCTGGGCTGCCACCCTCAGACAGGCTTTGCAGACATCATGGGCCATCCATTCTTCAGAAACGTCGACTGGGACCTTGTGAGTCATTCACTTTTATTCTCTCCGTGTTTCTGCGTCTCCCTCTCTTCTAGTTTTTCTCGCTTCATTTGTCGACTTCATCACAATTTTTATAGTAATCTCAAACGAAGGAAATCGGTTTCCAAATAGGTCAAAATCAATCCATATATTGATCCTGCAGAGAAGGAAAAACAGAAAGCTGCTACCAGACAGCAGAAGGTCAAATCTAAATGCATGGGGTCACTCTTTCTCTCCTGCCCTGCGGATGTAAAGCTCTGTCGGGGCAGAGGGTTATTGCCGATGGGATGAGACTCATGTCCTTGTGGAAAGCAGACAGACAGACAGCAGCAGCAGACAGACAGCAGCAGAAATGGACAGACCAAGATGGAGAAGAAATAAGTAAAAATGTTGACTCGTGGTGGAGTGGTGAGAACCAGTGGGGCATAAGTGACATTTCCTCCTTTTATAGGAGTGACGAAAGAAAACATGTCTATATTTTGTACTGATTTTGTTTATCAAATGTAATCTTAAATGTTAAAACTTCATGAACAAGTGGATGAAAATATAATCAATGAACAATATTCTTTCAAGTACACTTATGTCCTTTCAGCCCCAAACAGTTCAGTGTTGCGTCTTTTGGTTTTTGATTAATAACTCACTCACATGAGCAATTTTCATCAAGAGCTTTCAGTTTCTATATATATATGTGTATATATATATATATACACATATATATACATATATACATTCTCAGTGTCATTTACACCCCTCTGGTTCTCATCTCATCATTTCCTTTCTTACTTTGGTGACAGATAAGTCGTTAGTTTCTCTCAGTAGTTGTAGTGAGTTATACACTCAAAAGACTTGAAAGGCTGATCTAGATATCATTATATGTAGGTTTGCCTCGAACAATAATTTTATTTATTAATTTTTATTGATTAATCTGTTGATTACACAATAAAATGTGTTGTGAAAAATGCACATCGCAAGTTGCCAGAGCCCAATGTAACGTCTGTAAATTGGATCTTCTAACAGTCCAAAACACAAAAATATTAAATTTACAATTATATAAAACATAGAAAAGCAGCAAATACACACATTTTATAAGCTGGAACCAGTAAATGTTTGATATTTGTGCTTGGAAAAAAAAAAAAAAGAATTAATAGAGTATCAAAATATTTGGCTGATATTTGCCAATTGCACACAGATAAAAACCTTCTACTTCTGAGACTGTACACATTTATATAATCAGGCACATTTCATCTCCTAGGACAGACAGACAGACAGACAGACAGACAGACAGACAGACAGACAGACAGACAGACATGACCTTAACAAATGGACAGTCAGTCATGCACTGGTGGATGACGTGACAGACAGACAGACAGTCAGTCAGCCAGGGCAGCTCGCCAGGGATCACCATGACCTCCTTTTCCCTGTTTGGTCTGGAGCAGGGACCCAGCAGTCGGTCAGAGTGTCTGGAGAGATCGGCTTACAGCCCTCCCACCCCTCTCCCCCCTCCACCCCTCTCCCTCCACCCCTCTCCCTCCACATTCACTACACACTAACACTAACCTGCAGGGAGAGCAGTTGTTGGCTTGCAGACAAGGAGTGTAACAATTGGGAGAACTGCGAGTCGCCTCTGCACTCCTACCTACCTCCTTCCTCTGATTAATGTACTCAGAGGCACTCAGTACAAGTACGAGTGCATCATCAAGGTTGTAGTCACTACTTAATGGCTTCTTTTGGTGGTCGAGCTGTGGTATGTGGATAGAAATTTATGGTGAGATTGCCAAAGAAAGATTTCCTTCTTGTCCTTTTTAGTGCATTTTATATAAATGATAGCTGGAGCTTCCAGGCCAGATTGACCACCACAATTTCACAAAGCCCAAAGTGATGTCTTCAAATTGCTTGCCTCGTCTGAGTAGTAGTCCAAAATCAAAGGATATTTCATTGATTATAACATCTGACAACCAACAGGACACAACCCACAACTTCCAGGACAGGAAGTCCTCATTTTTGCGAAGCTGTAACAAGACAGTGCTCAATATTTATATAATTACAGTTTATAGAATTCTTCTTTAAAGTGCTTTTAATGTATGCACAATAAAGATTATTACTCTTATTTATGCTTGAAATATAACCCTAAATACTTAATTAATTATCTTCCGATTGACTAATCGATCATTTGAACACTCGTTGCAGCTCAGTATTACTTTAAATAGTCGCTGATCACATGTGTTTATGTCGGTAAAGACGACTGAGTGTTGTTGTGAATCCCACCTGACTCCTGTTCTGTTATTTCAGCTGGAGCAGAAGCAGGTGGTCCCTCCTTTCAAGCCCAACATCTCAGGGGAATTTGGACTGGACAACTTCGACGCCCAATTCACCAACGAGCCCATTCAGCTCACGCCTGATGACGAGTGAGTTCCCAATTCATTATCTCTCCTTTTAATTTAATTCTAATTAATCTATCGGGTCATTTTTAATGAATTAATGCTGTTTAATTTTTCCTTTTTTCTTCACTGTAGTGATGTGGTCAAGAAGATCGACCAGTCAGAGTTTGAAGGGTTCGAGTACATCAACCCACTCCTGATGTCGGCGGAGGAGTGTGTGTGAGGGACGCGATGTCTGTGCTCACACACACACCACCCACACACACACTCATGCACGTGTTACGTGGCGTCTCAGTGTCTTCAAGCTGCATGGTTACGAGACAACCTGACGACATCAACCTTCTGTTCGAGGGCCGCACATGCACAGTAGAACGCTTATTTGCCAAAACAGTCTCACACTCAGCCATTTATAACCACTTGCCCTTAAGCCTACCTTCTTTCTTAATTATTTTTATATCATGTAAATCTGCACTGATATCAATTTTCTCATCGGGGCCTCTTTATCGGTAGCCAACGAGGCTACAAAGTTCTTCCAAGGTTTGCTGTACGCGGGGGAGGGGGTGAGGGAGGGGGTGAGGCACAGCCCCTGACACATGAACTGAACATCCTCTCCTTCCAGCTGGCGGGGTGTTTTCAATGCATATTTTATTTGTATATATATACGAATCTACTATTTGAGCTTAAATGTTAGAAAAGGCCTTTTTTTTTAGCTTCAAGCCACAAACTGACAACTTGATCATCATGAAGTCAATTTGAGTTCGGCTTTGTGGCAACAGCCTGATCTGTAGAGGAAAGAAGACTCATAACACTAGCCTTTAAAAACAAAAAGATAAAAATCTATATATTTTTCTCATTATTTTCTTTTTTTTTTTTATTTAACAACATAGCAGTCATTAAATATGTTGTTCTGAGTGTTAAAAGTCCAGCCTGAGTTACAGACCCAGAAAAGGTTTGGGCTGTCGTTGCTTACATGAATACGCAACATCTGGAAAAACAGAAGTCGTCTGCCACACGTCTCTTCTCCCCAGAATGAAGGAGCGTATACAGCAGCATCCAACCAACGCTAATCAAGAGTAACTACTCTCAAACTGTGAATGAAAACGCTCGCTAAGCAGGGAAACGGGCACGGAAGATGAGCACGTGATACCTGCACGCTGGAGCACAGGTGAAATTTTGCTGTGCAGACCATCCATGAAATAAACACTCACACAGGACCAAATACATTTTTCTGAAAAATGTCTTGCTGGTACGAATTAGAAAGGTACAGTATACATAAGGAAGATGTGCTGTCCTAAGTCATAGAATTTATATATTCAGATTTTTTTTTCTTTTGCTAATTTTTTAATACTATGCCTTTTTGGAAATGTTTGGTCTGTTATCTTTTTTTTGTACTTCCTCCATTCCATGTATGTCTTTTGTTCAAAATACAAACTGATTGTTGAAAGGAGAGCTCGGTTGGAAGTCTAACACACGGTGCAGTTTTGGTCCTAAAAGGCGACTTGAAACCTAAACTGTGCGTTCCATTTTTATTATTATTACCATATCAAACCCGCAGTTCATTATCTGAATTTGATGTTTTGTAAGACTGCTTCAAAGCATACGGAGGCTCTGTAGAGCCGCTCTCTTCCCCCTGACTGTAACGACACTATGTGATGGTGCATGAACCTCCAGACTCTCGTCCAATCGAAGCTTCTCTCTACTTGGAATAATGTTTTCGGGGTCTCACGCGGTGACCAGAGGAACACATTCATCTGTTACACTTTTGCTATGTTTCTTTTTTTTTTTGTGAATCCGATTTAATTTCGTTTTTTTTTTTTATATATCACTACATTGATTCCAAGATGTTACTGGGTGAACCCAATGGAAACACTATTTGTTGTACTTGTTGTGTTTTGGGGGTGTTTACCACCCAGAGGACTCTGCTGAACTTTATTATACGTGTGCAAAGAAAAAAAAAAAACAGACGGTAAAATAAACATTTTATTTCTCTCCTTGTGATAAAATGTGTTTGTGTCAGTGTGAGTCTGTCGTTCATGGAGACGAGCACTCCACGGATTTCACACATACGTCACTTAACTCATTATATGGAGTGCTATTCGGGTAAACGGAATAAAGTCTGCTGTGACACCGGAGGAGGAAATAACCCTGGTGACTGAGTGATGTCACCAAGGTCATTATGTGTCAGACTTTAACAGAAAATCTGAGGTATAAACTGGACATGAGTTCGAAAGATGAGGGCATTTAACAGGCAGGAAAGGTCTCATTATGGGAAATGTAGGTAGTGTTTTTGGTGCTTGAGCGAAACTAGGGACTAAAATTGAGGCTAATTGAGCCTCTGATGCGCCAATTTTGACCTTTTGTATTTTAATTTATCTCCGAAGTACAGCTACTTTACGTGCAGTACTAAATCACTAAAGTGACCGTTAAATGAATTTACTCACTTTCAGTAATAAAACCTAGAATAGTTTTTATTTTATTTTGAAAATCTCCTTTAGATAAAAGGAGACAATAAGGTAAATGATACTAAACAATTACAAAAAAAAGATAAAAAACGACAAAAAAAACTCAAATCTTTTACAGTGGGAAAGTATTTTTTCCCCTTCGTTACAAGCCAACACTGAGAACGAGAACTGTTGATGGAAATTACATGAATGAAACCAAACCTGATACCGCTGAACAAAATCGAAACTTCCTGTTAAAGATCCTGTTGAGCGTATTTCCTGTTTTCCTAAGAAAAGAAGAGAAGGGTGCTCTTTTCTGTCGTGTGAATTGATTTACTAAAAACCCTCACCTCTAACATCTGAAACAGAAAATGTCTTATAGTGTATATATTATACACATTTAACAAATTAAAATGTTGGATCTTGATGAGAAATCAGGAGATCACCAAAGCCATTAGGTTTTTATTCTCTGGGCACCGTGAACGGATGTGTGAAACTACACGGCAGTGCTTTTAGTAATTGCGTAGACATTTTACTAAAAAACACAATTGTCACAGTGGTGCTTCAGGAAAAGTCGGCACCAACATCAGTCGACTTCATCCTCTGGGCACCTTGAATATCTGCACAGATGCGACTAAAAGATCCTACAAAACAAAGCTGTAATGTGAAGTGACACAGACCTACTAAAAGGTTCACTGTTGAGATCATGGAAACATGTGCCTGTCTGAACAAACTCGTACCATCGGGCTTGTGATAGTTTCACAGCTGAGACCCAGACCTGAGCTCTCAGACCCACATGGCTGTCTGGAGAGAAGGGAATTAGGCCTGAGCTGTTAAGCTTGAGCTTTTCCACTCCAGCTGCCAGTGTCTCCGCCGGTCACGTGACTGCTGCGGCTTTTTTAGAAAGGCCCTCAGCATCCCCCAGAGGTTAAAAGGTCATTGACACCATTGGGCTCCCCTCTGCCCTCACACAGTGCTGAGCATTGAGACATAAAAAGGTGTGTGTGTGTGTGGGGGGGGGGGGCATGGAAATGATGATGTGTCAGAAATAATAAAAAAGGATTGATTTGTGTGCTGCAATAACTCGGACAATGGTGGATAAAACCCATTGTGTGAGGCTTATTGAACATCCTGCACCACTAAACCATTATATATCTATATATATTGTCTCAGTTGAGCCAGATTTTGTGGAAAATTTCTCCCCTTGTACGGCCGCACGAGACAAATGCAGCATTGCTGCACGCAGGAGGAGGATAAATGCCTTTGCATATTCTGTATTCCCATGATGGCGTGTTTGACATTGTTCCTGTGCCCTCTCTCCGCTGTAGAATAGGGGTACGCCTCCCCAGGCACAGTGGCTCCACATCACCTTGTGGAAGACACGGGGAAAAACTAACCTTGTATAATTAATGATGTAAAACGGAGGAGGATCTGAAAAACATCCTGTTTTAATTGCTCTTATCTTGTTGGGTGTTTTATTCCGTCCCTGAAGGGATTAATTAAGCAGCAGAAGAATCATACTTGGTGCTAAATGCAACCCCTCTTAGTAAAACACACACTGCAGTTTAAGGTGCATAGTTGTTCTACTTGGCTCCGTCTGCATGTTATCACACTATATATACCAATGTGCTTGACTGTAGCACTGAAATAATGAGTAGAGTCTATGGTTATACTTGTACCAACCCCCCCTCCTCGTGTATTGTAGCTTTAAATTGGCGTGTGCTACTTCAGTCATTGTAATGATACAGGGGTGGCATAAAAACATTTGTTTCATTAGCAGACACTCGTGATAATCCTTCATAACCACGACTTCAGAAACACCTACATGCTGCACATAAATGAAACAAGTACATCCGCTGAGATCAAATGTATGGATTATAACAGGAGAGAAGCTCTCGTTTGAGCATGTGACATAAACCAGTGGGATTTATGGGAGAAAGATTTCAATTCAGGAGCCACAAAAATTAGAATAAAAGTCTATATGTAGCATTAATTATACCAGATAAGAACAAGGACCTTAAATTAGCAATACAATCCCAGTTATAAAGGTGGGTTGTGTTTGGGTGAATGTCACACAGAAGAAGAGGAAATCCCCTGTATGGTGTATCTGTCTGTCACATTTCTGTTTTTCACTTTCAGCAGCAGCTGTTTTTTTTTTTTTTTTCTGTCAGTTTTGGCTTTTATTGACTACTCATATTAACATACAGTGTTAAAGGTTAGGTTCACATATTTTTCTCTTTTCATGACTTTATTTGACAGAACAGGTGACAACAGACAGGGAAGGGGAGAAAGATAGAGAAAGAGAGAGAGAGAGAGAGAGAGAAAAAAAACAGAGAGTGAGAGGGACGACATGCATCAAAGGGCTGCTGGCTGGAATTGAACCCAGGCTGCCACAGCAAGGGTTCAGTTCACATATTAATCTATCTTTAAGGTCCAGTGTATAACATTTAGGAAGATCTATTGGCAGAAATGTGATAAAATACTTATAGGTATGTTTTCATTAGTGTATATGTTGAACCGCCATGTTTCTACAGTAGCCCAGAACATACAAACCAAACACTGGCTCTAGATTTTAGTTTTTTGCGCATTTGTGGCCACCGTAGTTTCTCCTAGGCGCATCACAACCCATTCTCATTCCCAGATCATCAAATACAGACGTGAGGAGTGTTCAGTTAGTTGCAATCTGCAACTTCTAGAAGCTCCTATACACCCGACCTTTAAACCGTCTGAGTTAGCCATGTTAAGTAGGTATTTCTAAAGTTACTGTACAATCCTTTTAGTATAAATAGTACAAATAACTTACATTGGATTCATGTAGGGATGCATTGATCTGGTATCAGCACAGATATTGACCTTATTAAGAGGTTCAGGTGTCAGCTATGATGTGAGCAATCCACAGTAAATACAGTTTCTTTGTCAGTGTTATCATACAGTAAAATTCAATATCCCTGCTATCAGTTACATTAATTCAGTCACTGCTGACTCAGCAGCAGCAATCCCTCGTCTCACATTCCAAGACATGAAAATGTTTCCAGTGAATTTAACTGGTGCAGGCGGACACTCGTGCTACTAACCCGAGATCTTTTAATAGTTGACAAATGCTTTGAATGGATTCACTTGCAGACTAGTGTCCTGGTTTTGATCTTTTCCAGGATGTTTACCAGTAACATGAGAAACCTGTTATTCATACCCCTGTTTATTTGGTTCCAACAGTATCCTGATGTCAGCTGTGTCTTGATTCACCACCATGTTCTATGTAGCCGGCTCTCTCTATTAAAGTGAGTGTGGGCAGACCCCCGAGCTCTTTAAGAGTAAAGTTCCTTAAATATTGACCCTGAAACTGAGCACCAATTATCTTAGCTCTCCTTCTTTTAACTTGACAAACATGAATGTGCTGCCTGTTTAAGTCAAAATATTAAAAGGCTTCCAAATAAATAATCAAACTCCACACGTGACACATTTCTTATTATTTAGGACAGTTTTTACTGGGTACCACCATTATAGCCAACGTTAAAATAAAGTAGCATATGTCGACTCTATTCAGCTATGGACGATTCACACAGGAGGCAGGTTCATTCATAATAAAATAATTTATTATTGACTGTTGTTGAATCCTCAATGGAACCAGTTCAAGAAAAAACCTTTTTAACCTTTAATTTTACCTCCACTTACTGTCTTACCATCACATTTTAGCTTGCAACTTGTAGTTTGAGAACCAGTGATTTAGACAATCGGTCTGATTTCCAGACATCCAGTAGAGAATGATCAATAACCAGAATGAGGTGTTGACGTGCCGCAGTATCCGGGAGTACAGCAGGTTGACTATCCAAGGATAAACCAGGATATGATGTTTACATGTGCAACACATGATCAGGACCTTTAAAAAAACAAACAGATCACAACCAGGATCAGAGACATTTAATAAGATCCACCTTCAGTGTTTCTAACTGAATTTACTTCTTCATACACAGTTGAATTACGAGGGCCAAAATGATGACTAACTCTTCAAAACAAACTGTCTGACTCACCAATGAACGTGTGTGTGGCCTCGGACCAGCGCCTCAACATGCATCATTACCCCAAATTATAGTTACATCCACTGAACAACTCAAGACATATTTCAGTATCTCCCATTGATCCCAGACAGGATGTATGAAAACGACTGTGAGGTGTCTGCCCCGAGGGTCCACTTAGTACTAAAGTCCAATAACAGTTAGACAGAGTCTCGGCCCTAATGGAGAGGCTTATCAATGTGCCAGTCTGTTACACTCTGTCTGAGAAATCCCAGCTCGCCACCGTCCGTCCATGTTATTCTTCTTGTTCATCTTTTTGCTTTACCCCAAATGAACAATCAGTGTGGGTCACAATATTGCAGATATGAGATTAATTTACTCCCCGCAGTACACAGAGTGATGTTATTACAGGAAAATCAATGTCCCTCTTGTTGTTCTCTGGGGCTGGACAGGGTGTACGCACATCTGCTCTCATAATACAACTGCTGACCTTGCTGTCAGAGAGTGAGCCAGAGAGAGAGAGGCTTCGGGGAAAAAAAAAGAGAGAAAAAGAAACGGCCAACGGTGTTGTTTATCAAAGCTTTATCAGAGCCTCTCCGCTCTCACAGACGTGTGACATCAGACGGTGGGTCGCTCAGGCTGAGAAGATTTTTTTATTATATATATATATCCCCAATGTGGTGCAGACAGAGCATGATGACATTAAAGATTTGAAGAACTGGAGTTATAGATGATAGTGTATTCAGACTCAGGAGTAAGAAGTTGATAAGGGAATTCATCCTCCTTCAAATGAATGATCTATAATTCATAAAATCTCATTCCTGACCTCCTCATACTCAGCTTTTATTAACTCCCACCATCACTAAAGGGACAATAGGCTGCCTGAATGACCTCTTGACCTTTTTTTTGCAGAGGATGGGTCCATAAAAAAAAAAAAAAGGAGGGTGGTGGTGTTGTGGGAGAAGAAGCTAAACCTTTTGCCCAGTGAGTTTGTCCTCTTTTATCCTCTCATTTTTCACAAACTTGATAAAAAGCCAAAAGAGGGAGATAACGCTGCTGTAATGTCGGTTCATACCAGCAAATGTCAATCAAGGCCATGTCAATAAAACTGACCTGCAACATGATTCAAGCCAAAAAACAAACAAACACAAAAACAGCCAGGAACATGAACAATCTTAAAGTATTCTGACTACCAGGGGCGGATCTAAACAAAAATACTCACATATAGGCCCCTGAATTTAGGTATTTTAACTCAAAATATTACATTATTGTGGCACATTAGTAAAGAATTGAATAGAAATATCTCTAAAGGTGACATTAGACATCAATAAACTGCTTTATTTCCAAATATACATACATACTCTTTTATTAAAATTAAGCCTGTTGGTTTAAAATGTGGCCATGATCATTGTTAAATTTGACCAGGCTTGGGGAGTAATGAATTGTATGTAAACTAGTTATGTAATACAAAGGATACAAAAAAAAGGTGGAACCATTACAGAAAATAAGATGTAATCAGATTACAGTTACATTCAGTATTCGGAGGACACATTTCTGATGCTAAAAACCTTCTTTTCTTACATTGTTCTGTTGTCTGATGAAATAAACTTACATCAATACTTATTGTTTTTATTTACATAACCTATTTGGTGTTGCAGTAATCCAAAAGTAATGGAAAGTAATCAAGTTACTTTAATATTGTGATACTTGGACTACATCTTCTCTACTGTATTGGAATATATTTTTAAAGTTACCCTCCAACCCTGAATTTGACACTGAGGTGACCAGGCATTATTTAGGGCAGCTGCCACCCCATGTCACCCCTCTAGATCCGCCCCTGGATACTAACAAAAACATTTAATAAAAATGGTAGTAAAACCAAGCTAAAAAAAATCACATTTCAAATCAAATTTCCACATCAAATCAAGCTTTTTTTTGACTAAAATAAAAACAATAAAGAGCTAATGTGGTGAGGCTCTAATGCTGGATCATTTTGACCCCAAACTGGGGTGGCCAGGCATTATTTAGGGCAGCTGCCACCCCATGTCACCCCTCTAGATCTGCCCCTGGATACTACCAAAAGAATGTAAATAAAAATTGTTTTAAAACCAAGCTGAAAATCTAATTTCAAATCAAACTTCCTCATTAAATTAAGCTTTTTCTGAAAATAAAAATAGTAAAGAGCTTTTATAGTGAGGCTCTAATGCTGGACCAGGCATTTTTAAGGGCAGCTGCCACCCCATGTCAGCCCTCTAGACCCGCCCCTGAATACTAAGAAAGAAATAAAATACAGATTGTAGTAAAACCAAGCTAAAAATAGAACTGCTTATTAAATAAAGCTTTTGAAAATAAAAACAGTACAGAGCTATTATAGGCATTATTTAGGGCAGCTGCCACCCCATGTCACCCCTCTAGATCCGCCCCTGTATGATACTACCAAAAACATTAAATAAATAATAATAATAAACTATCGTTGCGAAACCAAGCTGAAAAATCACATTGCAAATAAAATTTCCTCACCAAACTAACCTTTTTTTTTTTTTTTTTTTTTTTTTTTTACATATGTTTATTTATATTTCATTTTAATTAAAACATTAAAGAGCTATCACCTAAATACTGAATCATTTTAAAGACATCCATAACAGCTTTTTAAACCTGCTCTCTCTCTCTCTCTCCCGAACAGACAGACAGACAGACAGACAGAGCGGTAGACAGACAGACAGACAGACGAGAGACACCCCCGCATAGTTTCCGTCAGCCGGGTGACGTCTCCGCCTCTCAGCCCGTGTGCAGTGTGACGTTGCGGGGCTGTAGTGGATCTTGTTGACGGTCCTCCAGGCTGCTCCAGTACCGAGGAGACCGCGGGCGAGTGAGGACGACCGACACAGCGTTCAGGCAAGTGTTGGACTACATTTTATGGTTTAACTTATTTAAATAACAACAATTTAAAAGTGACATTTTAAAATAATATATAATAATAATATAGGTTTATGTTGTTGATGGCGGTTTGAACGGTTTGAAATGTTCCGGGAGAGGAGAGAGAGGGGGGGGGGAGCTAACCTGGTGTAGCCCGCTGTGTCGCTCTCTATCTGGGGAGGGGAGGAGGGGGGCTTAGCTGTAGTGTTAGCGCCTCGGTTCTCTCTCTGTTAGCCGGCGTTATCGCTCAATATCCTGCCGTAATAATGTAGTTAAATCTCTCCCTCTCTCACGGCGGACACTGCCGTTTATCACCCACCGTGGTGCCGGGACAAAAACCGTGTCCGATCATGGCTCTCATTGCTGGGGCGAGCGGGGTTAAGTTAGTCCGCTCTCGGTGCACTGCACCGGGGGTAAGCTCGCTAAGCTAGCTAGCGCAATTAGTGTCCAACGGTCGAAAGACTGGATTTATCAAACGATTTCCAGACAAATAACTATCTTAAAAAATATATATATATCACCATATATATTTAGAATAATGTCACACATAAACGCGTTTTATTTATGGTGTCGTTTTTTGTTTTTTTTGACATAACGTTACCTGTGTTTGACACCCGGGCAGAGCAGCGCTAGTGAACCCCGCCGTGCCCTCACAAAGTCGGATGTGTGCGTAGCGTTCCACCGCGGTGCTCCGGTGGTCTACATACGAGCTGTACCCACTTATTCTCCACTCAGCATTGGGCTTATATACCCTCTAATAAATCCCCTCTGATGTGCATCGTTCAGCAGTGGTCTGCAGGAGGGCAAAGGCATGACATAGTCCAATTTAGTGGCGTAAAGAATGAAGGGTTACTTGTACATAACGCATGTATTGAGTGCATAAAATCTGCACCTCTCCTGTAGTTTAATGCCTGAAATCAAGCAGCAGACGTTAAGTGAAAATGTGCAAATACTGGGTGAGTTAAACATGGAGAATTACTGTTTATAACACACGGGCGTTTATGCTTTGATGACCTGCTTTTAAACAACAACAAAAAAAGAAAGAAAGGTGGGGGAAGTAGACATTAAGAGCCACTACACCACTGAGCGGTGCCTTCCCCAGACCCAGACTGTAGTGTAGACAGTGAATGTCATTATCAGCGCTGTCTGCATACCAGTGCCGTCGTGGCGAGCCAGCAGAGGAGGCGAGGTACAGTTTGCAGACGGGAGAGAGGAGGAGGAGGAGGAGGAGGGAGGAGGAGGAAGGAGAGAGAGAGAGGGGGGGGGACAGCTGGGGATGGAGCAGCAGTATACGCGGTGTCCTTGCAGCAGCAGCAAAAAAAAAAAAAAAAAGGATACCAGACAGTGGAGGTGACATTAAGAGATATTTCCAAACCGTGGCTGTGAGGTTGAAGAACCCGTCGTTGCAGGTGTGATTTGCCGACAGGAATAATCCGGAGGAGTTCCGTGCACCCCCGTATTACCCTCATTCATTACCGGTCGATCTGATTTTGCTGTGTGTGTGTTTTTTCATCTTCATCTTCGTCATTCGACCCACGGTGATATTTTCACATTAAAATGCCCACAAACATCAACTTGCTTTCGGAATCGAGTTTTTTTTTTTTTTTTTTTTTTTGCACCGACGCAGCATTTCAGTCGGTGGTGGTGGTGGTGTTAGGGGGAAAAACGACAACAACAACCGATGGGGATGTTGAAATGTGCAAATAAATACACAAACAAACATGCATTTAAATGTGGTCAAATAACCCCATTTTAGTATAAGATGTGTAAATCTAATTTATTTTTTAAAGCGCAGCTGATCCGGTGAATGTTTCCAAGCTGCCGTCTCTTGGTGTCATACTGCAGCAGTAGCCATCATCATCATCTACATTGCGTTTTTTTTTTTTTTTTTTAAATTTGGGGGGGGATACCAGCAAAGTGTTTGTTTTCTCATCACAGTCGACTTAGTTAATTCCTGCAGTAAAACCCTGAGAGTAAGGAAAAAGAGAGAGAGGAGTGAGGGAGGGGGGAAACAGCGCTTTCCACACTGCCTGTATGTCAAGCTGTGAAAAGGGCTGAGAGAAGGGGGACGACTTGCTGTTAACGCTTTTATCAATTGTTTTTCATGGAGTTGATGGGGTCAGCGTGGGGTAAGCAGACCGACGGGGAAGGCACAGTATGGTTGGGGAAGGGGCACTTTCATTTGCTAAGTGAAATGTTTTCTGACCATTGTATCAGCCTATAACATTAACAATGTAATGGGAGAGGGTGGTGGGGGTCTCATGTCTGGTCAGCTGGTTTCTGTCGTTAAAATTCTCACTTTGTCCTGGAAAGTTTGTTAAAAAAAAAAAAAAAACCTTTGGTGAAATAACTTTGATGCAAATTTCCTCTGGGGTTCAATTACAAGGGCTGGGAAAAAAAACCTTGTGTTTGTGTGAAGTATGGTAATGACCATTTGGTTTAGTGGTCCGTGCAAACAGCCTTTGACCTCTTCAGGGACCCCCCCCCCCCTCCTCAGTTGGGACAGCAGCTATAAAACATTTAAACTCCTTATGGATATTTCATGCTCCACAACATATTTTTATGAGATAATCTGTCTGTTTTCTAAATTCCTGTTTCTTCATGCCCCAGGAAGCGGATCAGAACATAGAAAACTTCGCTCATCACCATGCATGTGTCCAACTACCAGAAGATTCGTGTCATTTGAAAAGACTTAAGGAGGAGGAGAAAAAAAAAAAGACTCAGAGGAATACAAGAACTCAGTCAGCAGACAGAAACGACAATAACTCAGTGCTTAGACATGGCCAGCACCCAGACCAGTTTGAAAACCCCTTTCAAAGACTTGACCTCATTCAAGGGCAACATGAAGCGGCTGTACAGGGAGCGACTGGAAGACGCTCCCATCAAGAAGCGGGTGATGGCAGAGATCAACCTGAAGCGTCGCAGTTTGGATTCCTTCCCCAAAACTCCCAAAGTGAAGAGGGAGCAGATCGAGGATCTGTGCCACGAGTCTGACATGGATGTGGAGGGTCGGGCTGAACTGCACATTGTGGGCTCTGCTAAAGCCCTGGACCTGAGCCCTGGGCTCAAACACACACTGGCCCAGTTCACTCTCAGCAGCCAGAGCTCCCTCGGGGGCCCAGCTGCCTTCTCTGCCCGCACCGGCCACGAGCATTCCCCGGCTGGCATGCCCCCCCTGCCCTCCCCTCCTGTTCTTGGAGGGGGCCCTCTGCTGGTTCCCTGTGACAGCTCCACCGAACTCACCCACTCACTGTTGGAAGGAGAGTCTATCTCCTGCTTTGTCGTTGGGGGGGAGAAGCGGCTTTGCCTGCCCCAGGTGCTCAACTCTGTGCTCCGCGACTTCTCCCTGCAGCAGATCAACACTGTGTGCGACGAGCTCTACGTCTACTGCTCACGTTGCGACGCCGAGCAGCTGCACATCCTCAAGGTGCTGGGCATTCTGCCTTTCAACGCACCTTCCTGTGGCCTCATTACACTGACGGATGCACAGCGGTTGTGCAACGCTCTCCTGCGTCCCGGGGCGGCCTTGCCCGCAGACCCCAGCGGTAAGCTGTCGACCCAGGGCCTGCTGAAGGAGAGCGAAGCCAGCTTCCAGGTGGAGCACCAGTGTCTGGGGAAGTGCCAGGGTCTCTTTGTGCCCCAGTTCTACACCCAGCCAGAGGCGCCCTGCATCCAGTGTGTTGAGTGCCAGTTGCTCTTTTCACCACAGAAGTTTGTCATGCATTCACACAAGTCACCTGATAAGAGGACCTGCCACTGGGGCTTTGACTCAGCCAAGTGGCCCTGCTACCTGCAGCTTGCCAGGAAGTACCAAGGCACGCCTGAGGAGCCAAAGCTCAAGCAGCTCCTGGACGAGGTCAAAGAGAAGTTCCACTACAAGCTCAAGAGGTCGCTAGATAAAGTAAGTGCACTTACGAATGATACCTGTGTCTTTTGCTTGTTTGCACGCGATAACATTCATCATTCTGATAAGGAGGCCAATTATAACTTTGTTTTATTCTTTATTGGATGATGTGCTTTTATAGCCTCCTAAAACTGTCTGGCTAGTTGGGCCTTCTACTTTCTGTGTGCTCAGCAGGTTTGACCAAACCACGTTGCGGCTGGTGTTTTCTTAAACCAGCGTTGACCTAGTATGTGTGAGAGAGGCCTGGGACAGGTGGTGACATCTGCCTGGCCAGGTCTGATCAGATGAGGTTAGGCCAGCTGGCCACAGCTGAAGGGGAAGTGCATCAGTTGTCCCCTCAGGTCACTTGGAGGTCACTGGGAATGTCACTGAACAAAAGGCCAATATAGGAGGATCAGGAAGAGCCGCTTTAACTCCTGTATTAAAACTACTCTGTCAGCAGTTAATTGTTAAACCTTTTATCTGACTGTAAAATAACAATTATTTTCTAGTGTGCCCATGGTAACGGAAATTCGTTCCTACACGTATGAAAGGAAAGGAAATCTTGTGCAAACCAAAACTAAAGAGTTAGACGATATATGGCTTCTGTTAGAGAGCTGTTTTATTAATCCTGTCAAGAGTTGCTCAGCAACTTAGACAAAATACAGTTGCCTCTTGAAATAAGAAAATATGAGCACACAGTTCCAGGATTGGAAAATAGTCCTCATTATTCACCTCTTTACCTCTTGGCAAACCTGAAAGTGAAATGGCTTCATTTTATTACCAGTAGTTATCACTGAAATCCAGAATGCTGCAGAGTTTTCTAAATGATTTTGCCAATTCTTTTTTATTCTTGCTGTGTTAAAAAAATAAAAAATAAAATCATGTCAATGCAGTACTAAGCCACAAGGGCAGCAAGCCTATTGAAAAGTCAGCATTCATTGGGGGGAAAAGCTCTAGATTGTTTCGCTGCCATTGACTGGTTTACGTCTCATGACCTCCCTCTGACCACAGCGGACTGCCCTTTCTGTATTGTTTTGTGGGTAAAGGTGGGGTTTCGCTTTTGTCTGTTTGATGTGGTTTGTTCACACTCAAATCCGCCGGTTCAGAGTGAGCTTTGGTGAAATGCTGAAAAATTCCACCTTTAACCAGCAAACACACGTTGAAACAGAAAAAGGGGGCTCTACCACAACCCTCACCGGCAAGATTTATTTGTGATAGTCACACAGCAGGCGGAGTAGAGAGAGATTGCAGTGTGTACTTACAGTGTGTGCAGATTGTGTATTATTTTGTACCTGAGTCAGGGAGATGCCTTTGCTTTCTCGCTATACGGTTAACTCGGTGTGTGTGTGTGTGTGTGAATGTGCCAGAAACACCGTCTGCTGTCTCGTCTGGCGTTCTGACCGCATTCCTGTCTCTTCCCAATTGTCCTCCTCCTCTTCCTCCGCCTCAGTTTAAGGTATGCATCTTGGAAGACGCAGACATTCTTTCTCCAAGACGTTTTCATACCACAGAGGAAACGTGTGCGCGGTGTCAGGCAATATACACGGACCGCAGACGCAACACGCATGAACAAAAACACATGCTTAAGGTGGATGATGTGTCCTACAATCTTTTTTTTGTGTGTGTGTGTGTGTGTGTGTGCTTATGTGTGAGACATTGCCAGCCTTCATGTGCGTAATGAGCTGCTAACTGGAGGCTAGTATGACACATCTTCGTCTCTCTCTGTCTCACACTTTTACCAGGCTCTCTGGAGCCTCTGTCTCACCAGTTTCAGGTGTTGTCTTCTCTGCGTGGGGGGATTTCTCAGTCTGTTTTTTTTCTCCCCTCTTTGTTGTTGTTGTTGTTTGTTTTGTCATCTCCTCTTGCCGATATATATATTTGACCTTGTTCTGTTATTTGTGAGGGTGTGGCTTGTTCAGAAATGATGCTGTCAACGTTGAGAACGGCTACTCTTGTGTCGACAGAGACACACAGTCATCAGTCAAAAATGGCCAAATTCCTGGAAAGACAGTTGCCTCTGAGTCTACAGGAAGCAGGTGATTTTGGCATTAAAAGAGGATGTCACTCCAACAACCCCCCCCAAACTAAGCGGATGTATGGTTGTGTGAAAGGTCAGTGGCCAGAGAACAAGGTGACCTGGCAGTGTCCTGCTTCACTCAGTCAGGACACATGGCTTACCGGTCCAGCCGCTCTCTGTTTATGTGTGTGTGTGTGTGTGTGTGTGGGTGTGTGTGTGTGTGTGTGTGTGTGTGTGTGTGTGTATTTGTGTGTATTTGTGTTGTGTGTATGGTATTTGTGTAACGAAAGTGTGTGTTTGGCTGAACAGGAAGTGAGGCAGACGGACATGTCTCTCACCCAGAACATCCTCCAGACTCTCTGTGTCCAGCCACCTCCACTGCACTGGCTGTGTGACTCATACTTTCCACATCCCAGTGGATGTTAGTGGAAGGCCAGCCAGGCAGCTTCTAGTCACACATGCTTCTTAGAAAGACGGCTTGCCTCGGTGTGTTAGTCTAACCCCGACTGCAGACCCTTTTCCCAGTGGCCCTTATTTACACACACTGTCAGTGTGCACATTTACAAGCGGCTCATAGTTTTACCCAAGAGCTCTGGGATCTCTAAAAGAGAAGAGACACAAACAAGGGAGCCTTCTGGAAGTTTCTCCCCCCCCCTTCTCCAATCGCTACTAGTCCCATATCCTGTTAGGAGTGTTTGGTTTGAGAAGGTGCAGTAAAAAAACTCCAGAACTTGCTCTCTATAAATGGTGCTTTGTGCCCTAAGGTACTGCTACCCTGTCTACTGATCCCTGCTGTGTAAATAGTTAGCTAGACAGACGCCACCAACAGACAGCAACAAGCCGTATCTCATGAGTTACTTTAGTATGTGACAGACAATGATTTCATTTTGCCTTCAGGGGTTGTGACGGACACTTGTACTTTCCACTGAGACAAGATCATGTGTCGTCATTTTTATTGGGTGAAATACTTTCTGACAAGACAGGAAATAACTCCCATTGTAGATCTTTTTTTAAATTTGGGCTGCGTGTTTACACGACATGTCACCAGACTCTAGCAGAGCAGTGTATTTAAAATCATCTGCATTACAAAATCCCCAGTAGCACTCGCATTAGATCAAGTTATATTTTAACAACACAAAGATACTCATGGGTCATTTTTACAGTCTCATTGGTTTAATTTAGTCATGAAGTTATTTTTTTATTTATTTCTAAGGTAGAAAAATTGGCTGTTTCAAAATAAGAAAAAAACATGACCTGATATTTTAGACATACCGGTATTTCCCCACCCTAGCGAGCATAACCACATGGTAGAACATACTGAACATAGCTGTGTGTTCCTTATTTGCCTCAGCCTTGTTTGTTGCGTTATGTTGGCCCGGAGTCAGAAGTGTCAGACTGAGAGAACAGCCTTCCTCTGTCTGTCTCGCTGGCAGGGCTGACACAGTGGCTGCGGCACAGACGGCAGACAGCTGCATCTCTCTGGCTTCCTCTATTTGCTATTTGGATACCAGTGACTTCATTACCGCAGACCAGTGCAGCTGCACTCTCTGGCTGTCTCCTGGGCTGTCTGCTCGGTCTGTCTGTCTGCTTGTCAGTCATTCTCATGGGCTGTATCTAATTGGATTTTGGCAGGCATGCTAATCGCTCGCTGTGCTGCCTTCGCTATCTGTTCCTCCTTCCTCTACCTCTCTTGACGTCCGTCTTCAATCTGCTATCTCCCCTTGGGTTCATGTCCTCATCCATCTTGACTTATGGCCTTCATTCTGCTCTTCACTCTACCGTCCTTCGCTCGCCATCATCCCTTTCTCCTAACTGAGACAGTTTTGCTGTTGCCCATGTGTGTGTAAACAGTCGATACCCCCTAGGCCCCAATCAGCGGACAGTAACAAAATAAGCAGCCAAATGACCCGATAAGTCGATCGTTACATAAGCAATAAGACCACTTGTGTGCGTCTGCAAGGCGGATGAGAGGAAAGCCAGTGGCTATTGATCGGGTCTCCGACCTTGATGGATGTGGCGAGTTGTTGGGTGACACGGACACTGAATAGAGGAGGAGATAGATCAAAACGGAGGCGGGAAGGAAACAGAAGAAGAGTGAAATGAGGAGACTCAGTTACAGGGATCGCAGCTGCCGTTGCATAAGTTCCTGTCTGTGTTCACTCATCAGTCTACCAAGTTAACCTCACCTTCTGCTGTCGTCTGCTTTAATTTTTGTAACTCAGACTGCCAGACCGAAGTAGCGTCATACAGACACAAAATTGGGTCTGTGGTCAGAAAACATCACCACCCCTGGGGGAGGCTCTTGAGGTAAGGGCGGAGAAGAGAAGTAAAGATTATAAAACGAAGAAAATATGAGGGTGAGGCCAGGACAGGACAACTGCTTTACACTTTGGTCGTCAAGTTGTGTTCACAGCCACTAGGTTGTTGCAGGGGGGGCTTGGGGCCCCAGCTCTTCTTTCCCCCGGAGTTGAAAATTAACCTCCCCAAGACCTGAGCTGAACCACAAATCTAGCCTGGAACAGCCCTCTTGGTTGGCCAATCACATGCCGGCTAGCTCGCATTTCCCCAGCTTACACTCTCTCCTTTGCCCCACCACCCCACCCCAAGACACCCATACACATATTTCTATGTCTGTTTCTATGTCTATGCATTTTCCAAAGAACAATTATCCACTTCTACTGAATACACAGAAGGTTCTTTGAATGCTGGCCCAGAGTAACCTACAGTCTATCACGTCTGTATGTAGTTTGGTGTGGGACTGTCTGTGTTGCCTGTGCACAACAGGCTCTGCCTTGGCCAGTGTTTGCTGCCTGTTGTAAAGGGCTAAATGGGGCCCCGCAAGGTAGGAGGGGCTGAGCCAAGGGGCCTCTGGTATGTCACCATCAGGTCAGTGCCAGTATCACAGCTCCATAACGGCATTGCAGCTCATTGGAAGAACGCCAAAGTCATTACTTCTCAGTCTCTTTCTTAAATAGATAAGAATCTTCTCACGTTTTTA